GGGGGGTGCTACATCCTAAGGAGCCACACCTTATCCAACCTAACTATCGGAAATTCTATCAGCCAAGTGAACTTTTAACGTACCTGGATGATTTTGAAGATCGCATACGGGCAGTCGCACTCCGAGACGAGTCAATAGAACAGGTCATAAGAGTGTTTCCTAGAAGTGAAGTCCTACGATCATTCTGGTATGTTTCAACTTCCCTGTAGCATTGCTGTCAGCTAAACAGGTAGTTTTATCTCCGAACGAACGATAACGAAAGAGATGTTCAGAACTGCCTTGATGGAGTTTCCAGGCCTGATGCATGTCGCATGCAATATCGACCGGATCTCTTGGCTTCCCCAACCTCATTATGCTAACCCCATTGCTTTAAATATTCGGAACCTTGAGCTCTGTCTCACGACTGCTTCAGAGCTTCAAGAAGCTCTCAAGGTCCTGTCGCTCACACATTACATTCGACTCTACAACGGCTATCCTTATGTATCTCACCCCCAGTCACGCAACAATTCGCGAGTGCAGCCCTCGAAGCAGCAGGTAAAAGTATCCTACCAGCATCATGGTCTCCTGATTTGCTCCCACTACTTCCGAAGTTGCGAGAAATCGTGGTTCGAGGCATGAATGTTAGCGAGATGCACGGGTCTTTGTCTGCACTCATGGACCTGAAGAGTTTGGGGCGACTTACCCTTGCTCGCTGCGATGGCATATACGACTTCTTCGCCCATCTCCACCTCAACTCGCGTGCGGGGTGTGCACTTCCTAACTTGCAACATCTTGATCCACAAGCTACGGAATGTGATAACATGAGTAGCGAGCAGGTATTCGAAATGGGAACGGGCTGTTTGGACACTGTCCTAAGCTCGGTGCACTTGAAGAGCGCACATCTTTTGGGGACAGCCATGGGCAACATGACAGATTACGTCTTCGAGATCTCACTCAGTAATACTAGCCTTGTCAGCTTCAGCGCGCATATAAGAAAAAAGCTTCCTATTGATGGGTTTTTTGAGATTAACGACGTTAATGAAGTGGGTGACGCGCTGTGTAAAGCAGTAAGGGGCTGTCCAAATCTACGAGTTCTTGGGTAGACGATACCGGAGTGCGACATATTGGACCGTCATGAGGACGATCACCTAACAATGGACGACAAATTCATGGTAAGTTGACTGTTGTCATCGCATTTTAGTAAGCTCACATCGCTTAGGTCGCTTTAAGTTTTCTCCCTGACCTACGTGTGCTGCACCTTCGCCAACGGAACTTCACGAAATGGTCCTCGAGGTCGAAAAGAGGATTTAATCCCGATGCTGTCACTTTCACTATTGGTCGGTGGGCCAACAGTTTTTCAACGCCTTGCACAAGCGCCAACAGAACCCAAAGCTCCACGCCCTAGCAATCGGCAGCTACATTAGGAACAGAAAGGAGGAGCGAGCAGACATGGGTGTACCTGGTGGGTTCAAATATTTCTCTCAACACTGCTTTGTTAGAGGCATGCAAACCGATATGCTTGGTCGCACTATTGCGGTCGTGCTACCAGTGACCAGGGCAATCTTGCAGGCAGCGGAGCCTTTGGCGGATATCTTGGACTACGACTCGGAATGCAGTCTTAGCAGCGCTGCTATTGGAACACTGAGTATTCAGTGAGTGCTGCATGACTTTTCTCAATCTTACATTGAGGACTTGAGTCGAGATGATTTCGTTCGATTCAGACTTTGTGAATTCTTGTATGGACGTGCTACAATCGGAACATGCATCGCTACTTCTCGATAATGATAGTCCGCACCACTGTAGCTTTGTATTGGCAAGTATTTATCTGACGCTGGCCGCGAGATTTGGACATGCTAGCTCATGTTCTCAGCCCGAGCCATAACGCTTGTTTTCTCCTCAGCATACTACAAATCCGAGCTTTATGTTGTAGTTCTTTCTCACTATACAGATAAGTGTAGTAGTTGTGCTGTGCGAACAATGTCGGAATCATCAGGCATCGAGGATAGCCCTTCGCCCAGGCTAAATTTGGGGCAACATCCTGGTGTCAAAAATGACCAGCAGTGATTGCTCTCAAGCTATTCATGCACCGATAGCCTCACTCGCAGACATGGCCGACATGACAAATCATGCTAATCGTTGAACAGAAGGAGATTACCAATCTTCGGATCTCACCACCCTATCCAGGCTTAGCCCAGCCAAGCTCTATTTCTTTGAGCGAATCATGACTTCCGGTGCAAGAAGTCATATCTGAGGCTTACATTACCACGTATCAAGGCAGCGCATCGCTCTTCTCTTATTGCGCGGTGTATATAGATCTCCACGGAGCTAACAGCAAACTGCGGATTTATGCTACGAGGTTTTGGAGTGGACAAAAACGGCTTACATACCGAAACGAACGAGGAATTCTCTTACCATAGATAATCTCACGAGGTTATAAGTCAATGAACTTGTCACTGTGACCATCTCCCTAAGCTTCCCATCACTTGCGAGCATCCAACACCTACGAAGATATGAAGAACTTTGACAAAACTGAGCTCTTCGAGCCTCTGAGCATCGGCGATGTTCATCTCGCTCATCGTATTGTCCTTGCACCATTGACTAGGTAGGACTTTACCGCCAGAGACTTGGTTTAATGACTGACAATTCTTCAGATTTCGTACAGGTCATGATCAGAATATCTTACCATTCGTCAAAGACTATTACGCCCAACGAGCCTCAACTCCAGGTACACTTCTCATCACGGAAGCTACAGTGCCATCTCGTCTCGCCGGTTCGATCACTCACATGCCCGAGATGTGGTCCGACGCGCACATAGCTGCTTGGAAAGGAGTCGTAGATGCAGTTCACGCGAAAGGCAGCTATGTTTTTCTCCAGATATGCGGCAATGGGCGCGTAGCTTTTCCCTCGGAAAGGGCGAAGGACGGTTTAGACTTGATCGGACCGAGCGCTATTCCCATCGGCGACGCAGACGGCAGTGGAGTTTTTCCCGCGGACGGAGAGAATCCCATACCACGCGCAATGACTGAAGAAGAAATCTGGCAGGTTATTGCCGACTTTGGGCTAGCTGCCAAGAATGGTATCGAGAAGTGCGGCTTTGACGGCGTCGAGATTCATGCTTGCAACGGAAACTTGCTCGATCAGTTCATTCAGGACAATTCCAACCGCCGCACTGATGACTGGGGCGGTAGTGTTGAAAAGCGATCGCGCTTCGTCATCGAAACTGCCAAAGCTGTCATTGCAGCAGTGGGAAAAGACAGAGTCGGAATCCGATTCAGTCCCTACAGTACCTATCTCTCCATGCGCATGAACAATCCGATTCCGCAATTTACGTACCTCATCAAGGAGCTTGATATGATCGGCGTAGCTTACATTCATCTTATCGAGCCGCGCATTGCCGGTGATAGTGGTGTCGAAACGAATCAATCGGACTCTCTGATCCCCTTCATGGATGCATGGAGTAGTGAGCGTCCCATCATTGTGGCTGGTGGGTTTTCGGCAGACAGTGCGTGCCGTGTTTTGGCTACTGGTGGCCTTTATGAAGGGAGGAAAGTTGCTATCGCGTTCGGAAGGCACTATGTGAGCAACCCGGATCTGGTGTTTCGAGTCAAAAATGGTGTCCCACTCACGCCATATTCTCGGAAAACGTTTTATGATGTTGGAAGTGAGGAAGGCTATACGGATTTTGAATTCTCAGAGGAGTATGCAAAGTTTAGTGTAGTTGTCAAACACGAAGGTGGTGTTGTCTAGCGACCGATCATTGGTGGTTCTATTTGATGCAGCACGCTACTAAGCTTGACGTCATCGCATCGAGAAGTGCACCAGACCTACCGAATACCAATAACTCGTTATCGGGAAATGATCACTCTATTTGTGGTGCTTCACAGATTTCAGATGTGCCTACCCCAGGCTTGAAATGTATTGAAGTTGGTCGCAATGTACTATCCCGCGTCTGTTCAGCAATTTGTAATGCATTGGTGGATTTCCGGCTGTTGCATCCAGAGAAGAAAACATTTACTGGTGCGCCATGGTGCGCGCTTTGAGCAAGAATTCGATCAAATGATATGTGTCAGGTTCTCCCGACTCCATTTGTGCTGTTGCCTGGAGATGGTACACAAGATGGGGCGGAGCTGTCGGCCAATAAATCGGAAGCTGGATGGGCGTTGCTTCTACGCTCAGCCCCTCACGACGCATAATTGCTCAGCCTGATCGCCAGATGATATGGTTCTCGTAAACTTTATCTAAAGCCTCTCATTCACATAACCTTACTCACAACTGAAGATACAAATATGGAAGCGCTTGTCGCCGTCGGACTCGCTGGCAACGTGGTGCAGTTTGTGCAAGGCGCAGGTGCTTTGATCGCGCTTGCGAAAGAGATTCGAGACAGCGGAAGTCCGAAGGCTCTTCCTCAGCTTGAAGAGCTATCTCGAACTCTGATAGGGCACGCAGCTGTCCTACAGTCGCGGCTGAGGGCTTCTACTCCCTTGACGGAGGAGAATCAGGCATGGCGGTTCTCGCCTCGATTTGAGATGATCTGCTGACGCATACAATACAGAATCTCCTTGACCTTGCGACAGAATGCGAGCAAGTGGGGAATAATTTCATAGTGTACCTTGGTACATTCAAGAACAGCTCCAGATCCAAAGCCGTGGGTGCGGTCAAAACTGCAATCAAATATCAGTGGTCGTCCAAGAAAATTGATGACTTCGTGGATAGACTGGACAGACTCCGCAGCTCTTTGATGTTGGCTATCGTACTGGCATGTCGCACCAGTGCTGAAGGGAACAACAAAGAGATACTCGCACATTTGAAAGAGATACAACACGATCATCAAGCCCGTCAGATACATGATCAGATTGGAGTTGTACAAGCGGCTATCGAGCTTCTCACGAATGCTGTGCAGAATCAAACAAACGAGAAGATCGAAGCTATCCAGAACGAAGTGCAGCTGTGTATAAGTAAAGTTCTTTTCCTCCATCGAGAAGTCCTGACAAATACGGAACAGCCGATCCTTGAAAGACAAATCTTAAACTGGATCGACTTCAGACAAAACCACTGGAGATATGAAAGTGTGGATTCGGCTTATCAGCAAACATTTGATTGGCTTTTTGAGACTTCGACTACTATCCAAGGTTGGGACTGCTTTTCTACTCATCTACGAAAAGATGTGAACGAACCGTACTTCATCAATGGAAAAGCTGGAAGTGGAAAATCAACACTGATGAAGTTCCTGCATGATCATGCGAAGACGAAAAAGCTCTTGAAGCAGTGGGCAGGATCAAAAGAACTTGTCACCCTCCATTTCTTCTTCTGGCACCTTGGAACTGATCTCCAAAGATCTCACGCTGGTATGCTGAGAGGCATCCTCCATGCGATGCTCGAGAAACATCCTGAGTTGATCCCAGCTGTATTTCCAAAGTTCTACCGTAATTGGGAGAACTGGAACTCAGATATTACGCCCGACTACGTTGAGGTCAAGAAAGCGTTCGCTGTCATGATGGAAAAGTGTTCCTATCTCAAAATGGCCATTTTCATCGATGGTGTCGACGAGTTCGAGGGCGATTATCGCGACATGGCGCTGTTATTACGATCACTTGCGTCGAGCCGCGTCAAGCTTGTTATCTCGAGTCGTCCACTAAACGGTTGCCTAGCATCATTAGCAGGATGCCCCACTTTACGAGTGCAAGACTTGACAAGGAAGGATATGAAAGTGTTTGTTGATGGCGAGCTCTCCACACATCATTTGATGACTCGCCTAGTTCGACAGTTTCCAGCCAAGGCACCACAATTTGCATTGGACATTGTGGAAAAGGCCGAGGGCGTGTTTTTATGGGTGAAGCTTGTCGTACATCTTCTTATTCAAAGCCTGGAAAACGGTGATACACTGGACGAAATGCATGCCTTACTGACGACACTTCCTTCTGATCTGCGCGATCTTTACAGAAGAATGTTTGAGAAGGGTGTAGAGTATCAGAAAGAGTCGGCTGTGATGTTTCAGCTGAACGAGAAATGGCTCGAAGTTTCACGCGATCAATCCCTTCCCGGCATCCTTATGTGGTACGCCATCAACAGTCCTACCGCAGCACTTGATCAGCCGTTGGGTCCTATGCCCAGTGACCAATATGACTGGGGCATGAGTTCGCTCATAAAACGAATTCAAAGTCGTTGCTCCGGTTTATTGGAAATTCGGTACAAAGGCAGAACTCTAGACGGTTTATCCGAGATTACAGTCGCACAAAATGGAGTCTCCATCGATGAAATAGGATGGTTGACCATCACTTATCTCCACAGGACGGTGCACGAGTTTATCACGCTGGAGGACGTATGGAGAGATATATGCGATCTGACAAAGGATATGAGCTTCACTATTTCCACGAGGCTTACTGCTGCATGTCTATCGACCATCAAGTTGGCACGACACAGCACTCAACTGCACACAGGTTACGTTGTGGCTATCACGCAACTTTTGAGGGAAGTCGTGGACGCATCACCAGCAATGGCACATACGTACTTGATGGACTTGGATCGCACCATGTTCAAACTCGAGACGAAAGTCTTCTCGAACCCGGGCGACCAATCTTTAACCAATCACCACATGGAGCACTGGTCTTTCACCCACCTCGGAGCAGTGGACCTGAGGCTGTTCGTTGCTCTAAGCTATGTTGATGTCTATACATATGCGGCAGGAGAAGGGATACTCTGTAACACAATGCCAATTCCAAGCGACATGAACCAATTGGCCCGCTTTGCCATAGTCGGTCATGCCTTGACCAGCTGGATGAAGACAGGAGATCGTTTTCCTATACCCATTCTAAGACATCGGGTACGAACAATGACTTTTGCGCTTGAACATATCATGGCTCCAGAGGGAACACTCTCCGATCTATCTTTATGGCACATAGGTTTGGTTGTATGTGCGAAGCTAGAGCATGATAAACGGCACCATGAGGCTGCACAGCTACTGTTGGTCATGTTGAAAACATCAAGCTCTCCTTCGAATCTATGGCTTCTACCCCTAGACCCAAGACATTCGTTGGGATGGGTCTGGAACAAGGTTGAGCAATCACGCGACCCAACGCTCACAGACCCTGACTCTTTGTTGATAAGACTTCGAAGTGCACTGAGCAGCTCTACAGTAAGAGAGCATATTGGAGTACTAGAAGATATCCATCGACTTACAAGTACAAAGCGAGACAAAATCTTGATCGAGCAATCTCTTCACGACTCATCACAGATCAACGAGCGTCCTTCAAAGAGCTTAAAAGGAGGGAAGAACTCTCGCCGATCGAAGAAGATGAAGAAAAGAACGGCTGCTTCCAGCATGGGAAGTTTCTAGAAGCCACTGTCAGGCAATGGTCCATTCCCTTGGCCATTGCGATGGCGTAAGATGTCTAGACATTGGTACTAGTCAGCCAGTGGCAAAATTCGTGTCCGCTCCGCACATGTGCGAAGTGATTTGACAGGATTTAGAAGCGCACTAAGAAGTTTATAAAGAAGCCTATATATATTCGATGCTGTAAGATATCTCGCCTACTATTGCAAAAGTTTTCGCCGGGGCCTAATACTGGTGTTTTGAGGCAAAGAATGTGCTTCACGGCAGGCAAATTTAGTTGTATCGCATCATGTGGCAACAGAAATGCTCGAGACTTCTCAGCCTTCAATATTGAAGATAGAAAGTAATGTACCAATTCTTGGTTAGGCTAGAAGCGATCGCAGTCTTCTCCCAGCCGGAGACATACACGATGACGAAGGAGAAGGTTTGGGGCGCGAGGTGGATGGGTAGGTCGAGATAACACAAAGTCGTAATAAAAGACATGTCAAGAACACGATACAAAGTCTGGACCAGGAGGCGTCGTGGCCGAGCAGGTATAACGATGGGGTTGAGTACAGTCATGATGATACGGCAGAGTTGCAGAACACATAGGCAGCGACTTTGTGCCATCGATGGGCCAATATACGAAGATTCGACTTGATTTGAAAAATTAACATTCATCATTTTCCCTGCCATGCTATCATAAAGGAGTGATCTAGTCGCCTGTAAATGCGGAACAAACGCTATGCAAGTATATACTGTGAAAAATAGACATTACTGCCATCCTCGGCTCGCCTCTATCGCACGAGTGACGGATTCTACAATCCGCAGTTGCTGGTCGCGACCTGCTGGTAGTTTGCGTCGATGCGACCAAGACCAGCGGCCTGGCCGTTGGTGAGCTGGTCCATGGCCTGCTTGGCGATGTTGAAACCATCACCAGCGTGGTCAACAGCAAGAACGTAGATGGTGTTGCCGTTGTAGGTGATGCCGTAGCAAGTACCGCACTTCTTGTTGTTAGAATATTGTATTGGTGGACAATGTCGTGAAGAGCATACCTGAGCGCTGTTCCATCCAGCAATACCCGAGTATCCTCCGATGCGAGGGAAGCCAGCGACGGCTCCCTGGTTCTGCCAACCGTACTTGGTGATCAGACCGTTGTTACCATCTGAGCAGGAGACGGAGGTAAGGGAGCGGCCAGCATCGTCGTAACCTTGGTCGTAGGAGACTGTGGGAATGAGCTTATGGCCATCAGGAAATGGACTCGATATACACACCAGAGATGGCAGATGCGAGGCTGGCGAAGCCAAGAACAGCAGCGGAGAACTTCATGATGATGGTGTTGGTGTTGTGGAAAGGGTGATTCGTTTGAAGTGATTGTTGGTGGAAGTGTATTGGATGTGAAGCTTGAGTTGATGGTTTCTTTCAAAGGTGAAGGCCATCATTCTTATACTGCTTGCACCTACAATGAGAACATGCTCCACCCTTGATCGAAGCTCGTAGAGTCCGACTGCACTTTCGTCAATGCTCACTCATACAGGGCAAAGATGAGCGCATTCCGAAGGGTATCCATGGACTTCGATAGTGCCATCGTAAAGCTAACCACACGTATCCGAGCAGGTGACGGTGTGCAGCCAGTGCTTGGCACAGAAATACGGCAGGTGCGCTCATAGCTCGAGGAACACGAGAGAAACTGCGGAGGTTGAAGTTATTTTGGGGGGTATTTTTAGCAAGGTAGCAACGGGTTCGGCCAGCCTTGACCCCCTTGGGCATGGGAAGCGAGGCAAACCCCCGAAGCTAACGGCTGGTTACATCGCTACGACCACGATTGGAAGCGACCCATAGCGATCAATAATTGGTGCAGCACGTTGTACTCTAAAGAGTATAAGCGCAAGACATGGCAATGTCGACCATGATACCGTGTGGGCCGCGGAAGTGGCGGATTATGACAGCCCACATCGATCTCGTGATCTGAAATGCGACGTATGTCCTCCCTGTCGCACGTCCGTGCTACATGGCAACGGCGACGCTGAACCCGACAGGCGACCGAAAGAGCCGAAGATGCCGTAGAATGGAAAGCTTAAGCAGATTCCGGGCACGTCCTTCTTGAGCCTCACCGCTCACCCAGACAAGCGGTATCGTGGTGAAGTATTCTGGGACAGACCTCGGATGCTAGCATATTTTTGGCCAGCTCGTTGCTACAGCCTCATTTTTCACACGACCTTACAGTGCTATCGTGAGAATTTTGTACGCGGCCTTCCTGGTGGGCGCAACACTGCGACGTCCGCCTCGAAGACAATCTCCAAATACCAGGGAGCCGGAATGCGTGTTTTGAGATGAAGAGCAACAGAGGACCCCTCGTGCATGATTCGCGAAAATGAAGTTTGTGGTGCGAGCTGTGTTTGCGCACCCGGGGTGACGGAGACCCATCAAGGTTCTTAAGGGCGATCAACCGTCGACGAAGGATGTAGCTTTTGATCGAAACATTGACAGCGAATGTCAACCGCTTGTCAAAATCCCCCGTTCGGATCCCGTGACGGCATTTTGGGAGAGGAGACTTCGAGGTTCAGGAAGACAGCTGCCGGAGCAGTCCGTGCGCCGCTCGACAGGACCTTTTCTGAACTTCCTGCGTCTCGCATGTTCACTCCCGAGTTTCATCCCTGCCACAGAAACACGAACGTCCCCAATGGAGGATGTCCGCTCCCTGTCGTCCTTGGCTCTCAAACAGCCACTTCCGGGACCTCAGGCACCACATCATCGACGGTGGCTGAGGACTGGCGGTTGTGGCAGAGGCAGCCAATCGCTGCGAGCTTCGTCACGCGTATGATCTCCGGGAGAAGATGTTTCAAATTGCCAGGCGACGAATGTACATGCCTTTGAGACCTGAGGCGTCGCGAAGCTGTTCCGCCATGACTTGTTCAGGCCGCTTTATCCATCTTGGAGGCAAATGGTCGGCGTCAAGTGTTTCGAACCTTATGCTATATAACTCTCTCAAATGTTCTCACCTGCATTCTTCTTTCTTCAGGCCGGTCCATCAACACAATCCATACTAGTACATTCACTTCTTTCATACCTAACTTCACCAAAACGAGCTAGTCTCTTTTCCAACACAACCAATCATAATGCTTTTCTCATCAATCTTCGCTGCTACCGCCATGGTTGGCGCCGCTGTTGCAGAGCAGCACTTCATCTCTGTCGCCAACAGGACTGGCGGACTCGTCTTCGTGCCTGAGACCCTCACTGCAGCTGAGGGTGATACAGTCACTTTCCGCTTCTGGCCCAAGAACCACTCTGTCGCCCAAAGCACATTCGCCCAGCCATGTTCGCCCATGAACAACGGTTTCTGGTCCGGCTTTGTTCCCACTACCGATAGTCAAAAGGTCGCAGACATGACCTTCACCATGGAAGTTAAGAACGCCTCAGCGCCCATCTGGTTCTACTGCACCCAGGGCCAGCATTGTCAGGCTGGTATGGTCGGTGTCATCAACCCTCCCCGACAAGGCCCCAACACCCTGGCCGCTTACAAGAACGCCTCCTCTCTTGCTCAGAGAAACGTCTCTCCCACTTCAACCGCTGGTGCTGGTGGCATGATCCAGATGGGCAACGGTACTGCGGACAACACAACTGGCTCTGGAGCACCTTCTGCAACTGGTGCCGCATCGCACCTTGCTGGTAGCGCTGCTTTCGCTGGTCTTTCCGGCCTGTTCGCTTACCTCCTCATTTAAGCGCTTCGAAAAGAAATGGTGGACAATATTACGAAACATTTGCATTGTACATACGAGCATGTTTTGAGGATGATGTATTGTGGACGTCTGCATTGCCATAGTGGCATGGAAATGGAGTAGGGCCATGATGGCATCTCCGAGATTGATCTCGATTGGGTTAAATTTTGTTTGGCGTGCATAGTATGATCGAATACAGAATGAACTAGTATGGACTTCAAACTTTCTCCCTATGTGAGTGATTTGCGATGAGCAGCTTGAACAATGTGTCATCCTGTTCCAGTGATCTTTTTGACTTCGCTAGCACCAGGTGCTGCAACAATTCGTGTGAGCTGATCAGATTTTATCTACCGTTAGCACCCGCAGCTTTCAAGTTTCATGTTGCCAGTAGCTTCAATAGCTAACTATTATCTTATAGAATACTGAGGAGGCTTTTGATGTTAGTTGCATTCCACAGTGTTTGGAGTATGAACACTCGCCGGCATCTTTTGAAGGAGTGATAATATTCACCGCACGGAATCTCGTAACAGCGATGTCTTACAACATATTTCCAACACTACCCACACCACGTCGCTTTGGTCGTGCTACATCGCAGCCGCATCACATCGGCAACCGTACCGATCACGGCATCTCCACAACCTCGCATGTACAATTACCGATGGACATGCCGCATTCGTACATCACCGACTCGTACCATCGAAGACAGCGGCATTGGTCGGCATATTGGAAGTGACGTGAGACGTGAGAGTCTGCGCACAGACGCCGTGAAGTTCCCTCAAGTTGCCGGCGAAGCTGAGCGCGGCCGGTCGGGAGAACTCGGGAATCTTCGGCGCTACTTTTGGACTCCAGCGATGAAGTCAGGGGTTAGAAATTTTGGGAACAACAAAAAATCGAGATGGGAGATTGGGTGACAAATGAACTTGGTATATTTGTTGTGAGTTGATAGTAGTGAGTTGCTTGCTGGTCTTTGGTGATGTATATCCCGAAAGTTGCCAATCGCTCTTCGTGTGACTTTTGCCACCCCTAGGGATTCCTATCCCCGGATGCGCTCATAATCATTGTGGACGCGCATGTGTCTTGAGGGACCTTATTGGGCCTCATACAGTGGTAGTGATGCGCCATGCCCTGTTTTGGGGAGTTCATGTCGTGGCTCGGCGGTGTGGTCTCAAACCTTCGTCGCGCGAGCAATGTTCCTCCGTCCTCAACTTCCCTCCCAAGTCTTCATCCCCGGAATCGAGTGCTCTTCTCTTAACTCGGAGCAAGTGTACCTTATGTATTCATCTCCTTTGTACCACCAAACTTCACTGTACTTCGTAAAGCTGCATCGCCCTCTCAAGGTCCTTCAGGCTTGACTTGTCACCGTACGCCTCTTCTAGGACTGCGCGCTTGTCTTTTTTGCTGGCAAGCTTAGACTCAAGGCCCGCAATAGCGCGCTCCATATCTTCCAGACTTGATCGCTCTCCGTACATTTCCATCAGAGCCATGTTCTTCTGTTCTTGTGTGGGCTCAAGTGCCTGATGCACCTTGCGGTTGGCTTCGTTCAAGGCATTAGTAATACCAAAGCCTATGTGGCCATTAGCAACGTCGAGCGTGCTGATAGTTCGACGGCTGGTCAGTGCCATACCACCGGCAATAATTGCCATGGTCGGTAAATACCTAGACACGGTTAGAGTTGGAAGGCAGGAAGAAGGACCAAGCACATACCATCGTGCTATCTTCCCAAGACGGGGTACAGTGTTAGCTGTGGTGGTGATGTGTGCGGCAGCGGCATCCTCCATGGAGATGGCGGCGCGTGCACGTGATGATGTAGTAAAGAGCCTTTGACGAAGCAGTGGCGCGAATCGGAACGACATTGTGGCGAATGGCGGAGTGATTCTGAGAAAGTGTTGTCTGTTCGAGTCCGGATGTGGATTCGATGGTTTTGTATGGCTTATAGACCTTTAGCTTGGTCTACTGTTCGAGTGGATCGATGGACGGTGAATGTGTGCTATTGGCTAAAGCAGTACAGACTGTATCGGCCGCGGGTGGTTTCTGATGAGACGTTGTAATGGAAGACTGTTACGGTTTGAGCTTCGGATATCGAAATCCAAGCCGCTGGGGGACATGTGAAATGTATATACGACAGCATCGTGCGGGGAAGTGGGCTGTGCAGCACATGGTCTCACCACCATCTGGGCACGACGCAACACCGTCAGGCCACGAATCACAGCACCAAACGTCACTTCACCCCATGAGATGATCCACCCAATCCGACGCGTTTTCGCGTCGCAACTCCGGCCCAAGCAATTCCAACCTGCTGCATTTCATTAGGATGCCGCTGTGACGTGCCGTGCTATTGGGCCCGTCGCTGTCGGCCGCGCATGTATCGCGGGCCATTGCCTGGAATGCGTCGGCATCAGGCACGGGAGGCACCGAGGCTAAAGAGTGTTTGATGAAGGTTGTTAGCCGTGTCAAGTTAGTGGATATCCGGATGCGGATCGGATGAACGTGTCGTGTTTGTGGGGTGAGATGCGCATCGCGTGAGATGAAATTGCTGATGTCATCACGCATACTTCGCACGGCCGGCTCGACGCAACAACACCACCCGCTCCTGCACAACATCATCGTGCATCGTGACGCCACTAAAACTTCACCTTTGAACTCTTTCCAACAATCTTCCCACCGTTAATCCTTAAAGATGGCATAGATCAGACGATGCCGGTTTTCAGACGCGCTTGTTTCTCAACCTTTCCCTGTGATACATTTAATTTGGATTTTTTTCAGATAGTTCGACTAGGATTTCATCCACTGGATTGAGCACCACTATTCAGAGCTGAGCCGGAATGTACGGCCACGAAAGTTGCTGCTAAGAAAGTGGAAAATTTACAAATTTTGCTGCGAAACATGCCCACCTTCTCGGGCAACGTTACTGAGACGAAACAGCTTTGGACCCCAAGAAGACAAATTCCACAGAGGAAGTCCTGCCGCCAGGGTCGTGAACGAAAGAGCAATTCAAGCCGTTTCCCAGGCCTTCAACTGCTTAGTGTCGAGACGTATGGTCGCTGGGTATATCGTAACGCCATGCTTCATTCGCCTGAGCTGGAGATCGTTGTATTCGGTTTCAGCATGGTACCTCAGGCAAGTCAGACTCCATGCCGGGTTTCCACTGAGACTGTACATTACAGCCTCGATATACTTTCAGAGGCCCAGTGAGAGCGATTCGTCCGAGCGCGTTCGTTCCACCATGGCCAAGTATTTCGCAACGACTTCTTCTCTCTTCTTCCGGCAGAGCTGTTTTGCTTGGCCAACCGTCATATTGTATTCTTTCATGATGATTCATACGGCGTTGACAACATCTGGCTGGCTGTACTTCCAAGCATCCTGCTCTTCTTTGTTGTACGGGAAGAGGTAGTTTTGAAGGGCCATAACTTGCCAAGCCGGCTCCATGAGGTCATGGCAGAGTGATATCTCCTCCTCTGGTATAATGAGTCCCATGTCAAATGTCACCATTCCGTGCCGGCACATTTGGCCGCAATCGAGAACTCGATATGGAAGGTATTCATCCAGTGTATGGAAGCGCTTATGGTGCTCATCTCCAGAGACATTCTGCACAAATTTTGCCCACGACTTGGCTGTCGTAATGGCACGCTCATGATCCAGAGCCATCATCTCGAGCAAGATCTGTCCCTGCAGGCGTTTCTTTCCGAAATCTGCTAAGCTTGCGTTCATGCAGGAAGATAATAGTAATTGCGAGTCGATCGGTATCTTAAGGCTGAGAGATAGCCTCTCCTATGACTTATGTCTTCTGTTTCTATCAATCGACATTTCAGGTGTGTCATATCCACATTTTGGCTCCCGAAATCTGAGTCTTGCCTTTCGTCGAAAAGAAATCACTAGTACCAGTATTGTGTATGGTTACAACAATGATTTCAAGACTACACAATCATTTGCAGGCACATTGTGTACCAGAATGACCACTTGAGAGGCAGAAATAAAAAGTTTGGGCATGCGATACTGCGATTGAGGGTCGAACTCGAGACCTCTCCTGAACGCAAGGACTGTGAAGGGAGCGTCATAACCACTAGACCATGGCAGCTGGGTCATCTTATGTACTTTTGTTCAAATTTTGTGCATTTATCAGTGTTTACGTTGAGCAAACACACATCTTCAAGGAGGGTAAAAGCGTGAACTAGCAAAGTGTAAAGCTAGTGACGTGACGTTGATGGTCACCATCACTTGGAAGATTTCAGAAGTTCGAGTAGCACGGCAGTGTTGTCTGATGGTAAAGGTCGATATACACATGAGAATCCGCGAAAGAGTCCGGCTAAGCATTTCATTCTCACGCGATCCACGCTAGGGAGTCTCGATCATGAGGCATCTACCCGCAAACTCTGCGCCCTCATAAACCACCACCATCTTTAAACATGTCATTACGATTCTATGTAGTTTTCTGTTTACAGAAATATGTCTCACCAAGTAATATCAGCGCATTCGGGTTGTCTGAACGTTGCAGGAGGAGCAGGCGAGAGCCAAAAGTTATGCAGAAGCAAGATCGCGCAAGTCGTCTTAGAGTACTTTCTCATTTATTGAAGACCAGTTGCTACAGCCATTTCGACAACCGCGGCGGCTATGATCGTCGCGAAGTTGACAAGCGCACGGGATTTTGACAAGCAGGCGGATGATGCAAATAATCAAACCCAATGTCTTTCCTCCTGCACCAACAGGGTCCACGCTCAAACTTCCGACATTTCATATTGTCTCGAATACTAACACTGGCTTCTTCAAATGTGTGCATGTCAGGCGTTCCGGTTTTGTTCGGTTCTCCGAACTTGAGACTCTAAACTGAACCATGAACCCAAGGACCACAATGAAATATCATTCCACCACCTGTGGCGCTCCCAAGACACCAAGCATCGAACCCAGGTGAAGGTGCCATTTTGGATGTCATATTGTCTTTTCATGATCGGACTCTGATTGCTTGGCGCAAAGGTCGACATTCACCCACGATGCGCAAGTGAAGCCAGGCTGCAATATCGTCGCCTGATGCTCCGGGAACTCTGCCGATAAAACCCTTCCAGTTTCTCCGCATACGAGATTTCTTATACCACAACTGACTCCATCATTAACCTCAAACAAACGCGTTATCAACACCCTCTTACAACGATACGATTCACACCAGCCATCTTCACCAAACCTGTCATGGTCCATCACCAGGATGTCCCGGCTGGCCCGAGCCACCTATCACTAGTCAATCTAACTGAGGACTTTTGCTCTGCATGTGAGCTGGTCAAGGACCTGCCCAGTGGCAATGGAGAAGACGATTGGAACAACTTCGAAGGCCTTTGGCAGCAAGTCCAAGCTCGACCCTTTGAGGATGTACGCAACATGATTTTCGAACATGCGTCGATAGAGCTGATAAACTCTCCGCTCTTCGAGATTCTGTTCGAGATCGAGCATGAGGTCGCTCCGCCGAAGACCTTTGCTTCTGCGAGGCTTGGACCGCTGTCTGAGCATTCCATAATAATGATGCAGTTTGTGCGCATCCAACCCAGTTTCACTGCAAAAGATTTCCTTAGTCTCTGCGTGATACTCGACACCGACTTTCTAAAGCACATGGAATTTGGCCACCACCCTCTGACGTCCAAATTCATGCGCATGCTCAGCTTGTTACACAATAAGAAAGTCAATGTCTTGGATTTTCTCTCCACCGAGGATACCGATGCACTGCTCGAGACTTGCCCTCTGTTTAGAGTCCTTATACACACTCTCTCGGCCTCTGCCTGCCATGTCCTTATCAAGCTGGGCGAGGTCGAGCCGGCGCTACTCCGCTTGAAAACACCTCAGGGCTTCCACTCACAGGGCGAATCCATCCATGCCCCACCTTATCCTCCCGATGAGCGCTATGACCTCAAGTACGACTACGCGCAATTTCTTCAATGTCTGCAAAATGCAGAAGACCACATTGACCAATTTCAATTCGACGGAGCTCAGGATTATGGACATTCGAGCTTCGACATCCTGCACCGTCGGCTTCACGAGATGGTGGGACGAGTCACTGTGGCAGAGTTCATGGCCGGTCGTGAACCTACAGAAGGCACTCCGGGCGCCATCATCTACAATCACCTCATCGACGCTTGCAATCCCCAGTTGGACTGCATTTTGTTTTTCGCCAACATTGCCAGCGATGGCGATGGCGAGGCGTTTCTGGAAAATGCATGGCAACCACTAGCACAAAACCCTGGTATCATCAGCCGACCCGAAGCTACCACGTTGGTCGACAAACTGAAAAAGGTCGATCTCGCAGACATTGCGCGCGAGAACATGAAGTGCATGCATTGCTGGGGTCAGTTCGATGAAGTTGAGGAAGGCGTAGATAATCTTCCTGTTCAGCTTCCTTGTGACTCGCGACATATGCTGGGTCGAGACTGCCTAATTGATATCCTTGTCAAGACAGGCCCGCTATGTCCATTGTGTCGAGTGGATATTGTAGCTCTGAGCGCTCGGTGATCGACCGGCTCAGTGTAGATGGAGTGGCTAACGCGGGCGTCGCGGGCGTCGCGGGCTGACAGCGGCATACACGGAATTTTCATTCTGTAAATCTCGGCGGAGATGTAGTAGGCAACCACATACTCTTGGCACTCTAAGATATTGTTTGATAGTAGCTCTTAATGCCATTGTTTAATTCAGACTGCAACGTCTTCTTGTCAAGCGCGAGTGTCATTTCACTTTCGTCAACGTGCCGGACCTGAGATCATTTGCGCAAACCATAGGTAACGGTAAGTAAGTCCGAGATATGACCTCTACAAGTCATGCGTTGACCGCCCCTTCACGGCTTCGAAACTTACTACAAATCTGATGCTAACAACCGCTTATCCGTATACGACCATCGAACGATTAGAACAAGTCATTCCGTCCTCTCTACTATCTTTACCGATATCGGGGCGTAAATTCTTTGTCAAAATATATACCTGTCTCTCTCATTGCAGTAGAAGTCGATTACAGCAGTTCCGAGATCTTGTGTGCGACCTTAGCTACCATAAGCACAAATCGATTAGCATCTTGAGAAAAGCAAGACAAGTCACAAGAGCCATTTGCAACATTGCTTCAATATTTCTTAACGTTTAAGACTACTGTAGCAGACTTCATGCATTGGTTGTATCTGGCTTATTTTGCAACCTGAAAGCCTCTTTCCGCGAAGCAGATGTCCTTATGATTCTCTTAAAAGCTATTCTCCGCAGACGGGAATCAAATCTATGCCTCGGATAGTGATCAGCTGCTATGATCCTCTTCACTTGTCTTGTGTGGCACAACCTTTGCTCCTTCATCTCAGTTGTTTGTTGCTCTTCTCGCAACAATCTTCGCTCGGCGTTTCAGAGCTGGATTTTGATAACGCTATCAGGAGACTTATAGAGCTGGTTCCCCACAGTTGGAGTATGCTGGGTTCGGCCCTACATAGCCCTCGGAAAGCCAATAACCCGAGCTTTCCTCGCTCTCGTCCCCATCTTCAAGTACCGGCAGTTTCAGAGGCGGGTAAGGGTAACGCTCGATGGACCTGTCCTGCACGCTGGGCTCTTCGCTATCCAACGACCGCCAGTGTGATCTACCGAAGAACCTCTTGACCGGAGCCTCGCGCGGATGGTCAAGCAAAAGGTCAGAGGTCTCCACCGCCCAATAGTCCCGAGTAGGCAGCTCGACCCTCATGTTGCGCAACTGCGTGGACTCCCAGAAGGCGTCGAGCAAGGACAGCGCTGGGCCATCGAGTACATCGTGGCCGTGATGTTGCCAGAGGAAGAAAGACAAGCAAATTCCGCGGAGGTGGCGGCAGTACGTGACGATGTTGTCGAGTACTGGCTCGAGGTGATCTAGTTTGAGAGATACTCTGCCGTTTTCTTGTTCGACATCGTGCGCCTGAATGGTTATCTCGATGGAAGTAATCGATGCGAGCCGGTTGTGTGGGATAAACTTGGGGAGGTCAAGGAGTAGGCGCTCAGTCTTGATGTTGATGCAATTGGCAGAGTACAAGATATCAATGCCTTCAGTGTATGCTTGCTTACACGACAGCAGAAAGCCCATAATGCCAATGCTGTGCGCATTCGAGATGGTCCCTGTGCGCTCTATCCTCTGTATGCACGAGCAGCCCCACGGGCCACGCCAACCATACCGCATAGATGGCCTAGCTGTCCCGTGACGAGTACAGTTCCGAATACAGACGCCGCCTCTCCATTGCCAGTTCCCCTCATGGTGCACAATGTCCACGTGGAAGGTCCGGCCACCAAAAGCCATAAAGAGGATTATGCTCCGGACATCGTAAGGCAGCTGGAAAAAAAGGCATGTCGGTGCAACGAGTGACGTCGGCGTGATAGGGCGTCGTTTCGAGGGGAGGAACGGCGGCTGGTCCGTGGATTGCTTCTTTCGACCTGGTCCACACACCAGGTGCTTCCTTGCCCAGGCGCCGAACTTAGTCATTATCACGACTTTGAAAAGTAGGATCCGGATGGAAAAGAGGACGGAAGTTGGGGTACAAGCTCATATAGTCCACATTGCCAAGGCAAGAGTTGGGTGTTCGCCGCCTTGATAATCTCTGAACCCCTGCGAAGGAGTTCCAGCATCCGCCCCTGACCGTGAAGATACTTCAAGCTCTGAGATTATCTCCTATGCCATGAGAATATAGTGCAAAGGGTGTAGGACTTGTCAGCGGTGATTTGTCTCAATGAAGATATGCTGTCTGTACGTGTCTTGAAAACTTTTACATTATATTGCACGCCAAATGCCAATCCTTCCACATACGACCACAGGACGATGAAAACTAGGCTTCCCGTCCGCTCAGCCATATATAAGCATCGTACCGGCGGATTAGTAGTTAAGTGGGTGACCATTAGCGAATCCCCGCTGTTGTATGTTTTTACCTTTTTTTCTTCCACCTTGCTGATTATTTTTGCTAGCGTCACTAAGTGGATCCATGACTCAAGCGATGCATACTTGCTAGTACGAAGGACATCCTTATATCACTCTGCTGTGAAACAAGCTAAGTGACTTTTCTCCTTATAACTTTAACGATTAAGAATCCTAGGAGGTCGTTTATAGAAAATTGTCCAGAGAGTAGATTCGCCGCACTAATCGTTGTAAAAGTCTGAGTCGACCATGTGCGGCGCGATCTGCATCCAGTTGATGTTTTTGTTCTGTGCATCCATCAATAGGCTTGAATGTTTTGGGTCCGCCAGATTCATCTTCCTCCTCAGTGTCATCTGGCCTGCTTGGTTCCCACTTAAACATTCACGAATTTCACAAACGTGTTGCTCGGCCAGTCCATTCCCAGAGCATCAAGTCTGCCTAAACTCTGCAGTACCTCGTCATCAACCATAATGAACAAATTGAAGCGCGGAATGACTTCAGCGTAGTAATCTCCGGGTTGTCGCTCCACTTCTTCTGCGGCCCAGGCACGGAACTTCTCAAGCAGCGCAGCAGGCGATGCGCCGTCCAATGTAGGATCCTCCACCCAAGCCCATTCGAGACGATCAGCAACCTTAGGCGCGTCCGATGACGCGATATCTTCGCGCGAATAGATCTCGACGTGAGATAAAATATTGGGCCCAGGTTGATGCATTAGCAGCGGCCTACGAGCAGCGATAGGTGACCCAACCCTATTTATGAATGATGAGCGAGTCTGCATAGAAACTGCAGACTTTGGTTGGTGCTGATGTCAACGTTGTAAGAAACGAAGATGCGGCGGGTACATGTGGTGGGAGCGAGCAGTGGTGATGCTGGAAATAGTCAGGCCTAGTCTTGTTTGGCATTTTTTGTCGATACAAATAAAGAGGGTTGGGTGCGTCGCGGGAATAGATGGATAAAGTGCATGAGATCGATGAGCTAGTAAACGATGTGATACCGAGATGTGCAGCAAGGTTGTGCAGATGGGAAAGAACGTTGGGATATTTTTAGACCGTCGTATAAAGCTAACACAACTCAGGTAGCACTAATGCACACACTGCATGTAAGTTGGTCCTGGCTTGCTTACTTCGAACGACCCCGCATATACCTTTATGCACACTCTTTCCTCCGCTTGGATTAAGTAGTAAAGATCATTACTTCGATAAGTATGTAGTCTACAACTTTGTGCTTCATCGACCATCCATCTGACCAGAAAGCAACGAGTCCTTGCCTGCTGTTTCTATCTGGAACAACTTATCATGACTTCGGGATACGCGGTAAGCATTGCCATTATGGCGCAATAAAAAGTGTTGCTACGCCGCCTCAACCCTTGTGGGGGTTTAGATTTGGATGGATCAAAGTAAAACTCGACTCCACAATGAGGCATTCCACAAGAACCCCATTTATGGGACTTGGCAATTATACAATATCGAAGAGAAGGATGAGTTTGCTAAGATACGAACGATAATGGAGTCAAGGACGCCCACGGACTATGGCAAATCAGCGCCCTTTTCCTCAACACGTTTCACGATCGTCACTTTCTGGTAGATGCATCCGACGACCATGGTATTGATCATTCTGCTGATTCACACAGATCTTCAACATGGCCAGGATCTATTCAACTATACGCGTGGCCGCTTCGTTCACAATGATGAGCACGAAATGTCGCGGCGTCATGTGCGCTTCAATGTCAATGAGCTCGCTCGCTGTGTGGCAGAAGCTGTTGGTGCGAAGGCATGCATGAATATTTCAAAATACCTGGACGGCATGTACAACAAGAGCATGTTGTTGACTATGAATGACGGCTCCCGAGTGGTAGCTAAAGTTCCGAACCCAAATGCCGGGCTACCTCATTTGGCTACGGCAAGCGAAGTTGCGACGATGGCTTTTGTAAGTTTTACTGGTTGTGTTAGACTCTGTATCTAGCTAATAAATATCAGGCCCGGAAAGTTCTTGAAATCCCTGTACCCAGGGTTTTGGCTTGGTGTTCCCGGGCTCACGAGAATACTGTTGGCGCAGAATATATCATCATGGAAGAGGTCCCAGGAATTGAACTAGAACAGGTTTGGCCGAAAATGAGCATAGAAGACAGGTTTGCTGTTGTCAAATCCATCGTTGGTTTCCAAAAGGCCTGGACGTCGGTCTCCTTCACGAACTACGGAAGTCTGTATTTCTCGAGAGATTTGGAAGGCGCGCCTAGCAGCCAGCCACTCTACATCGACGAAAACGGCAATTACATCACAAATGAGGAATTCGCTGTTGGGCCCTCGACAGCACGCGAGACCTTCGATAGCGGAAGAGGAGGCATTGACTTTGACAGAGGACCTTGTAAGTAGGCCATTGACAAAGATAATCTTCTAACTAATGAAGATAGGGGGCTCTTTAGAAGCGTATCACCGCGCGATTGGACATCGTGAAATGGCGTGCGTTCGCCAACTCTCCGAATTACCCAAATCTCCGGTAACCCTGTGCGGTCCAGGAACCTATCAACCAACAAAAGCAAAGAAGCTCAAAGCTTTACACTACTACCTCGACATGTTGAAGTACCTGCTCCCTGAAGATCAGAAGATCTCGACAGCTCATCTCTGGCACGATGACTTACACGTTGCTAATATCTTCGTCGACCCCGCGGAGCCCACCAAAGTTGTGAGCCTTATAGACTGGCAGTCGACAGAGATATCTCCACTCTACTTCCATGCCCGGCAACCCCACTTCATTGACTACGTTGGCCCACCCATCAACGGTCTGGAGCGACCACAGCCTCGGAAGGACTTGGACGAACTTGCACCGTCAGAGAAAGAGGCCGCTAATGCTTTATATCTGCAGCAGTCGCTCTGTTCACTCTACAATACCATCACCCATCGCCAAAATCCCCGCCTCTACGCTGCGCTCCAGTTCCAGAATACACAAAAGTACTTGCTTCTGGTGTTAGCACGTAATCTCCTCATCGATGGCGAGGCATCCTATCTTTCACAGATAGCCGAGCTCGAGTCGACTTGGAGCGAGTTTACCGGCAACGAGGGTTCCACTTATCCATTTGCATTTTCCGAAAAGGAACGAAAAGAGCTCGAGGCCGACGTTGAAGGCGTGGTACGAGGTATGGAAGCGATGCGTTCTATAAGAGAGAGTTTGGGAGAGTTGTTTCCTGAACAGGGCATAGTGAAGTCAGACAATTACGAAGAAGCTCTGGATGCATTGTCGCAGATGAAAGATCAGGTCATTGGTGAATTTGCTACCAACGCATCTGAAAGAGAAGCGTGGGAGAAGGCATGGCCTTTTGGAGCTTAATTAAATTGTTTGGGACACTACGAGTATATCCTCTAATGCACATTGCTCCTGAGAAATGGGTTTATAGCCCGCCATTGACTTTCCTATTCATATCATGGCCCAACCTCAATGCTAGGACAATCTCAATTTGCACTTCCCATTCTTCATAGCTCCACTGTTATTTTCTACGGAAACGCGCTAGCCAAATCCCCATCGATCGCTGCCTTTTTCGCGAGACCATCAGCCACTTTATTGAACTCCCTGGGTACCCACCAAAGTCCGATCTAAACATTATCAGTCTTGGCTCCATGAACGGTAGCCCGAAACATGATGACTTACCCTTGTGTTGTTCGCCTCGTGCTTCTTCATTTCGCTATCGAGAGCAAGAAATAGGTCAAGATTAAGTGGTTTGGTACCTCTAGCCGTGCACCAGTTGTTTTTCTGCAAACTTGGTCAGAAACATGATAGCTTTTGGCTGGGGGAAAAGGAACATGCCTTCCACTTGGGGAGCCACTCTGTCATTCCCTTGACGACGTATTCCGAGTCGGTCGCGATGATCCAGTCAGCTAACTTGTTTTTGGGCTTGCCGGATGCCTCTTGTGTGTTGATATGAGCGGCCTCGGCGAGGAAGGCGAGACCCAGTCTTGCCGCATAGAGTTCTGCTCGCTGGTTTGATCGCAACGGGAAATGGTCTTCGTCGTCGGTGATGGGTATGGAAAGTTGACTGAGGTCATTGTTGCCATATGCTACACCAGCTCCTGCTCTTGCTCGCGGATTGCCGTTGTGTGTGCAAGCACCGTCTGTGAACACGATGCGAAAGTGGTGACAGGGTCGAGTTGGTTTCTGGCTCTCAGGAAGATCATAGTACTTATTGTTACATCCACAGCACCATAACAAGAAGTCCTCGCAATCAGGACATTCTTTGACGCACTCATGTATGGGCCAAGCTGCCATCGTGGGGCAGAGGTCGAACGCTCTATGCTTGATGATTTGTTCGCCCATTTTGGTAGATTAAAGTTAAAGCCACGGAGTCTTCATGTAGAGGTATGGGTGGTTGAGGTTGAGCTGTGCTTATTTGCTTGAGTTTGAGCTGTGCTTGCTTGCTTGAGCTTGAGCTTTGCTTGTTTGCTCCAGGTTGAGCCATGATTGTTTGCTTGAACGGCACTGCCATAGTGAGGATCGCTGACGAGGTTCATGTGGAGAGGTACCGGCGGCGGTTGGCAGATCTTTCAAACCGAAGCTCCGCGATAAAGATGCTGGCATTACCCCGAGGATCCCACCATCCAGACAATCCGATCAGAGAGCATGGATGGTATTTCTGTTGTGATGCACCAGGAGTGGCCTTTCGCGAATGAGGTGTGCCTGGCGGATTAGCAGCGTAGATGAGATTAGATTTCAACACCAAAAGATTGTCAAAGAGACTGGAAGTAATGTGTTTTTGAGCACAATACTGCTCAAACCATGTGTCCTTCATTGTAATACTTTCTAGTGTAGTGGTATAATGCAACCGTCACTTCCTCGCCTCTCCAAGATTTCGAAATAATATCAACGTCAGTATCTCGCGTGCACTACGCCGGCATACTGGATCTAAAAAGCGTCGAGACACTTTGCGTTACTAAATATATGGGCTAGAACGCGGGGGAAAAAGAGTCAAAGGACTCGGCCTCACAAAGGCTAGAAGAAAGACGGGTCTAAGCGCGAGGTGTCGAGGCCAGAAGCTGGCCGAGACTTCCGTTGGCCGCGGACAAAGAAGGTACCGGTGATTTGGCATACACAATTTCACCTTCGATGGTACTGGTCGAAGTCGTGGATATCGGCGCTGTCTTATGCGAGTAGAGCTTTGGACTTGAGGGTGCTGTCAATGGCGTCACGAGATTTATCGACTTAGACCCATACGAAGAGCTATGCGGATGCCTAGGAGGAAGCGGGCGAGATGTCGCTGGGGTGAATGGTAATGAGTAGCTGACTGACGACGCTGGTGTATGTGATAATGACGGCGCAGCACTGAAGCTGACTTGCGAGGTAGATGAACGGCTGTAGCGAGGTCGGTGAGTTCGCACGGTCTCAGTAGCGCATATAGATGACTGGAATTGGCGCAAGTAGCGCGATGCTTCTGAGTTCATGGTGTTTGATTTCTCGTTGATGGACCACGCGTTGTCGTCCGAGGAGATGTCTGAGAATGCAAGCGAAGATCGTTTTGATTCAGGCTGCGTGGGAGATCGCTGGGGCACAATGTCGCGAAAATGGAAATCCTCAAACGAGAAGTTGGCAAACGGTGTAGCAGGTGGAGAGTACGCGTCGAAGCCGTAGGCGAGGCTCTTCTCGGTATCCTTCTTGCGGCAGCTATCTAACAGTAAGCATGTGTCAAAGATGCATAAGTGTGCACAATATCTTACCTTTCTGAACAGTACAGGATGGAGTTGCTTGGTGTGATAATCTGCTTTTCGCAGACCGTGCTACCATATGTTAGCATGTGCTGATTGGATGTTAAGATGAGGCGAGTCGCTTACCAAAAGTTCAGGAAACTGACAGCCATCGATTCCTCGTCGTCCCAGGACTCGGTCTCCACCTCCTTCTGATGGGCGGCTTTAGTACTGCCTTTGCCGTAGGAATGTGACCGTTTCGAGAGCGGAGCAGGTTTGGTGGATCGTGCGTGCGCCGGCAGCGACCTTTTTGAAGGATGACGGACGTGGTGCGTAGCCATCGTATGGAATGGAGGTGGTTGAATTTTAAAGCCTCACTGATTAAATCGCGCACGGTCACTGTGGAGAGCGATGTTGTTACAGGCTGGCGAAACGGCGAAGAGGCGGTGACACAGCTGCAATGTACCTGCTGTCGGGCGCTGATATGACGGCAACGGCTTTGTTCAGAGCTTATCGCGAGGCCCCTGCGTCAATACTTTTAGCCAGGAACACTATAATTCGGTCGTACACTAGATCTCGGACAAGTGCCATCGCGATGACAAGGGAGCGAAGCATAAAACAGGGATCCACTGATTTGCATGCCGATGAACAAAGCGGGTGTGATGAATGTCGAAGCACAACAAACTTACAAATGATGATGGATGTGCGACGTCGGGAGGATATCGGCAGCTCCCTTTCTCTGAGGTCGTGAAAGGCCCGTGTAGCGGTAACGGCAATCTGTCGCACGGTGCTGAGCGATAAGGACCTTGGGCTGTGATAGAGACTTGGGTAGGTGCCGAGGGTTTCCTAAGCAATGGCGGCAAGCGTCGGCGTATGGGCGACTGGCAATCTGTCTGATATGAGAGCGATGGCAGCTTGGGAGGGAACTGCGTCAATAAGTAATAGCACCCTGGCGTCGGCGATTGTGGACAGCAGCTCTAGAACGTGGTTGACGACGACAAGATCCATATATATAGCCGGGTTATCGTTAGACGTGTGGGGAAGTTTCGCGATTGCGACGTCCAGGTAGCCATTGATATCATCTAGCACACCAGAGCACGCCATATCCCGGTCCCTGTTGGCTGACTCAAAGCTGTGTCCCCCACCCTCACTCACTACGGTGCGTTCAAATTTAATTTGCAGTCTTTCTGCTGTAGCAGACAGCGGGGTCTGGCTGTTCGGATTACCCATCACAGTCGTTGCGCATCGTTGTGCATACAGACTGGCGTGACTATTGGCGAATAGAAGCAGCTGAGGTGCCACACGAATAGCCGAGTGAGCCAGGTCCACGCCGTTAGTTTGGTTGGGGGTGCTCGCAGCGGGTACCATATGAACCCTCTCTGTCCATTCGGGTGCGTATCAACAGCTGCAAACGGATCACGACCTGCGACGTCTGTCGGTAACCTCCTCAGACGATGCAGAGCTTCTGCGAGTGTGACACAAGCTTTGCATTGTGAATATCCCTCAGGTGACGAAATCACGCAACGACCAAAAATGTGCTCGAGGCTTTGCATCGGATTCGCGCGCCCGATCATCAAGGCTAGTTTCGCACTTTGTTTCCCGACTCGATGCAACTGCTTCTGCCTTGAAAGTTGACAATGCTATGGACTGTGGGTCCGTCGTACTAGGCGACATGACGCCAATGAGCGTTCTCCGTCAAGGACACTCGCTGTCGGAATCCCTGACGGATCGGAAAATTTCACAAACCGCAACTCGAAACATGACCGCGTGCGGCGGTCTGCCATTGCGATGGGACGAAACAGTGCAAGTCTAGATTGGCATGCGTTGAGCAGAAAACTTCTTCCGACAGGTCAAATTGCAAATGGATCCTGTTCGGCCTGACTCCTGGTGATGCACCATATCTGGATTGGAGTTGAATGTGGATAAAATGGAGCCATCTGTTGATGTTCAGGCACTGCCGGAAAATCAACCTGGGAAAAGTTGAAGCCGCTCCGCTCTACCCCACAAATGTTAGCGACAGCTCAGCCATGCCGTAATACCGCAGTTTCAAGACCAAAGGGTGACCCACTACACGCGTTCAAGAAAGTCTCGAACGTTTGCTCGTTGCGTATAGTCGCAGATATCAGCACCTGGAGCGCTGCGTTCAGATCGAAAAATTGCCTCAGTGTCGCAACTAGGCGTGGTATGACGATCTTATCGTACGTCTGCAAGTCGGTATAAGTGTAAATCCTGGAATTAACTTAAGTAATGAGAGCTTACAACGTCTGCCCCAAGAAGTATATCGGGAATCTCCATGCCATAGTCTTCTTGAAATGTTGTCTTGTCCAAGGGCCGACCCCACTTCAATGCCGCTGTTGTCAACGTGCACCGACAGGAGTCGTCATCGTCGAGTCCATTGAGAAAAGAGTTCGTCTTAATAGTATCAACAACAGCCTCATCGCCGTCTGTTGCTACGATACCAGAGATGTCAAGGTGCTTCGCACATAGTATGGACAGCATGCCAGTACCTGCGCCAAGCTCGAACACTCTTTTACCCCGGATCGACGCTTGGCCATCTGCAGATGCGAGGTACGATCCAAGTAAGAGTGCGGCTTCCCATGTCCTCAAGCCGGTAGTACCCGACGACGATATGACAGACCTGGCTTCAAGTAGCGTAACTGTCCGGTCATCCGACGTGCTTCCATCGTTCGATGGGTGGGGAAAAGCATACGTCACGAATGCCTTTTGTTGGGCGGCGTCGGCTTCCGATGGCACGCTGGAGAAGAGGAGAGATGACATAGCAGACATGAGATCATCTGAGATTTCCTGTGGGCATGGGAGGGCAGGTTAGCGATGGTTGCACTCGGACGAAGGCTGCTTAAAAAGATCGCGTAACGGCGTGATCTGGTACGCGAATTGATCGAAAGAGTTACAATGCAGTCCACAGCGAAGAGATGGGCAATCATACATCCTCTTCGGGGTCGTGTATGGCACCCTCAAGCTTTGATATGAGCAATTTGAGCACTCTAAGCTGGTAACGATCCGGCGGCGGTGACTTGATTCGCTCTGTATCGAACATCTCGCTGAACAGCCAAGTCTGTACAGCAGGCTTCTTCAGAGTGAAGTTGTCTGGCCATCGTAATTGATGGGGTTCCACTAGCTGGAAGTATTGCCGTTGGAGCACTCGCAGCTGAGGTATGATGACCGGATCTGCCATTGTGGTGCGATGAGGCGTATGGATTCAAACTATTGGGTGGATGACCTTTTGTTATACCCAGTCTTTCGGTTTGCAGTCGGTAACACGCAGTAGCTTCTCGCGATTGAAGTTCTCAACAATCGTGGTGTTGCAGAATTGTCGCGATGCGAGTGGTGTTCTGCGGCGCGCTTACCTAATGGAGAGCGGGGCGCTAAGGCTCGCTTACCACACCACTCTGGAATTTCGCAGTCTTTGACGACGATACATTCTGCGCCGCCCAACTAACACCACAGCGAATCGACAATAGCGGGATCAAAATCTGTCCAGTACGTCAATATACATCAATCGCGATACAAACCTGCAAGCAATTCGCCGTGCTAACATGCCCAGGTCGACACATCCGCCACCATGTCCGACTCCCAAGTTACCCTGCGCACGCGCAAGTTCATCCGCAACCCCCTCCTCGGTCGTCGCCAAATGGTCGTGTAAGTGCAGGAAATACAAATATTGGCAGTAATTCCGGTCGACAAGGTCTGACGGTTGCCATATAGCGATGTTCTCCACCCCAACCGCGCCAACGTCTCCAAGGACGAGCTCCGTGGCAAGCTCGGTGAGCTCTACAAGGCCAAGAAGGAGGATGTCTCTGTCTTCGGCTTCAAGACACACTTCGGTGGCGGCAAGAGCACCGGCTTCGCTCTCATCTACGACAGCGCCGAGGCTATGAAGAAGTTCGAGCCCCGCTACAGGCTCGTAAGATACGGCATGGCCACCAAGGTCGAGAAGGCCTCCAGGCAGCAGCGTACGTCTCGTGCATCTCCAAGCGCCGGCACGACTGTGACCGAGCGCCTGGGAATTATAGCCGCGAACACACACTTACAAATAAACAGGCAAGCAGCGCAAGAACAGGATGAAGGAGTTCCGCGGTACCGCCAAGACCAAGGGTGGTGCGAAGAAGGACAAGAAATAAGCGCATCGACCATAACGATGACTACGAAGGTCATGGTCGGGGCCGAACGGTGGCTACTCTGGAACTGGTTTGCCTGGTACTTGATCACCACGGCACGCATGGAGTTGCAGCGGGCATCGGCATGTATAGCTATGAACGCATGAAAAACTCTTGCGCATGGGAACGGCAAGAAGGATGGCGTTTGAGGTTCATTTCCTGCTCACCATCAATGCATATCATGGACCCTTCGAATTCAAAAATATTCGCCACCCACCTTTTTCTTCTTGTGCATACGATGAAATACTGTTCTGCGCCACATGCGTCTTCTTGATTCTCGACTGACAAAGATGCTACCAGCCTACTGACATAGTACTCGTGAACCCTTGTGTTGACTTTCAAAGACACAATATGATCGATGATGATTCACTTTGATATTACTATATTCATAACGCATCACTTCGTGCAAGGCACACTGCCATGTTACACTACTATACATATGCTATACACGCTTAAGTCGGAACAGCAGCCTCCTTCTTGACCGCCTCCGTTCCCTGTTGCACATCTTCCATCGCCTCTGGCGCAGCTACACCTTCCCCATCAGCAGTGGGTGTCTGCTGCGCTCCGTCCACGGCTCCCGGCGCAGCTGTCTGCACCACCGGCGGCGCCACAACCTTCTTCTGCATTTCCAAAAACCGCCTCGGCACACCCTTCGCCGGCGGCATACCCAGAAACCCTTTACCTCCCATACTCTCCAACGGCTTCGCTCTGCCGCCCACATAACACCCTAGATCGCCCGACCACACAAACCCACCGCCCACGACACCTCTCAAGACACCAAAGGCCCGGGCATCGCGATACGCAATCCCCGTTTCCGGATCGCGATAACGCGCAATGGCATTCGTGACTGCACACAGCGGCTTCACAGGCTTGAGGGCAGCGTCGCGCTCAGCCTGGGCTTTCTTCGACGTGGTCTTGGAGGACGAGTGGGACAACTGGTTTGTGACGAAGGCTGTGGCGTCGGCGAGGGACCAGGAGAAGAGGGTCATGCTGAGCTGGATGAGGGCGGCGCGGTCTTTGTCTTTGAGGAGCGAGGCAGAGCCGCGGACGCGAGTTGGGGGTATGTCAAGGTTGGGGAAGGAGGAGAGGATGAGGAGGTTGCGGAGGGCGCGTTTGATGGCTTTCTTGCGGGGAGGGGCCGGGGGCATGGGCGGGCCTTGTTGGAATTGCTGGAGTAGGGTTTGGGGGCCGATGGCGCCGTCCGTAGGGTACTGTTGTTGAGGGAATGCAGGCTGAGAGGTGGTGTATTGGGAGTTGTAGGGCGAGGCTTGTGTGAAGGGGTTTGGAGGGAGATCGGAGGGGGTATCTTGTGTTTGCTGGCCCTGAGCGTACTGGTCGATGCCAAAGAGGAACGAGTCTTGACTAGGTGGCGCAAACATTATGCTGTTCGGATATGGCATGCCGTGAGACCCCATGAAGACATCGCCGCCAGAAACTTGTGATGCAGCTGTCCACGGCACTTGTGATGGCTGTTGTTGCTGTGATAGTGATGTCGGAATGGATGGCATATGTGCGACGCTTGCAGTCGGTTGAATGAAGCTCGGAGTGTCTTGTGTCGGCTGCTGCTGGTCGTTCGGGGTGCCGTTGACAGGCCCTGCTTCACCAGGTACGGAGTGTTCAGGCTGATTCTGCGGGCCCTCGAATGTCGGCTTGTTTGAACCATCTTCTGGCTGCTGTGGGATGGCAGCAGATGGCTCCTTGTTGAGCTTTTCTTCCAGATGCTCCAGAGTGGGCGCATCCTTGCCCGTGTATTTCAGCTTATCGTCTACCCATATTGCGGGGCCACTGTAGTATCGTATGTACGGACCCTGCATCTGGCGATTCTTCATAGCATCGATCTTGGCTTGTCGCTCCGCCGCTCTTGCCTCCTCCGCCTCCTCCCACCTGTGCAGCGTCTTCTTATTGATCCTCTCGTTTCGCGCGCACTCAGCGAGGCGTTCTGCCTGGGTCAACGGCTTCGGCTCGTCCTTTTTCTTCCGCGCCTCAGCAGCCTTCATCATGGCTAGGGTATCATCGCGGCGGCGGTCCTTCTCCAAGAGCTTGGAGAGCGTCGCTTCCTTGTTCGCCACTGTCTGTGTCCTTGCGGACGCCCGAACAGGACCATCCTCTTCGGTCGGTAGCCATGAAGCTCGCTCGGACTTCTTCTTCGGTCGCGGAGGGGCGTCTATCGGTGACTGCGCGCGGAGCAGGTCGAGCTTGACTTTTTTCCGGGTGACAGCTGCGACTCGAGCTGCGAAGGGATTTGTCACGGCTTTGCGCTTCTTGTTTCGTTCTTGACGCTCTGCTTTGCGCAGTTCCCTTTCGCCTGCATCGTCTTCGTCGCCGTCATCGTCTCCCTCCTCCGAGGACGACGAATCCATGTTATAGTCTTCCTGCTCATTAACATCGCCGCCCTGAAACTCCTCCTCGTTTGGAGCTTCCTCCCACTCCTCGCCCCATTCCTCTTCCTCCTCGGCTTTAGCAAGGAGCGTGGACATGCGGTTGCCGGCATTGGCTCTGCGCGCCCTCGTCTTGACCATGAGCTCCGTCGGCGCCTCCGGCTCGCTCTCGTCTTCAGAACCTTCAACATGGCCCTCGGGCGGCACATCCCCCGCCATTTCCACATCCATTTCCTCGGTGCTCATGGTGATAACAATGAGACGGGCCACGGTAGGGATAGCAGGTTCGGGGAAGGTGCAGGCGAGGTGCAGCAATGCGCTATGGCTTCCAGAAAGCTTCCATGAGGCGCGGCCAGTGCGCAGGATGTGCAGTGAACGGTCGCAGGAAGTTTATGCAAGGACGGGTCTGTGCCGCGGTATTATGCGAGCGCGGAGTGGTGGAGTGTTTCGAAGACCGTTGGACGGGCTCGGTGGTGTGCAGGCTCACCAGTGAAGAGTGACGCGAATCGACGACGCGACAGCCAACGGAGGACCTGGTCGGCTTGGCATGGACTGAAACTTAGCGCCGTCTTCGATTGAGGTCGTCTGGATTGCTAGCTGCTTCAAACGTCCAACGCCCGCTAGTTCCCTTCGCATCGCATCCCAACTGTCAGGCACGGCTCCCGTCGGCCAGGTACGACGGTCGGCAGTGAATGGATTGACAAATTGCGGCCATCACAAGGCTTGACAGATGTGCACTCTGTCATCTCCCATCCACTACCTCTCAAACCATCGCTGGCCACAGCGTTATGCAAAGATAGATGGCTGTTCTGCGGGCCACCGTCAGCGACCAAGGGTCATGGTGGTGTAGGCGTGCAGCCGCTCAACCGCAGTGTTTCAAACCATTGACGGGTGCACCAAGTGTTCTATATGGGAAACGATCGATGAGCATAGGCAGACTAGAGACGACCTGGCGTAGGAATCGGGGTCTACACAGGCACATCCATCGCTCTGCAAGCAGGACGACTGCACCGTGGTCCAAATTTGGTGTGCGGCGGGCCAATTACAGGGCGCAGCATAGTGAAGAACACGTCAGATTTGTGTGCAGTGTGTGGAGTGACGGCTCCCTGGCCGCGCCTTTGGTTTCATGATGCTCTGTCCGCGGCCAGCGTAGGCCACTCAGGGCAGAGAGCACAGGATGAGCCCCTATTGCTGTACAAAAGCAGTGCCGCTGCGGTGGTAGGAACAATCCCATCGGCTGTCGAGCAACTGCGAAAGGCCGCCCTGCTGCTAAACAGAGCCCCTCGTGTCTTGTAACACGCGTGTCCTGACCCTTAGCCCAACCTTGTTCCCGCGCCTTGCCCGTTTCTCTAGTCTCGAAGAAGCCACCCACGACCTCGCAACTTTCTGCCGGCCCCCAGCACTCCCCCTCCTCACCACCTCCTCCTCACCAAGCTGCATTTGCCGGCCTCTCCCTGAGCGAAGGTGCTTAGTTCGCCCATCAGTTAATCCTATTTTACCTTCTCCAGACACGCGCGTGTTTGTCTATTCCGCCTGCACGCTGTACCGTAATCGAGCTCCCCCCGCCAGCGACTGTTCCACTCGCTGCTCCAGCCGCAGCTCCTCGTCACTCCTTATCCGCCTCGACCGACCGCGCCAATTGTGCCGTCTGCCGTCTGCCGTCTGCCGTCTGCCGTCTGCCGTCTGCCGTGCCATCACCGTGCGGTTTGACAGCCTGTGACGCTCCAGCCTCCCGACTGCCGCGATTTCGCCAGCTTCCATCTGCTGCCCATAGTACTCGAAAGAGCTGTGTGCGCGACAGGCCATTGAAAGCTGCGACCGCGCTTGCGCATCGTCAGGACTGGATCCACCGGGTACTCGCACCTGCAGCCAATTCCACACATTACACAGCCCCTGCGTTGAGCTGAGCCCGGTCTTGCTGGCAACTCTCTCCGCCTCACGTTCCTTTGGCCGGTACCAAGCTCCATTTATACATTACCCTGGCATCGGTAACCGAGAGTCACTTCGACCATTCTTCCCAGCTATAGAACTACCACACGGATAAAGACAGGGTCTGTAATTCATAATGGCTCCCACCACGCGCCCCGAACACCACATCAACCTCAACTACATCCCCCAGTTGACGCCTCAGGCGCCGCACTCGGGCTCCTCGACTGGCAACACCTCGCCCGTCGAGCCTCCCAACAGCGGCTCCATTCGCTTTCCCGCGAGCACGTCAAACCCGCTGGGAAACGCTGCAGCTGGCGCAAGGCTGGGTGCTGGGTCTCCATCGCATGATTATGGCAGCCGACTATTCTCCAAACGGTTTGTCCCCCACTCTGAAACAAGCTTTACTTTGGCTAACGTGGTATGACAGTGCACGCGAGATTCAAGCGCAGGAGGGTCTGACTCCACAGATGTGGGGACCTCCTACCAGCGGCAATTCCACCCCGTTGCGTGAGACCATCCCAGAGTCTCCCAGCGCAGACAGCTTCCCCGACTTCAACAACGCCATGCCAGAAGCCGCTTCAACTGGACAGACGTCCACTCGACGTGCTCGCGCTGGCACTCTGCCTTCGCGCTTCTCGCCTACTGCTGCTCCCCCTGGGCTGCTGTCCGGCTCCACCCTACTTCCTCAAGCTTCCCGTCCCACGCCTTCCACCAGCCCCTTCAAATCTGGCTCGGGCAGCTCCACTCCGCAGAACAGCTTCGTCCCAGGACCTACAAATGCTGCTGCCAAGTCTGCTCTATTGTCCCGTCTGCGAGCTGGCTCAATGCCTCAGCGACCGGGATACCTCCCGCCTGCCAGCTCGCCCTTTGGCAACTCGATCTTTTCCACGGGATGGGCAAGCAACCGTGACCGCAGCAGTACACTCCAGAGCATTGCTTCTGTCCCTTCAAACGGACCTGGCTCGCCCATGTCCTCATTCTCTCGCGACTCGCTTGCGGACACGGATGTGAAGACCCTCGATTACCTTGGTCTCGTTGATACTCCTCAGCCCACTCGTGCTACACTGGCTCCTTCCGACATTGAATTGCTCCTCGAGAGCCAGAGGAATGCAAATGGCCAGGCTGCCAACTCGGCCAACCGCTTCCGCTCCTACTCCGTGAACGCCAAGGAGAAATATGCAGAGGACGAAGACGAGATGGACCAGTATGGCGCCTACAGTGGCACAATCACCCCCGCAGAAGCCAATGCTCTCCTCATTCAAGAAGCTGTTCGCCAGCACAACCTCGAAGTCCAGGCATTCACCCAGTATGCCTCTGCTGCACGTCCCCGTGCTCGCACTGCTGGTGTCTTGGATGCTCCATCAAGGGGTCTCATGCGCAACTACATGCCTCAGATGTCTCGATTGGACAACACTTTGACCGCTACTGACTTGACCGAGGACGCCGAATACAACCTGGCTGAAGCTGTCAAGAAGATGCACTTGCCCAGTGGCAACCTCGGGGATGACACCCTCGAGGGCCCCACTCGATCGCTGTGGCTCGGAAACATCCCCTCATCCACCACTGTCTCTTCACTCAACGTCATTTTTGCTGCCTTTGGTGCCATTGAGTCCACTCGAGTTCTAACCCACAAGAACTGTGGTTTTGTCAACTTTGAGAACCTCGAGAGCGCTGTGCAAGCCAAGTCGCAGCTCAACGGCAAGGAGATCTTTCCTGGCGCCGGACCTGTGAGGATCGGCTACGCTAAGATCCCCAGCGCAGCCGCTACGCCTGGTCACAACGGTCTCTTCCCCTCACCAAGCCCGGACCCACTTTCGAAGGGCCAGGCGGAAGGAACGACTGGCTCAGCCAACAACGCAAAGTCGAACAGTCCCCGAGCCGCCGCAGTGAGTGTACCCCTGGTGACGCCTGAGCTGAACGACATTCGTGACGACATCATCACCATCGTCAAGGAACTCGGCGCGACAGATGAGGAGCAAGCCAGAATTTCTGCCCAGGTAGAAGCAGCCGTTCAGGTCAACAACTACGTCGATGAGGTGCCTACAGTCGAGGAGCCCAGCCACACCCGCGTCCACGATGCACCAAGGCTACGTGAGATCCGCAAGCGCATCGACAACGGCTCCTGCTCCAAGGAAGACATTGAGCAGATTGCCATGAATATGCTGCCTGAGATTGCCGAGCTAGCGTCAGATTACCTAGGCAACACTGTTGTACAGAAGCTTTTCGAATTCTGCGAAGAGTCTACCAAAGAAGCCATGTTGCGCGAAATTGTACCCCAGCTCGCTAAGATTGGTGTGCACAAGAACGGCACATGGGCTGCTCAGAAGATTATTGATGTCTCCAAGACCCCTAGCATGCAGAAGATGGTCGTCGAAGCCCTTCAGCCATACGCAATGGCTCTGTTCCTGGACCAATTCGGAAACTACGTCATGCAGGGCTGCCTCAAGTACCAGCAGTACAACCAGTTCATCTTCGAGGTCATGCTCGGCCGCCTTTGGGATCTCGCCCAGGGTCGCTTTGGTGCTCGTGCCATGCGTGCTTGTCTTGAGAGCCACTTCGCCACCAAAGATCAACAGCGCATGGTTGCTGCTACTATTGCACTCCACAGCGTCCAGCTTGCCACAAACGCCAACGGAGCACTCCTCCTCACCTGGTTCTTGGACACATGCACCTTTCCCAGGAGACGAACAGTGTTGGCACCTCGCCTTGTTCCACACTTGGTTCACCTCTGCACCCACAAGGTGGCTTACTTGACTGTTCTCAAGATCATCAACCAGCGCAATGAACCTGAGGCTCGTGACACTATTCTCAAGGCCTTGTTCTTCAACGACCAAGTCCTGGAGGAGATCCTGAACGACCAGAACTGTGGTGCCACTCTCATCTTCAAGGTCCTCACCACTCCCTTCTTCGATGAGCACATCCGTGCTGAGGTAGTCCAAAACGTACGCAACGTACTTGTCCGCATCAAAGCACAGCCACAGCAGGGCTACAAGCGCCTCATGGATGAGGTAGGCCTTTCCACTCGTGGACCCGGACATCGGGAGCACTCGCAGACTAGGCCCGCGTCAAAGGACAGCAGCGTTGCTGGCGGACCTGGTGGTTTCTACCAGGGCGGCGTACCTGGCTTCGACCCTGTAGGCCTTCAGCGTACCGCAAGCATGGACTCCAACGGCTTCGAACAGTACCCGATGGGCGGAGGTGGACCCATGTTCATGCCCAACATGCAAGGCATGACTGGTCCCCAACAAATGCAATACCAGCAGTTGTTGGCTCGTCAAGGACAGTTCTACCCTCAAATGAACGGCTTCCAACCTGGAATGCAGGGCTATCGCGATGCTTCACCCGTTGGAGCTCCTGGTTTCAACGGCTCTCCTATGATGGCACCTGCCAACCTCGCGGGACAGGGTATGGTTCCCGGTATGGGCGGCCAGATGTACCCATACAATATGTATATGCCGCAGCAGCAACAGCAAGCTGCCGGAGGTGGACAGCGTCGAGGACGGGTAAGCAGGAATGCATCCCCAGCGTCCGTTACTCGACGCTAACATCTCGTGCAGAGATGAGTGATTGATATGGGCACGCCCATTCGACACGAATTTCATGTATATTCCCGATATCTAGCGAGCGAAAGCATACTTTATGTCTCATTTGTACCTGCATCTTACATCCGGAAGCTGGAGAAGAGGAGGCAGGTCCACCTCGCATTACGCCCCTTGACGACATTTCCTGTCTCTTCTCTTCGGCGTTCAAACATCACACTCGTTCATGCATCCCGTTCTTCGGCTGCCTCGGTGTTTTGCCAGAGGCACTACCTTCTTGTATCTTACTTTGAGTCGGCGCCGGGGACGGTTCTGATCTTGGTGGATTGATTGGTGTATCGATATGGACTACAAGTCTTTTTTGCTGATACACATCGGAGGACATCAAAAAGCGGATTATGTGGTGTGGTTTCTATGGGCTTGAAAGAAGACATGTGCTATCATGTCTGGCCATGTGCTTTGGAAGATAGGGACTATCTGTTCAAGTACCAACTCTAGAAGGAATTTTATTTTGTTGCACTTTTGAGCTGATTGGATTGATTTTGCTTTGCATTGTGATGAACCGTGTGATTCAGACACATCTGTCTTTCATCACAGTCGAAATGCCCCATAGCATTACTAGGTCCAACCTATCCACTTCACCATTGGGTATCTCTAATCCACTCCCTCTCCCTCTAATCCTTCTTCCTCAACCCCTCAAGCGCCCTCCTCGTCCCCTCAACAATCAACCCATGCTCAACCTCATGCATCCTCCCCCTCCAACTCCTCCAACCCCTCCCCCTCCCGCAGCTCCACCTCCTTCGTCACAATCGCCTCGCCCGCATCCACCTCGGCAATAACCTCATGAATCATAACCCCCGTGCGCTTCAACCCTTCTTCCCTCCCCGCCCTCCACGCGCGCTCGATCGCGCCCGCGCCCGCAAATTCCCCCGGCAGCGCCGGGTGCAGGTTTATGATTTTGATCCCCGCGGCGGCGATGGGCGTCAGGAACGAGGGCGTTACGATGTGCATCCAGCCGGCGCAGACGAGCAAGTCGGGGCGCGGGGTGAGGGCGAGGATTAGGGAGGCGAGGTCGGCGTCATAGGCGGCGCGCGCGGCGTCTACGGATTCCGGGTGGGATTTTTTGTAGGGGAGCAGGTTGTGGTATGTTGTTGGTATTGAGGCGCGGGCGGCGCGCTCGAGGCCGTAGGCGGCTTTGCGGCTGGAGATGTGTTAGGTGGGGAAGAGGGGAGAGGGATTGAATGGAATGTTTACTTTGAGATTACATGGGTTATGCGGGTGTTGGGGAGGGAAGGGGTGTTGGCGGCGTCGATGAGGGCTTGCAGGTTGGAGCCGTTGCCTGAGATTAGGACGGCGATGTTATGTTGTGTGTCCGGCATAATGGAGCGACTGGTGAGTCTGGTATCTGTTTTGGGTGTTTACGATGCAGCTCACGCATCCGTCTTTCAGGTACAGAAAGTTTTGGGATCGGACGTGGGGTAGTTTTGTAACCTACCCCGCGGTCTCGGAGGTGCAGCAGTTTCGCCGCAAGACATGTTTCCAGCGTGGACTCAAGCTACTTCACTTCATCCACGCCAAATGCATGTGTACCGCCACAAAGTTTGACATGCTATTTAGCATAGACCAGATTACGGATGAACCCCCCCAAAAAAGAATCCTTCTCATAACGCACTACCACTGAAGTCCCCCAATCGCCCAAAATGCCCAACCTCCATTCCCTCCCTAACGAACTCATCCTATCCATCGCATCCCATGTCCCTCCCCCAGCCCTCCACAGCCTCGCCCTCACAAACCGCCGCCTACATGCCCTCACCCTCTCTTCCTTGTACTTCTCCTTCTCCTCCCAGTACCGCAACTTCTCGCCCCAAAATGCAGCCCTTCTACTCCGCACCGTCGCGTCCTCCGCCCGCAAAGCCAACTTCGTCAAGCACATCCACTGGGCCGCAGATGTCTATGTCGCGTCCCAGCCGCGCTCGCACACGCCGGCAGTGCGAGACTTTGTGCAGCGTCGCGAGCGCTTCGCCAGCCTGGCTCCCGACCGACTACTAGAGGCAGTGTGCCGCGCAGGCGAATACGAGCCGACCAGTGTCCCCATGAGCGAACGCTGGTTTCTCGAATTCTTCCTGTCGTTTGTGCCGGGCGTGACGGAGCTTCAGGTCGGTGGCGCGTGGCTGTGGGACGACGACGTGTACTGGTTCACGAGCGGGGGTTTCAGGTTTGAGAAAGTGGTTTTGAAGGGCCCGCTGCGCGTCGAGAATGTTGTGCCGTTGCTGCAACTCCCGACGCTCAGGGTCTTGTGGCTCACCGAGGTGGTCGAATTGCGGCGTGAATCAGGCGTGGTGTTTCCGTGGGAGAAGGCGGAGACGAGGATTGAATATCCTGCGGGGACGTGTAGAGTAGAGGACTTGTCGATGAGTGAGTCGTATATATCGAGTGAGAAGTTGGTCAAGGTGCTGGACGCGATCACGGCGTTGAGATGCTTCAAGTATGATCATCAGGAGACTGAGTTGGTAGCGGAAGACGAGGAGGTACGGATTGATTATGCTGCATTAGCTAGGGCGCTGGAGAGACATAAGGAAAGTCTTGCGCGGTTGTGTTTTGCGGATGATGGTGGGGAGAGTTTAACGGATGTTGCTGATATTGCTTCTTGGGGCAAGATGGGACTTGTAAGACACTGAAGGGTTTGTCGATGGCCTCTAGTGTCGGAATCATGGCTCAAGACAACTTGGAATAGCATTGGCACACATGCAGCATGCTGTCAGTATATTACAACGATAGAAATTTTGGTATCATAAATGCCTATGCCAGCCAATCCACAAGTTCAACAAGCCAGTCGAGGCTCTTTCCAACGCCTTTATATGCCGAACCCACGGATATTGTTAATGTGCATGCGCATGCCCAATCTGTGTGACGAGAGGAAACAACATGCCGAACATGACGATGGCGATGTCTGTCTTAGACAGACTCTTGTTACCAGGGTAAGCATCCATATAACCAGTCGCACCGGATTCGTCATGCGATTGGCTTGATGTTGCCTCGCTCATCGAGTGCATAGCGACATACCTGCTAATGTTAGTCCCCTAGTCAAGGTAGGTCGCAATAGGTGGAAACTTACAAAAATGTGCCACCAGAGAAGCACAGTACCCAGCCGGTAGACCAGGCCAGCCCTTCATCTCCACCTAACCGGCCGCGTCCAAAGGTATGTACAATCGCCCAGGTAGCTAGTGCGCCTACAGGGGCGGCCAAGCTGAAAAACGCAAGATGGGTACGAGCCGTCTTCTTTGACAAGCCCTGCTTCAGCAGAACTGACGTGAGGCCAAATGCTGCTGGAGCTTTGTGGAGCATGATCGCAAAGAATATGACGAGTGATAATGAGGTCGAAGGTGCAGTTGAGGAAGCACCAAGAGCAATGCCGTCGGCACATGCATGTACCACAAGACCGATTGTAGTGGCCGAGGTCTTCTTTGGTGCCATATGTAGAGGCATTGGCGTTGCCAGGGGTGTGACGGCCTCGCTTGCCATGCCATTTAGACTCAGAGTCGAGGCATTGTGTGGACCTCGGTGGAGATTTGATAACGATATGTGCATCGGCTGGTACTTTGGCTTCGAGCTTGCAAACGTTTCTGGGAGGTGGTCGACAAGGAACATGAGTATGTACCCCAGGATCAATGCGACTCCAATGAAGGCGTGCGGGCTAGACTCCTCGTCGTGTTCGACTGCGACATGGTGCTCGTCTTCCTCTGGAGCGTGCACGCGGGTGTGTCCCTCCTTGTGGCCTTCAGTTGAATCGTCGTCCCCGCCCTTCTGTGGATGCATATCTTCCACCTCCTTTCCTTTCCCCTTGTCCTTTTCGCCCTTGGTCTTCTTCACCTGCACCTCGATCGGGGCCTTGTCACCAGAAAAGTTGGGGAGCGCGGCCCTCACTGCGTCAGCCACGTCGGACCGCCTCCAGTCGGTGGGGTGCCTGACGCCGTTCTGTAGCGTAGAAACTGACGGGATCGTAGGCTGGATGGCTTTCTGGGACAAGCGCGTGTGGCTCTTTGCCCCTGCGCTGTACATGGTCTCAATGCCTTCGGGGATGATGACTATCATCGATGTTCCTACGAGCACTCCAGCCCCTAACAAGGTGAGGATGCGCAGCTGGCGCGGTGACAGCGAAAAGGAGAGCGGTAATATGCCAGCAAGGAATGACCTGCAATTGTAAGCCTGGAGCCTATGGCTTTGTGTGTCTTGAGACAGCCTTGGCAACGTACGCAACGCCCATTATCGTGCTCAGGGCGAGCAGCATGAAGAAGCCGTCCCACATGGTGAATCGTGTACGGGATTGCCGTGGCAGGTGCCGTAGAAAGATGCGCAGAAGCAGAAACGAAAAGAAAACTATGTGCGATTCAACGTATGCTATCCATCCCTCGCTGTGGGCAGAAATTCGGGGGTATTGGCGGCGGTGGGTGTTGAGGTGTCTATGGACGCGCTTGGAGATGTCGGGGATGGTCTGCTGGCCTCCGCAAAGAATCCCATCTAGTTCGCGCTGCAGGGGTCGAATAAGGCTGAGCCCGCAGGAGGCGCTAAGACGCGTGCCGGCGCGCTACACCCTTCACATCTGACGCGCATCTAAACTTTGACGCCCGCCTCAGACACTGCCGCTCACCCCACCAACCAACACCAAGAGGACCATCCAATATCCAACCCCACAAATCATGGATCTCGACGATTGTAAGTACAGGTGTGCAGCTGCACTCAAACACCGTGCAAATTGCTTGCGCCTGCAGCTGGTTGGTCAGCTCTTGGGGAAGTGAAGCTATCCAGGCTGCGCTATGAGCTGCCTCATATCATTACCGTTGATGAACGCCCACGGAATTCGCCGTGCTAACACATCTTAGGGGTTACCAACTCGAATGAGTGCTTCTTCCTCAACCTGTACCGCCCGGGCACCGACAGCAAACAGCCGCGCGTGTTCGACGACTCGTTCAACCCCAGCTTCACCTACGCGGTCATTGACGAGAACGAGACAATCACAGGATATAAAAATCCCAAAATCGAGCTAGACTTTCGCGCAAACGATCTGAAGCCAAGGCTCAAGATCCAGTATGACGAGAAGCTGGAGCTCAAGGACGTCCCCGACATCACGCAAGTCGACCTGTCGCCCGAGTTGTTCCGCGAACATCTGCCAGAGCCCATACCGGACGACGCAAATGTGACGTCGAAAGATTGGAAGCCGCCGGGCGTGCTCATGAACAGCTTCAGTGTTGAAGGGAAGCAGTACGAGATATGGAAGACGCCGCTGGCTGATGAGACTGCCCGTCGGATATGGAAGAACATGCGCATATTAGTGCTGCTGTTCATTGAAGGAGCGACGACCGAAGGGCTTGATGATGAGGAGACACTGGACCGCTGGTCACTCTACCTATTGTACGACGTCACACCTCTGCCCAAAGCTACCACGACACCCTACACACTAGCCGGGTTCTCCACATCGTACCGATGCTGGATCTTCCCGACCTTTGACATTATGCGCGCCACTAAACAGCTTCCCTCTCCACCACCAGAAGCCAGCGCTGAACCACAAAAGTACACGCCTCCACGTCTTACACAAGATCCCGAGACTTTCCTCTTCAATGAGAAGCTCGACCGTCTTGAGACGTCTTCCCGGGAGAGGATATCGCAATTCTTGATTCTGCCACCATACCAGGGTCAATCACTCGGTGCTCACTTGTACGACATCATCTTTGAGGACTTGGTCAAGAAGCCGTTCATCTATGAGATCCCGGTCGAAGATCCAAGCGAGGCGTTCGATGCCATGCGAGACTACAGTGACATCGTCTACCTACGCAAGCTGCCTGCCTTCCAATCGCTCTCCGTCGCATCAAATCTGCCTCCCGAGTCTCTTCGAAAGGACTCACCTATACCTCGAAACCAAATCCTCGGCAACGGCACAGATCTGGAGAAACTCCGCCACGAGACCAAGATTGTCTCAAGACAGTTCTACAGAATGGTCGAACTCCACTTACTTTATGACGATCCCTTCCTCCAACCGCAACCGGGCGCGAATCACCCGCAAGGCAAAGTCAAGCAACGAGAACGACCGCAAATACTACTTCTGGCGGTTGGCTCTCAAGCACCGCATCTACGGCCAGAACGCAGACGCTCTGGACCAAATGGAGGTGTCGGAAAAAGTCGAAAAGTTGGAAGCCGCTGTCGACAACCAGCAGGAAGAGTACGAGGAGCGTCTCGAGGGCTTGGAGAAGCGTGCTGAATTCGCTGCCGGACAGGGCTCGTCTGCTGGCCCGCGTACAGTACCGAAGCGCAAGAGGGCGATTGTGGATGAGGAAGACGAGGAGTGGGAGGACATGGATGATGCGTCGGTGGCTAGCTCGAAGCGGATGAAATCCTGAGCATGCGGATTCGGGTGAATATGGCGTTCTTCCATGGGGCGGAAGCCTCAACGCGGGTTTGGAAAAGCTCATCTGGAGCAGCGTTTGCTGCTTTGGGGGCATATAAGCTATAATATGGCTGTTAGGCAGATTGGGTACAGAGGCTCTGAGACATGTCGTGCTACGAGGGGAGTTCGCCTTTTCTGCGTCCGTGATCTGCTTCTGTGCGCTGGCGGGGCTGGAATAGTGGCAAGACGGGTAGTCGTATGCCCCTAGCTATGTCGAACATGAGGCTCTTGAATCACATTTGAGCATGAAGGACGTGGAACATGTGGAAACGCCTTCGTTTCACACGCTTCGTAAATCATAGATAGAGTGGGAATCTATTATACACAATACTCATCGAAACAGAACATGTCCGTTCTACCACGTCTCTTGCTTATACCGCCCTTCCTTCTCCATGCCCACGAGATACTTCTCAGCGTCTTCCCTCGACAATTCCCCGTGGTTTCCAAACACTTCAATCAGGGCCTCGCGGACGGCTTGCGGCATCTTACCCGACGAGCCGCAGATGTACACAATGCCGTTCTTGTTCGCAAGGGCATCGTACACGCTCGCGCTCTGCTCTCGAACTAGGTCCTGTACGTAGACTTTCTGCCTCTACTCCCCAGTCAGCATCATCACCATGTTGCGCAAGAAGGCAAAGACTTACCTGATCCCTCGAAAACGCCACAAAAACATCCAACGGCTTCTCCTCCCCCCTCAACCCCTCCCACTCCTCTTTGAAGAAATAATCAGCCTCGTGATTCCTGCATCCAAAGAACAATAAATCCCGCTCTGGTTTTTCGATCCCGAGTTCCTCCCTCCACATCATCCGCTGGTATATCAGACTGCGCATCGGCGCCACGCCCGTCCCCGGACCCACCATGACCACGGGCCTCTCAACGTCCTTCTGTGTAACGCCCAACGCACCTTTTTGTAGCGTTACAGTGATCTGCGTGCCGGGGGACAAAGACGCGATGTAGCGCGTACACACACCCTCTCTGATCTTCTTGATGACGGTTTTATACTTGACAATCGCAATTAATAACTCCACCCCTCCATCCTCTTTGCACGCACTCGCAATACTAAATTGGCGACCCCGCATAAGCGGGATCAAACTACATACCCGTTGCCAGGGCACTCGCACGGTTTCGAATTCCTGCAGGACCTCGAGGATACTGCGCCGCGGACGCGTGGTGTAGTCGTACAACTCGTCGATGTACTGGGGATCGGTGAATTCGAGCAGGCGCTCGCGTTGGAATTCGTCCGTGGTGAAGTGTGCGAGGTGCGCGAAGAAGGAGCGGCGGGGAATGGAGAGGATGTCGAGGTGATTTGTCAACAACTTTCTCAGTGTTAATGTGCCGTCGACGGTAATTGGCGGTTTGGTTGCGGTTGACTTGGGGTTTGTTGGGAGGAAGTGTAGGGGCCGGTCGGCGATGGGGGTCCAACCCGTTATGCGCAGGAATTCGGAGACGTCGGTGGGGAAATTCTTTGGGTAGATTGTTAGGGTCGAGCCGGGGATGTAGGTGGCTGAGGGAGGGGTGGAGAGCTTGAGGTGACGGACGTCTTGCCAGTGGGTGGTGGGGGTGATGCGATCGTTGGAGGTTATTGTTGCAGTGAGGCCGTTGGGGATGGAGAGGAGGTCGGGTGGGGGTAGGTCTGCGGATGTAGGTGGTTGTGTGGTGCCATTTGTTGGTGTAGAGACGTCGATTGAATCGGTCTCTGGCTCCGAAGTTCCATTTTGGTCTGCAAAGTCGAGGATCCAGTTCGGGTCAAGAAGGACATCGTCTGGTATAGGTTCGAGGCCTTCTGGAAGTGGGTACTCCTCGAGGAGACGTTGGCGGAGTTTGTTCGACCATGGGATTATGGCTCCATCAATTCTTGGATCAGGTTAGATTCGCGTACAGAATTGCCATGGATTTGAATGTCAAGAAAAGCAAGAAGTAAGACCGAGCAGAAAGAAGAAGTGTACAGAAAGTAAGATATCAAGCCGGAAAGGATAGGAGAGATCACCTACCCCTCTGGCTGCTGTTCATCGCTTTCGCCACGATCGCATATGGGCTGAGCTCCAAGCTGTATCAGACGATTATACAGCTTTCGATGCGCCCAGTTGAACTTTGGATACGAAGTGTCTCCAAGTCCGAAGGAAGCAAACTTCATCTGCTGAAGACATCCTGGGCGAAGTCGTGCACTGCGGATTGCTCTCCAGAATTTCTGACTATTTGGTGGCAATTCACCCTGGCCGCTCGTTGATATTGCAACCAGCACGACATCGAATTGCAGAAGTTGTTTCTACGCAAATCAACATTCATCCCTAGAGTATCTGCGTTTACATACAAGGGTAACGGCATCAAGCTCCGCGACCTCGGTGTCGAATCGCAGGCGCACGGCGAGCCTTCCCAATTCCTCAGCGACGTCTTGGGCGTTTCCTGTCTCGGAACCGTAAACAACCAATGCCCGGCGCGCCTGCTCAGTGTCCATTTTGGCAGGCGTTTGCAGGCGGTGAAGTCCAAGCACGGTTTGCAGTGAGGCTAGACTCGAACGGTGCGCGAGATTGGCACAAAAATTGTGCCGGTTCCCCAGAGCCGCGGTGAGGAAGAGAGCGGTGCACTAGCGGACACGTCAACGGCAAGCGGGTCCTCATGGTCGAGAACAGGGCAAGGCCTTCTAGCGGCCGGTGGGGCGCTGAGTGAAGCTGCCGGTCATCGCTCTCTTCGATCAGGTGTGGCGTCGGCGGATTTGCGAATTGTGGCGCCCGCAGCTCGCCTGCATGACGAGCAGCGAGCAGACGGCTTATGTAATCGTGCATTTCCCCCGGAGCTCGCGTGCGCACACAGTAAGACGGCTCCAGCGAGGCATGTCTGAACGCCGTGCATAACTTCATCTCGCGCCTCCTTTGGCCATGCCCCTTGCCGCTCCCCTTTATCTCATCCTCCGCTTCTGCCTGCCAATGCTGGGGGGTCTTCATTCCCTGAGCAGCAGGGGTGCGTCGCTTGCGGTCCCCACTTGCTAGTGCGATCCCCAAGCTTAAATTTCTATAACCTCCCCGTCACCGCCCTTCCCTTTCCTCTGCATCAAGTCAACAACAGAGACAATCCACTCACCCACCCACCCAACTCCTCAAACCTTCTCCGGGCTCGTAGCTACCCATCCCCACCCCCCTCGCCAACTGTTCCACCTTCCAGGCGGTTCGTCAATCCATCTTCTTCAACCACCAACTGTTCACGGTTACCTTTACCGGTCTACCAGGACTCCAAGTTTCCTCAACTTTACTACACGGCTCGATCTACTCGTGTTCATCAACCCAAAACTTCAATAAAAATGTCCGCTCCAGTCGACAGTGTCACCGCCCAGATGGCCACCACCTCCCTTGACAACAATGCTCCCACCACCGAGAGCACTGGCGCCGCCGCCCAGACCACGTCCGCCGAGGACGAGGCTGTGCGTGCGAGCGCCGCCGAGGGCAGGCGACTTTACATTGGAAACCTCGCATATGCGACCAACGAGGGGGAGTTGAAGGACTTCTTCAAGGACTATCTGGTGTACGTGGAAGGAGAGACCCACATGACGCAACAACACAGCTAACACGTTGCACAGCGAGTCCACGACCATCCCCACCAACCCCCGCACCTCGCGCCCCGTCGGATACGCCTTCGTTGCGCTCTCGACCCCCTCCGAGGCCGAGCGTGCCATCGCTGAGCTCAACGGCAAGGCCATCCTTGACCGCAAGGTCTCCATCCAGCTTGCCCGTACTCCCGAGGCTCACGCCGAGGGCACTGGCAGCGGTGCCGAGGGTGCTGCCGGTGACAACCGCCGCCGTGGTTCTACCCGTGGACGTGGTCGCGGTCGTGGCCGTGGTGGCCGCGCCGGACGTGGTGGACGTGCTGTAAGCCTGCCGACCTCTTACAAATTGGAGACTTGAACTAACAGCAAACAGGCCGACGGAACCGAGGGTGCTGAACAGGTCGAGCCCACTGATGCCGCTCCTGTTGAATCTACCCCCACAAATGTACCCAGCCAAGCCACTGAGAAAACAAACGAAGCGCTTACAGTTGAAAAGGGTGCCAAGACCGACAAAGATGCCGCTCCCCGAGAGCCCCGCGAGCGCAAGCAGCGTGGTCCTCCCGAGGATGGCGTTCCCTCCAAGACCAAGGTCATGGTTGCCAACCTGCCTTACGACCTGAAGGAGGACAGGGTATGTCATATGTCACATACAGATCTCAGCGCCATACTGACTGCTTTCTAGCTCCTTGAGATCTTCAAGGACTACTCCCCCACCCAGGCCAAGATCGCCCTCCGCCCCATCCCCCGCTTCATGGTCAAGAAGTTGCAGGCTCGCGGTGAGCCCCGCAAGGGCCGTGGTTTCGGTTTCGTTACCCTCGGCTCTGAGGAGCTCCAGCAGAAGGCTTGTAGCGAGATGAACGGCAAGGAGATTGAGGGCCGTGAGATCGCCGTTAAGGTCGCGATTGACTCGCCCGGCAAGGAGGACGACGACCAGGTCACCGCCGAGGGCGAGACCGCCACCACTGACGCTCCTGCCACCGACGCCGCCGAGAAGTCCACCGAGTCCCCCGCTGTGACCGCCGCTTAGATTGCGGCTGCCGCTTGAGACGCGCTCACTTGACCTTCATGTGGACGCGTCGGCATTGTGTTTTGCACTGCGGATTTGTGTACACGAAGTTCTGCACCCTTATCGACATCTACCATTACCTTGATAGACATATAGGCTGCGGCTCTTCATCATCCTAGTTCGTCCAAGTTAGCGGGTTATCGGCAAAAGTTTATTCGGGAGTCTATCAGGCTGGTGTCTATGGTGGACCATTTCTCCGAGTTTACGGTTTACGGAAAACTCGTTTGACTAGTTCGAGCGAGAGCACGACATGAATATAAATGAGTAAAACTGCCTTCTGATCCACTGCGGATCAGGGTAATGAATGACGAGAGTTTGTACTTTTTCTGATTGCGTGATGTTTGTGGTTTACTTTGCGTTGTGACATTGTACAGTTGCCTGATTAAACTTTTCTCGATTTCTGGTACCGATTCCGAGTGTTTCTCCACTACATGGTACGCTAGAACAAAGCCTTGTTTATCCCCACGACAAGCCACGCGCCGCTCAGACACACAACATCACCTCGAACGTTGACGTGTACAGTAAGTGCCGGAAACCCCTTCATGCGAGACCGGCCGCTGATATTTTAATAGAAGACGCCATAATAAGAGGTTTTCTTATGTCCGTCCCTATTGCCATCTCCTAGTGGGCTACCAAGCGGGATCAAGGAAAGGGATTCGCGCGGATAGAGGAGGTGTTTGAGAGGTACCCACAACTCTTAGAAGGACTTGATGGAAAGAAGGAAGGAATTAGGGAGAAGGATGAGACGCGGTAGGCATGTAACTGGTTGAGGTTTAGGTGATGTGAATGTAAAAGGGGGCGAGAGTGTAAGGGTGTGGAGATGTGGAAAAATGGTTGAGGGAGAATGGAGGGAATAGACGTGACTCGAAGACTTGTTTGGGACAGATCAATGAATACATGTACTGAGAGAAATTGTAGAATTTGGAATGGAGGGAAGGATGTCTAGTGTGAGAAGGGTGGAGTAAGTGAGAGGATGGACTGTAGAAGAGGAGGTAAGGGGTTGTATAGAAGCGACAACATGGAAAGCCTTCAATACAAGTGAGCAAGCCTCAATGGGACCAGGCAGCGGCAAAATTCGTGCCCGACAGACAGCAGCTAAGAACTTTACTGGCAACTAGTGGTGGTTGTAAACAAGCATAGTTACGAAGTCCTGATATCATTATGCTCAAGTCTGAACTACAATACAAATCTATCGTGTACATGGCCAACATCTATCAAACACGTTCTCGAAAATCACCTCTTCCGCCAGTTAGTCTTCAGACTCTAAGGAGCCCCAGGGTCCCGAAGCGCATCCTCCGAGTTACCCGTGCCGTGCAACGCTCCACCAGGCCTTCCATCCCCCTGGACCAGCGGATCCTGCCAATACCTCTGGGCATAATTATCGCGCGCATCAGGGTTGAAAGCCTGTTCGTCATGCTGCTGCCACTCGCGAGCGTGCATCTGGTGAAGATCCTGCGGTATTCCAGGGTCGTGTTCGTACCGGTCTGGCTCATTCGCCCAGCGCCTGCGCTGGGCAGTAGACACGGCACGCAATTCTGACCTTGGTGCGGTTTCTCCATTGGGAGCAGTTTTCCATAGTGGACGGCCAATGTCCTGCCCAGTTTGCTGGATAATGTTGCCGAGGGTTAGCGTAGATTCTTCCGGAGATCGTATACGACGGGTTGAAGTAGCCGAAATAAGTCGTAGTTGTCGAAGTGAGTAGTAAAGGTCCAAGTGAGCCTAGATGAATGACTTCAGTCTGTCTGGTCAAAGCATTCGACCACTTAGCTCAAGTTGTATATACTCCATCGTCAACGTGAAGTGACCTGCTCGTTGGTAAGACCTGTGAATTCGTACATGAACGAGCGCATGTCACTGGAAAGCTTCAATGATCTGATTTCCATGATATCACCCCCGGTGACAAGTATGGCGAGCATGTACCCAGTTGAGGAAAGCAAAAGAAGATTATTTATTTCATGTGAATAGCAAGACTTTCTCCGAAATTACCACCGCCTACTCATCGGGCCTAGCGGCGGTAACGGTCCTTCGATTTCAAGAATCCCCCACGAGTTCGGATACCTCATACCTGCACCTGGATTGTAAATCTGTTTGAAGTGCGCACTCCATTGATTGTTTGACATGCTGCGGAGATCTTCTCGGGCATGCCTGGTTCGCGCTCAAACAGGTCTGGATTCTCTACCCAACGATCTCGCTGTCTAGCTTGTGCCGCGCCGAGCACAGCACGATGCACAGCACACGAGTCGGGAAAGTTTTGCCATGTCGGTCGACCGAGATCCCGGCCGGTCTGCCCAATTACGTTGCCGGCGATGAAGTCGAAGTTGAGGCCGCGGTGATGAGGGCAGGGGTAGTTTACTTGTCTCATGCCCGCGTTGTCAGCGCGGCCGCATCCGCCTTGGAGATTATCACGGCCAGTGTATTGGCAGTGCGTTTCCCAAGCGCTTTGGGTGTAGCCGCATGGCTCGGGGCAGGTGTAAGATACCGTGATTTGGCGACACATGTTCGTGCTAGTATGTCTCAAAGAGTTGATTCAGGTTAGTCGTGTAAATATTTGTTTCGAAGCTCGTAAAATACTGATGATTGCTGATTGAAAAACAGTCTGTAAAGTTGCAGTCTTCGAATGTCCGGCTCGATCTTACGTACTCTATGGTAGATGTGAAGTGAACTTTTTGCTGTGGATTTGGGTACATGTCTCTCCCACGTCGAGGTATACGATGACAATCCAGCATTGCTTTCTTGTGTGAAGTGGTGCTCTTCGTATTATCATATAGTACTACTGGGGTCTTTGATGTAAAATGAGAACGAATGTTGTGCACATACGATGTGTTGAATATGAGCGGGTTTCTCCATTACGTGGACCAAACGACTGCGGTAGGCTTGTTCAGGTCCACGGGAGAAGACCAGGGTATCTTGAAGAAGTGAAGTCGCAGGAAATGACTGGCATGCCAACACTCTTGCCCTGTTGATGCAATTGCTTCCTCTGCCTTCAAACTTATCGGGGCCCAACCAACAGCGTCTGTGAAATTTACTGCGTCCAATGTTGGCAGCTATTCGAGACCAGGATTGTGAATTTCCATACAAGCTCCATACGAGTTCTATCCCATGTAGGGCGGTGGTAATGGCCGTTGGTCTGGTACCAGTGGTGGAGGTGACAGGGCTGCTATGTTGAATGGCCGTGGTCCTGTGTCAGTTTCCAACTCGTGCAATGCCGCTGGGTCGAGGTCGTAACGCGGGCTCATCGGGTCGATTTCATGGTATTCCGGCCTCGAGTCGAGCTCTGCCATCGATCCCATATCCAAATCTGCATTGCCCTGCGGATGAGCCATGTTCCAGCCAGTCACGATTTGGACCTGGGTCTTAGAGGCAAGCCCGGAAAATTCGTGTTTAGCGCACTCGCCCCAGATTTCTACCTGAAGCTCGTACTCCAAAGTCAACCCGTAACTCGTGAAGCTTGGCAAAAGCCTATCGTGTGCTAACCTCGCGTCTCCGAGATCAGAAAGTTTGAGTCCATCGTGAAGCAGCTGACCATTGCCCTCGTCAAACTTCCTGTCAAAGAGTGTCCATGTGTCGCGGGCAATGTCCACAATCTCTTTCCTGAAACTGTTACCATGTCCGGGACGGGGTACAAAGATGCTGTAAACAGGCAGCAACTGCACGCGGAATGCGTCGCATGAGGACATCTGGTGGGGTGGGTAGGGAAGATGATCGATCGAGGTGTTGAAGTGTGAGTGTAAGAGGTACAGGAGATCCTATAACCAGGATGCGAGCTGATGTGGTGAAAAGATTGAAACGTGCAAATGGAACTTCGCCATAGCTGTGGAGACCGAAGAACAGTTCCTTCTCTACAAGCATGTCCTTGACTTTCCCGAGTTTACTGCATTTCTTCATAACCAGGGAGCAACCTGCGGGTCCTTATAAATTTGTAGCGGCAGAGATGTTTGGGCAGACTTGTGCCAAGATGATGATCAGGTTGCAAAAGAGACAGATCATACTCAGGAGCCGGAGGCAAAAACTTGAGTTCGTGTCGCACTACGATGCGAGGGTTTTCAGTGTTGACAGAGTCCAAGCACGCTTCAAGGCCATAGGTAATTTTGGGGGCGTTGGGTGCCTTGGTTGGAACAAGGCCTGTGCAACTTGGCGGTATGACGAAACCAGGGGAGTGTTGAAAACGAGGATGGTCAATTGAATCCTTGGAGTACCGCCAGTTTCTGTCGGCTGGCGGAGGTAATTCGCACGTGTGGGGAAAGGTGAACTCGAAGGGTAGGACTACCTTTCCATCGCTGGCTGTACCTCTCTGTAGGATGTCAAAGTTCTCATGTGCTCCTGAAGACTGGAATAGATCTTTCTTGTGATTGAAGAAGACTGGTGCCGCTTCTTGGGCGTTTGTGTCGTAGAGGAAAGAGATGCCTTTGAAGCTGATGCTGACGTTTTTAGGACGGAGAGTGGGGTCTACGCGCAGGACGCCTCGGACTTTATCACCACAAGTATAAAAGGGATGTGTCTCTTCAAAGATCTCGAAATAAAATGGACGCGGGTTGTACTTCGCGGGTGGTTGTGAAGCAAGAGCCATGATGGCGACTGCGCTGAAGCTTGGCTACAGCGACGCAGTGGATAGTGCCGGAGACTTCCGAGGCGACAGCTCGAAATGAAGGTTAGCGAGGCTATCAGGGCAAACAATGAATGTAGTGGGTGAGGATGTAGATGCGGACAGACAGGATTATGGTCAACAGCGATGCCGGAAGGAGGCGCCCTCGGCACCTTTTTGTGACGACCCCAGTTCTGGGTTACGGCATCCAAGACTCGTTGTTCCTCACGTGCCCATTTATTGGACAAAGTGACGGCTTCGACGGGCTGCAATTGTAAGCGACAGCATAGACCCGCCATTGCATGTCATGCCATCTTCCAGTCGAGTGAGCAGGAAGCTAAGATGCAAGTTGACTTTGTGAATGTATTGCGCCACAGACAGATCCCTCCCAGATGCTCAAAAGGGGAACGCGAATCACTTTAGCCATTGCCCGCAAGACTGTGCATAAGACGCCAAGCACTTGCAAAGCATCCAGAGATCTCCAGGGCTATGTCTCCTTTGTCGGTGTGGAGCTGCTCGTGTGGAGTGTTAGCAAATGATGGGCGTTTCGCGTGGTGGAATGGAACTGGGGTAACTTAGCGGACGTCATGACCCTAGCGAGAAAGCGCGGGTCGCGAACTTTTGTATGATGGCCCGAAGTCATACATGACCACTCCCCATTTCAACCACAATGGCGTCCAACTACGTGTGCGGCACCTGCTCGAGGGCACTGTCAAAGTCTTCCTCACAAGGTCTTCTGGTCAGTCCTCAAATTGGGATTTTCGGGGCAAATGCTTACAACACCAGTCCGTCAACAGAATAGCCCGACGCAGCCTTCAGCGAAGCTTTTCCACAGCCACACCAAGCCTATACAATGCGTCGCACAGCCTCAAAGCAGACGTCAAAGCAGATGTTAGGCCCGAGGCAATCAAGAAGCCTCATCCCAAGATCGCGTCTGGCATGACGGGCATTGCTCAAAAGCTCCGCGAGAAGGCTCCGCTCATGACAGAGACCTATGTCGCATATGGCGCAACACGAGACCTGATCAAGGAATGTAGCCGAGCTGCAGAGTACACGATTCCACAAGCATTGGATCCAAAGGGAGAGATCCCCACCGACGAAAATGGTGTGCACCTAGGCGTGGGCGACGGATGGTGGTATGAGAGTATGCACCGCCTCTCCATGCGCGAATTATACACAGATTAACATGGCGCAGCACTTGGGCTCCAGCCAAACTTCTCCAATTGGGCTCAAATCACATTTATCCACATGTGGATGCTACAAGTGCGCTTCCGCATGTTCCCCGAGACCCACGCACCTGTCTGGATCCAACACCTCACGAACCACGCTTTCTACGCCGCCGAAGATCGTCTGGTAGTGTGGCACAAGTTCAACGCCAATTCGCTGCGCCAAAAATCCTTGAAAGACATGTTCTCGCAGTGGCGAGGCGTGCTTCTCTCATACGACGAGGGTCTCGTCAAGGGCGACGCCATCCTCGCAGCTGCGCTTTGGAGGAATCTCCTGGGCAGCAGGGAGGATGTTGATTTTGAGCAGCTGGCGCAAATTGTGGCATATATGCGGAGAGAGCTCAAGAGACTGGATTCGGCATCTGATGATGAAGTTGCCAACGGTCAGTGGACGTTCCAAGGAAGTCCAGGCGATGAGGCCCAGATGGTCAAGAGACCGAGTCCTTTGTTGAAGAGCGGAAGCGCATAGCTCCAGTATTTTGTGAGAAAATGTATTCGAGGCACATGGTGCTCCGATCTGTACTGTACCAGGTAGATCACGAGAAATGTACTATATGTATCAAGGACACCGCCGCACGATCCCAACATTTACGCTTTGCGAAAGCACAAAATATAGAATGGCTCGATACACAAGACGCGCATGTGAGAGCGGTGCATGTGCTAGCTGCACTTACGTAAGCAGACCAGACGCGACCTCAATCCGCGCCTTTGTGACAACCTCCACCAACTTCACCTTGCAGGGTGCACACACCCTTCGTGCGTCATAAGCCTTCACCGCACCCGCCGTTATTCATACACCGCAAACATGCCTTCCATCGTAACTTCACATGCGCCGCCGCCGCCTATGCCAGGCTTCCAGGTTCCGAACGACGATGCCAGCTACCTTAAGGGCGTGGTCGCAGACATTCTGCAACGCGATAACATGCGCTTCCCAGGCGCACAACCCGTTTCGTTTGCGCGCGAACACGTCGCCGAGCTAAAGCGACAAGAATACTTCATGTGCGAGAAGACAGACGGCTTGCGATGTCTCCTCTTCATACACTGGCAGCAGGACCATAATGGAAACCCGCAGCCGGCGACGTACCTCATTGATAGGAAGAACAACTACTACCAGCTTCAGCCACCACTGCGCATACCGTACTACAAAGACCCAACCAATCCGGAACCATTCCTCTACGGCACAATCTTGGATGGAGAACTGGTGCACGACCAATACCCAAACGAAGCCACACCGCGCTTGAACTTCTACATTTTTGACGCTTTAGCTGTAGATAGCGAGAATCTGACTGGCAAGACGCTCGACAAGCGGTTAGGCAGATTTCAAGAATGGGTCCTCAAGCCCTACCACAAGAAGCTCACCTCAACCCCGAACCCAGACCTCCGACCCTTTGCCCTCAAAGAAAAGAAGACGTACCCCGCATACTCGATACGCCAAATGTTTGACAATGTGCTGCCAACGCTCAAACACGGCAACGATGGGCTAATCTTTACCTGCAAGTCCACACGCTACGAGTTCGGTACAGACAGACACATTCTCAAGTGGAAGCCCCCGCACGAAAACACCATAGACTTCAAGCTGCGAATAGGTGAATTCCCTCTCATGGATCCCATGGACGGCGAAGAGGGCCTGATACCTGACTACGACGCCATGCCTACGTCTTTCGAACTCCTCGTCCTGCACAACAATTCCAACTATGAGCGCTTCGCCAATCTTGCCATCACCCCTGCCGAGTGGGAAATTCTGAAATCCCTCGAGCAGCAGCTCGACGGTCGCATCATAGAGTGCTATCGCAACCTCGACGGGCAGTGGAAATTTAAGGCTGATGGCGATGGCACGCCACGCTGGAGAGACGATAAGAAGGATGCGAATCACATATCCACCGTGAAAAGTGTTTTGGAGAGCATCGAAAGTCCCGTCACGGAAGACATGTTGCTCCAGAACGAAGAAGGCATCAAGAAGGCTGTCTACACTATTCAAGGTCGAGCAGACAAATACCAGCCCCCAAGTCAGCAGGATGGCGAAAGAGATGCGAAGAAGCGCAAGTTCAACGAAACGACATCAAACGGTGGGGCGCATTGAAGCGCTGAAGGATAACTGCTGTCGGGAAATGGCGTTGACATTATTGGCATTGCGAAGTTTCTTTCTTGCATACAAGTTCGGCGTTTACAAAAGGAAAAGGTGCTACGAGATACCCAAGTTGCTGCTTCAGACATCGCACAATTTTACTAGCAATCGAAACCCTTCGTTGCATTGTCACTCATCCTCACCACCGCGTACTAGTCTGAAATACGCCGTCTACCCGGCCACTTACAACTCTAGCTCAACCCTTTCCTCCACCTCCGTCGGCCGCCCTAACCTTACTACTGCCCTCTTCGCCTTCAAATCCATGACAATATTAAACAACGTCGCACTCCCCGTCACCTCTGTCTCCGTCCTACAAATCGCCCCCGGCGCATTCTGCTCGTCTTCAAACAAGCCGCCCACCTCCTCCCATGCCGCCCCACTCCCCAGCCGTCCAGCATTCTCCCCCATAGTCTGCGCCCGACTTAACGAGTCATTAATCCACACCGTATCCTTCTCGCTGGGATGATCCAGTAATAAGTGATTTGTGTGCACGACCCGACCACCTGAATCAGGCATGCAATGCGCGAAGGTCGATTTCGTGAACTCCAGACCCAGAGATTTGTGAGGGTCGGCGAGCAGAATGTGGGCAGAAGACGCCATGCCATATCTCTCAAGCCTCCCGACTGCCTCGTCAACAGAAGCGCTTTCAAGCGCCATTCGCAGACCAAAATGCACAGGCATGCGCGCCGAGTTTACGCCCTGGACTTTGATGGCGTTGAGCAGCGTGCCCACGCCTGCGTCGTTGAAGCCGATTTTGCCGATGATGCCTGCTTCCGTGACTTGTATTATTGTCGGCTTGTCAGTCTGAGTTATTTTGGTGATGATGATGTTTTCCTTCTGCTGCGTCATCCAATCCCAGTTCTGTGCCAGCCAGGCGTGGTCTGGAGTATGCCATGCCAGCGACGTACACCCGTCACTGAACAAGCCGAAATTAATCTCCGTGCGGACGTTGAGGGCGACGATATCCAGAAGTTCTCTTTCAGAGCCGTTGGGCTATGCCGCGCATTTCCTCGTGGTAGGCGGGCCATTTGTCCTTTGCTTGTTGCTCGAAAGTCGATGCGACGCTGTTGGACTTCTGGCCATGTTTTCTTGCAGTTCTTCAGGAAAAGACCTGCATAGAACTGTATGCATCGAGAGATATGCTGCTTTGCTGCTCGGCCGTGTTGCTGGCCGATCTTCGTAGTATGCTCATTAGAATGCAGATTGTGTTAGAGAGGTATGACGTCACTCACCTCAAACGGTGTACCTTTACACTCAACGAACAACATCCTGTCTATTTAATCATCTCACCTTGAAAGTGACGACGAGTGAACATATGGCGACTCCATCCGCCTCATCCCATCCCCAACGGCTCTTCTCTGCGCCACGCGGAGCTCCCGAATAAGCAACCCTCGGCATCTCCTTGCCCCTCTCTTACCAGCGCCCTTCTCCGTGCCCCGCTCGTGCTCTCGGATGTTATTCGCATGCCTATCTCCTTCTTGCTTAGTTGCTGGTCGATACTAAATCTACCCGTCACGTCGGTGCTGGATTACAGGTGACATCCCGCGCGACACGCCTGGACTTACTTCATCTGGCACATGCAGCAGGAACGGCGGGCATCGTACCCGAATGTGTATTTTGGGTGGTGGAGATGGCGTGTGAAGTCACGTCATTATACATTTTTATTGCCGGGGAAGAATTATGAGGTGCTGGTGGAGTGATAAAAGATGGCCTGTGTAACTAAGGAATGTTTGCTCGTCGCCAATGAGTGCACTCGGAAACACTTGGTAGAACTGAAGATTGGAAAATATGCCAAAGCGTGTTTTGTGCTCGTATGGAATCGACGTCGATGCCTGTGCTGGATGGTAGTTTTCCTTTCTCATGTTGCAGTTCTTTTCATTGACAGCAAATCAAGGTTGAACACCAAAAAAATGGCGCACCAGCAGATCCTACCAACGTATCGCGTGGCGTCTTCGGGGCAACAGTAGGCATCGATCGCCTCCTTAAGCTCTGGGATAAATACAACATCAAAGCGACTTGGTTTACACCAGCTCACTCTGCTGAGTCGTTTCCAAAGCAAATCCGCAAGATTGTGGACAAGGGCCACGAGATCGGATTGCATGGATACACGCACGAATTCGTATCAACTCTGAATGAAGAGCAGCAAAGAGATGTACTAAAGAAGAGCATCGATGTCTTGACAAACATCGTCGGCAAGAAGCCGAGAGGCTGGACCGCCCCAGCTTGGAGCACGAGTAAGGAGACCGTCAAGCTTTTGGAAGAGTTTGGGATCGTGAGTCTAGCACATCGTACAACCCGGTCTATCATTAGCTAAAGATGGTTCTTTAGGAATACGACCACTCCTTCATGCACCACGATTCTCAACCCTACTACCTCCCCGACCCCTCTCTCACCACCTACACCTCAACCGACACCTCCCTCCCCGCCTCATCCTGGATGACCCCAATGTCTACCCTCCACCCATCCACCATCGTCGAGATTTGTGCGAACTGGCACCTAGACGACTGGCCGCCCTTCCAGCTGTCCCTCTCGCAGCCCTCCACGCACGGCTTCGTCGACACGGCCGTCATCGAGCGGCTGTGGAAAGAGCAGTTTGAATTCCTGTACCGCGAGTGTCCGGAAGATGGGAGTTTCATTTTCCCGATTAGTGTGCATCCGCAGGTCAGTGGGAAGCCGCAGGTGGTGATGCTGCATGAGAGGCTGATTGAGTGGATTAATGGGCATCCGGGCGTGGAATGGGTTACGATGGGGGAGATTGTGGATGAGTTTAAGAGTGGGAGGATTAGGGGGGTTGAGGTGGAGGGGGGTGTAGATGTTTGATTGCATAATTTGCGCGCTCAACGTTGTTAGGAATGGATCAGATTGTACATCTTCAATATGAAATTTCATCAGGAATACAATGAGATCTATGGACTGTGGAGCCTTCAGGGCTCCGATATAAGTATTGACACAGATCTCAAGCTTTCACACAGCGCGCACTAAATGTCCAGCGTATATCAAGTGCAACGCTAGCACATTCCGATATGCACCCCCCAAAAGCGCTCTCGCAAAGCTCCAGAATTACAGCAAACGTGCCGAAACCAACAGAAGAAATCACTTCACCAGCACATAACCCGTCAAATCATACATCCGGCTCCACCCCAAAGTTCAACGAAAACTCCGCATTCCAATCCTGCGGTGGCGCCACATTATACACAAACGCATTTGGCGCCTCCGTCGTATCAATCGTAGTGGTCGGATTAAACACCGTCCAGTAATCATACGCCTCATCGATGTCGATATTCGCCGGCGCCGGAGCTGTCCCCATAGATGAGTAATCATACATGCCCTCCGGCATCGAAATTTCCGGCTGAACAAGCGGCCGTTGCGCCCTGGCCTTTTGGTCCAAGAAATCCATGTACTCCTTTTTGATGGGTAACAGTAGTCTGTCGTACTCTTCCAAGCAGCGTTTCGCGGCGCCCCAGCGCTCGGCGATGGAGGAGAAGCATTTCGCAAACACGTACATCCAGTCTTCGACTTCTTTCCACGTATATGTGTCGGAGACTTCTTGCTTGCAGCGCTGCAGGCCTTGGAGGAAGATTACGGCGCAGTTGAAGACATGGTGGCAGGGGTGGAAGACGTATTTGATGCGTCCGGTTTCTGCTCCGGCTTGGAGGTAATAGCCGTCTGCGACTTTTACCGCGTTCGCTAGGGAGATCATCATCTGTTCTGTTGTGGGTGAAGGGTTGAGTTTTGAAGGCCGGTATAGCGTGACGAGGATGTAGGGATACGCAATGTCAGAGTAGAGCATCATCTCCTTCCATCTCTGTACGAGTCCTCGGTCTTTGTTGGCTTGTGCTGATGCATATATTTCTTGCCGCCATCGCGACATTGCGTCGATACATTGCTGTTCCCAGTGTTCAATAGTCATGTTCTGCGGTATTGGTTCGCCGTGCCATAGGACGGAAACAACTTCTGCCTCGATCAGTCGGAAGCGACATATTATGCGCTGCGTGAACTTTGAGACTCGGCCTCCTCGGTCAATGCCAGACTGTGTGATGGCTGTGTCGTCCATCTCATATGGAAATCCGACATCTATGTTCCGGACTGGTAGACTGGTCTGGCGCAGAAATATGCAACAGACCCCGACTTCCATCTCCCATGCACACCAAAACAGACGCCGACGCATGTCCCGTTGGTACGTAGATACTTTGGCGTCATTCGGTAGTTCTTGATGTAGTCCAAGGTCGATAACTGCTTGGCTGATCAAACCTGTCAAAAGCCAGAGATCCGCCATGCGAGGGTTGAGGAATATGTATTGTGTCAAAAGCAATATAGCCTGTAACCCCTGTATATCATTTGTCGCAACCTCTGGTATCCATTGCATTGCATGCCGGACTAGTTGGAAGGCGATCTGGTTTGCTTTTGGAACTTGGCTTATTGCGGTAGTGCTTAAGGATATGGCCATGATTATGCATATTATGTAACGATTTCGTACCGAGTCTTCGCCAGGTACTGTAGCCTTGCGGTGATAAATTGAGTTAAATGCCGTAGTAACATCGTTACGGTGGTAGATGGGATATTGTGTAATGACTCGGTCCAGGTAGTTTTGGAAGAGCTGGTTCGCGCCCACCTCGTCTGGTATGATATTTTGGAACAGGGCTTTGGATGGCTGTGGATTTAGAATCGACCTTGGATTATTCTCGTTGAGATCGCTGGAGACCACGGGACCTTTCTTGGATGGAAGTTGGGTTCCTCTTACGACACACTGTAACAGGGGTCGTGCCTTTGAGACCCCCAGGAAGGACGGAGTGATATCTTCCATGGCTTGGTTCACGAGACTGTCAGTGAAGGCGCATTTTTCAGTGCCCCAATGCCTTGATCTCGAATCAGACTCGTTTGAATCAGGCGGTGATGGGAAGTTGGCACTCGCTTGGCTGGGCCGCTGCAGCGACGCCAGGCTGCGCGGCCCCTCGAGGCTGGCGATATGCGCCTCGAGAAAGTCAGCAAGACTACGAGGAGCCTCGCGCTGAGTAGCAGAGTCGAAGCCAAGACATGTTACTCCCGCGTCGACGCAGCGCGTGCACGCCGGGACCTTGCCGTCACACTAGAGCAGTCAGTAAAGTACGGGCACTTAGCGAGGCTGAATAGCACCGAAAGTTTGCGCTTCCTACACCTTGCGCATGCCAACACACGTCGTCTCACTTTGGTGCGCTGCTGCATCGTGGAAGTCTAGCGTCGCGTGTCCATAAAACGGCAGCGCGCTCCACATGGCGTAATGCGTGGCTCAGTCGATGGCTCTGAAATGCAGATGCGAAAGGTGTCACGGACTGACTTAGAACGATGGTGGATGACAGCGCTGAGCCAGGCTGCATCGCACGGGATTATGCATGGTTTCCGAGGCTTGCGCGCTTTGCCAGATAAGATCGCAGGCGCCCGATGGCGCGCCCAGTCTCAATGTTAATCGCGTCACACCTGGACGCCATTCATTTCTTCTGCAACGCCCGTCGCGTGCGAGACATGGCATTGCGCATCATCTGTGGTACTACTTGACTAGACTTTGCACTGTATTGCGGCGCCGAACTACCCCACAGATGGCCTCCGCACGCGGCACGCAGCCGCCTCCCCCGTTGGACCTAGACGTCCTTATTCAGGTACTCCTTGCTGAACCTGTTGGAATGTCTTGGAGAATGCTGACAGCGATCAGAGCTTGCCTGCGTGCAAAAGGTGCAGAGACTGCAGGCGCGGGTGCGACACACTGCTGCCCAAGTGCCGGTAAGCGTTGTTGTGCTGTCCTGCTACGTAAAGCGCCTCATTGACGCCGATAGACAATGCACGAAAGCGGGGGTGGAGTGCATGTTTTACGACCATGGACGAAACGACTACCTGCCACGGACGTAAGAGCATATCTGGGTAGCTGTGATATATACGTATCTGACACATGCCCTCAGTTATATCGCGGAGCTAGTGGATCACGTGCGCAGACTTACACCGCGAGGGAACCCGTCACCGGCAACATCGACCGAGACTCCCGAAGACAGTACCGGTCTAACCCATCAATTGAAGATAGAATCTAATACTGAGGACGTACCTCTGCATTATGATCATCACTTTGCCTATGCCGGTCACGACTACCGATACCTAGGCTCAGAATCTTGTCTGCTGCGGTCACCAAGACTGCAACCACGAAAAGTGCAAGCTCCACTGGTGCTTGATGACGACGATGATGATTGGCAATTGACATGGAAGAACACTGCTGCGAAAGAATGGGAGCTAATTGGGTTGTATCTGGAAGTCATTCAGCCAGTGTATCCTATCCTGGAACGGTCGCTACCGGTCGGCCGTTACATAGCTGAGGAGGTACCGACGGACTTGACGCCCACAGAAATCTTCACGCTGAACATGATATACTCGGTGTCATGCTACGTCCTACCGAACACCGGAAAGAAGAATGATCTACAGAACACGTGGAATTCAAGTGGTCGTCAGACTTACCATCAAGCCAACTCTCTCAAGTACCGCGCGCTTGCGACCAAGTACTACAACAAAGCCATGGAACACCTAGAAGCAGCGACAATGGACCCCAACATCGCGACACTTCGCGCAGTCCTTCTGCTTGCCATTCATAGTAGCTTTGATCCAAAATCTGGTAACTCTGGTCAGCAAATAGCGCTAGCCGGTCGTTTGGCCTTCGACCTTCAAGCCAAAGCCGAATTGCAAGAGCTCCAACCAAAAGAAATTGAGATTCTGAGGAATATGCACATGACAATCTTCAGTATGGAGAACCACATAGCTTCAACATTGGACCGACCTGCACTGTTCCCCGAGCCAGTAGGTCCTCATCCGGAACTGCAAAGCATACAAATATTGACTTCATCTAGGTCTCAGAGATCACATTCGACATGAACAAGCCGGCTGAATACATGTGCTCGCTCTTCAGGCTCCAGAATCGCTTCCGAAAAGGCGATTACGCTACCAAGCAGCAGATGAAGAAGATGCTACCGCGGCTAGACGATCGCGCCGAACTTTTGCCCATTGTTCGCATTGCTTTACACATGACCCACCTTCTGCTCAACCCAGTATGGGGCAGCGCGTGGCATGTCTTGTAAGTGTTCTCCAAATGCCGAGCAGATCAAGCTAACGTAAACTTCAGAGAAGCTGTAGTCAGTCTCGGAGGCATACACGTATACGTGACGCCGCACTGGGTGTACCGAGCCGGGACAGTCCTGATCCAGAACATGCCAGCAATCTTCGGCGGCAACTTGATCCAGCTCTACTCCAACGCACTACTTGTGCTTGAGCTTTCGTCGTGGAAGTGGCCTAGCTCTGCAACTCTGTCTGCATCGCTCGTCGATCTCATGACAGACATGAAAAGGAAATATCAGCCGGACTGGTCTGGCACACTTCAACAGGGAGACGTAAGGATATGACATTTCGGTTTCAAGCAAACGCACGGCGTCGTCTTATAGTATTCCTAACGAATGGTTTAGGTCCGACTTTGACCAACGATGATGTTGTCATGAGAGACAAATGCATTTAATGGGCTATGAAATCTGTTTGATGCTGTCACAGCGTCTAGGAGACGCTAGTGGTAGTCCGAAGAGCACAACAACATGCAGAACCCGCGTCATAGCAGGACATGCGAACACAAAACACACACCAACGGGTTCCTCAGCAAGTAAATCTGCGACACACGCCGTTTGCCCCATTCCACACATAAAACCCATCGGAATCGATTCATCTCCCCGTCCGAGAAAAGCTGCCCAAAATGCCGCCCCGCGAGGTCTTCTTCCTCAACACCTGGTCCGGCCGAGTGATAACCCGATCATCCACCATCTTCTCCTCCCTCTCAAGCATTCAGCACCACTACGAACTCTCCTACGACAAACTCCTCGATCAGCTCCAGGACTTCGTTCGCGCGACAAAAAGCCCCTACAAATACCGCTTCGAGACAGAAGAACATATTCACGAGGAGAAAGTCTTGTCCTTCGATCTAACTGGCAGAGGAAAGGCGTATGTGTTGAAATAGCGCGTCTGGCAGGTCCCGGCTGATGGAGAGCGTCCGCTTTTGGGTCTGACGTTTCATCATGATTGGCCGGGTCTGCTGGTCGCTGCGGCGGTGGAGGCATATGCGGGTATGGATGTTGCAAGGGGTGCAAGGGTGGGGATCATGAGTGTGGAACATGGGGAGGATGGTTTGCCAAAGTGGACGATCGAGAAGGAGGGTGGGGAGTGTGTTACTGTAGAGGTTGTTGCTAGATGTTTGCCATTTTTGCCTGGAGGGGCTGAGTATGGTGATGGGCTGGAAAATGCTGTGGACTTTGAAGGATCAGGATCATGCACTCAACTTGATGGGGCCGGTGGCGGCGAAACCGCAGCCTATGAAGCGGTGACACAGTTACAAAAGGCGTCGACGACTTTACAGTAATGAAAAAATTCGTTTCATATTTGGGTATCTCATCCACACGCCTCTAAATGTCTCAGTCTACATCCCTCCATCTTCACTCCAACTCCTCAGGCTCCTCTTCCACCTCCTTCGGCATCTCAGGAATTTTCCCCTCCCCCTTAAGCCCCTGATACAACGCCAACGCAGCCAGCGTTTTCCCATCTCTACTGCCTTCCTTCCACGCCTTATCCAGCGGCACAAGCTTCAACGTGATGTTCTCGCCCTCATCCCTCAGCCCCGTCGCCTTGCCCTTCAACCACTCCATGTGCTTTCTCGACAGCCGTTTCTGACACAGAAACAGTGGAATGAACTCGTCGCACGCACCGGGACTGGGATACATGGCCGCCTCGATGTTTTCTTGCGTGTCTGTATCGGGAAGAGAGAGTTCGGACATGTTGATGAGATCACTTTCCTTAACGACGAGTTTTGCTTCTTCGGCAATCTCATTCGCAGCCGTGCCCTTGAAAGAATTCCCGTCGAGCATGCCGGCTGGGATTTCAGCGAAGGCGAGAGAGCCTGCTGCGATGCGAGGCTGGATTGTTAGAATGACGTGTTTTTCGTCGTCGTTTGTTGCGTCGGAGGGTTGGACGACGATCTGATGTGTATCAGCTCTCTTCGTCTAGTCTGTTGTGTGCATAATGACTACTCACCAGAATCCCCACACTCCCACCCCTCAAAAACACCGCTCCAGGCAACCAATCACTCCTCTCCTTCTCCTCTCCCTCATGCACATACACATCCGTGGTAACCTCCGCCTGTAACTTCATAAAGCCCAGCTTATCTTCCTTGCCCGGCATATCACGCCAGAACCAGTCTACAGCTTGGATATCCAAGCTGCGCAGCTTGTACGGGTGTTTGTGGAAGGGGTGGGCTGGTTCATTTTGTCGATCGAGGTTTGCGCACAGGCGGGTGAGCCAGTTGAGCAGGGCGGGGAAGGTGAAGGCGGGCCGTTGGGGGGAGAGGGAGTTGGGTAGTAGCGAGTGAAATTCTAGTGTTGTGAGGTTTGAGGGAAGGGAGAATTTGAAGAGGGGATGGGAGTAGCGGTCGTGGACTTGGATGTGGCGTTCTGACGACGGCATGGTGATGGTAGATGGTTTAAGTTTGACTTTGTTGATGGTAAAGGAAGGAAGATTTTAGTAAGTGCTGGAGAATGAAAGTCGATGTTGTTTCAGTGATGATTACATAGTGCGAGCTATATCGCCCATTGCAGCCTCTTCGGGGCTGTGTATTTCCCAGTGACTCAGCATCTGATTGGCCACCCACCTATGAGTGGTGAAAGGAAGGAGCTACGGGCGCGCCCCGCCCAACGCGCTTTCCGTAACGGCTTGCCCCACCTGTCCACGCTAGCGTGCTTCGCGACCGGCTTCCGCCACTGGTTCACGACGAGCTACTTCATCCGTTGATAGTTCAGACTTCACTCAATCAAACACATTCAAAAACTGCTCTTCGCACGTCTCGTGATCGTTCTGCGCTGCTTGTACATTTACCCCTAAGCGACCAGGACCATGGGCACGCTCACGGCGGATTGTCCGCGGCTCGACGATCATTGTCCCCACAAGCTCGCGACATCGTGCCGACTCACCTCGACGCCCAATTGCTGTGCATGTGCGGATGAACGGGCTCACTCACGGACATACAGGGTATACATTGATGGTATTGGCTTCGTCCAGAGGGGCACGCGCTGGCAAGGCTACTGCTGGTTCTGCAAAGGTATGTTTGCTGCCAATTAGTCTTCCACTGCAGTGGCAATACTGACACTTGCGAATAGAGTTCTGGACGAACCGCCTCGCTGCCACAGACCCCCCACTCGAGTTAGCACAGACGCGCATACCAGAGATACCTGATCAGACCGAATTCCTAGAAAGATGGTTCGAGTTCCACAAAGGCTATCGTGTTGCGAAGCTGCAGGATGGCACTGAGCAGCACATGCCGGTAATAGGCGAACCGTTCAAGGAGGTTAGCCCGGGCTTCCTGCCGCGGACGTTAGATCAGCTTAGACGGGGTGTACAGAACGATGCTAGGAGACCGGAGAACAGGCTGAGGAGGAGGCGCTTGACGTCGGAGGAAGAGCGACCGGACGAGCCCCAACAGAGTCTCGACTCGGCGTTGGATAGTTTGCTTGCAGAAGTGGAGGACGAGGAGACTCCAAGAGCTCCACAAGAGACTGCGCCACATCCCGAGGAGGCTCAACAGCCAGAGGTGTTAACGCCAGAGTCACTACCGGATCTCGTACCCGCAGAGCAGCCTATGACCGAAGAGGCGTCACAGCCTGCAAATCGACCACGACCCCTGAACAGAGGTGAAGCCAGACTTCAGCGCGCTCGAGAACGTTTCGCCCGCGTCTTTGGTACACAGGAAGACATACAACAAGACGACTACCAATCGCCGCTCTCGCTCCTGTACAACAGAGCAGAAAACCGATATCATCAAGCTGAGGAGAGGCGAGCAACAAACACGACTGCTCCACCGCCACTTGACGGTCTCTCCGCTCGCGAACGACGTGAGATTGAAGAACAACTGCTCTGGGGAGTCATGCGCGAGTCCGCATTGGACGGAGGCGCAGAAGATCATGTTTGGAGTTATGCTCCGCGAAGACTGCAGCCGAGCGAGGGGGCGCGGTTTGTTAGGTCACAGGCGATGCGAGAGTACAGGGTGCGACAAGCACAAGGATACAACAGACTTCCGGTGCGACCCTCAACAGGCGCAGGGCATGATCGGGATTTGACGTCCGCTCAGTCTTCATCTAGTACACCCGCGACATCAGGACCCAGTCAGTCGGGTGTAACCGCAACTTCGTCACCCGTTCTGCCCACCGCCGCAGAAACAAGTCCAGCGGGCATGGCCATGCTCCTCAGACATCAGGCGAGATATGAGGCCATGCTTGCGGAAAGAATGGCCGAGTTTGAACGCGCTCAGCCTGAAGCAGGGTTAACTGCATTTACACCTGGCCAGGCAAGAGACGGCGTAGAACCCAACATTGAAGCCTCAGGCGAAAATGCCAACGGCAACGGCATGTCACAGATTCAAACTTCGATCCAACAAATCACTTCCGAGCTCCACCGTCTACGGTTAGCTTCGGAAGCCATAACTTCTGCCCGGCACTCGATGCACTCACACTTCCAACCCCCGCCCGAGCGACCTCCACAGACGCTCGACAACCAGCCCGGTCGTCCAGATGCCATGAGCGAAGAGGAAATGACCAAGAAGCTCGAGTGTCAGGTGTGCTATCAACAATTGGCTGATGTCGCTCTGTTACCATGTGGTCACATGGTCATGTGTCAGTGGTGCGCCGATGTGGTGATTCCTGTCAAACATAGCCATTTGCCTATTCGGCCGAGTAAGTGTCCCATGTGTAGGAAGGCGGTCAAGCAGAGGTTTAGGATTCATATGTGAGGTGGTAGGGATTGCGGAGGTGGAATATTGAGAGTGTATAATGATAATGAATGTATGAACTCTAGGGATGTTGAATATGCAGTGAAAACTGTGCAGATGTGGTACATCCTTACATATTTGTAAGCTTCCTGCATATACTCCTAATCCGAGGAGATTATGTATAAGTAGTCCACCTGTTGTGAGGAAGTCATCTCAGGGCCATGTGGTCGCATGGCCAAGGCGCCCAAACAAGGCATTTCGGCGCGCCATCTTATCTACGTTTGTCTTGCCATGTCCGTTGACCCTTACATCTAGCTTGAATGACACCAGAGCCAAAGTAGAAAAAGCACAGTATAAAACATCCCGAATGAGTAGGTGCTATATAATCACGGCCAGATAATGCTCGACGCCTGAAGTCTTTGCTGGATTCCATGTAGATATTGAGCTGTAACTGGAACTGCTTGTTATCTACAGTAGCAGTAACTTCGATGGCTCTGAGAATTGTTCGTTGCCACAGTCCCTAGGAAGTAACATATCCTCGTTTCGATATGGGTGGGATTGCTGGCTCGGGGAGCTCGCGCCGTTTCGTTCGCGTCCGATGTGCAGTAATGGGTGTATGGTGCCAAGAGGATTCAAGCTACAGCCGACCTCGATTGGGGATTAATGGCTCGCTTTGTCCTGGCGAGCACAAGGGGCAAAGGACCGCCGTGCCCATCATTCCAACACCAAGCTTTTCTCATGCCATTCGCCACCGCCACAGATATCTCGAAAATACAAACCGGGGTCGGTAAGGGGGTTGTTAGAGATTTCGTGATCAAAGCGATACATGTCATCGAGCAAGTGATCGGAAAGTATACCCAGACGACGACAATGTCCACTGTCCAGCAGTTCAACCAACAAGAAGGCCATGAACACTCGCGAGCCTTTCTTCATGTAGCCAATATATACAGCAACTGTATCGCGCGTTGCAATTGAGGGGGTTTGATCCAAGTGTACAGTCATGGCTGGACAGGGAACAAATGTGGCCCGATCTGAACTACTGCGTAGTAGCTTGCCAGAACAAGTCATGCTCGTGACGTAAATGCGTGGCGAGAACGCTGTATAATCACAGTCATGCTTGACGTAGTCTACCAAGCTCATTTGAGCACCAGATTGATGGTGGAAACAAATTCGGACTATCTCATCAAGCCAGGGGAGTCTGGAAGAATCGCGATACAGAAACGACAGTTCGCCAGGATCTTCTTTGGGCCGCTGGGCCTTGAGTGATGCCCAGGTCCACGAGGGGTAATTGCTGCTGATTCTAGCCGTACTGCTTATGGTAGCTTCTTGGCCACAGCCTACTACTCGCCAAGCTAAGCCTGCAGCGAATGGTACATGCGGGTTGGCCAAGCCCAGGGGCCCAATCGTTGAGGTAATAATTGGAATCCCATAGAAGTGCAATGCGTAGGGGCTCCCAGAGCCAAAGGGGCGCCTTTGAAAAGCTCGAAAGATGCCCGAAAGAGCATTTAATATGTCAATGTCAAACGAAAGCTTCCTCGCGTAGTATTCTTCTAGACGATCGTAGATCTCGACTGCTCTGATGCCAATGCCGCTTTCCGGAAATGCTCGAGTCTTCAGTGGCAATTCCATAAAATTCGGTAACTGCACGCCTTCCATGCGGTGACCAAGGCAACATTGGAAGTATACCTGTCTATCAGTAAAGACGAGACGTCTGCGTGACAACAATGCTTCCTGGTAAGTCCAGGCCCGAGAATTCCATTCGGATGATACGATCTCTATGACAGGATTTTCCACGGCCACGAAGACGCGTTTTCCAATCTTGAGAGTGCGCTGGGGCTCCCGTGTACGTGATAAACCGGGAAGACCATAGCCAGGACCATGGCCTGCGGCAGCGATTATGGTTAGCTCTGCACCGCCATCTGTCGCGTGCGCGGTTAGTGAGTTATCGTATGAGCAATAGAGTGTAACGAGCCGCCTTGGTGGGAAGGAGTGTCGGTAAATGGTACGGGCATCTTTCAAGACGCCCTTGTTGAGGTCGCGTGACAGCCTTCTTTATACAGAAATACACTCACAGATGGCGTCCATATTCCGAATGATGTTATGCTTCTCAACCTCATTGTCCTGGTCGATGCAATATCGGTCTACCCATAGATACCTCATACCGATTCGGAGCGTGACTTCCATGGCATCCGAAATAGTTGCAGGTAACTTTTGGGGGAGGGTACAGCTCGCTGAATCCTGGTCTGATAGAATTGATCCCCAAACGTAGCTCAAGCACACGTAGGGTTCATCACTGTCGCATAGCTCCCGGAGTCTACAGTCGATGAGCCTGTCGGGTCTCATTCCATCTTGGTTGACCTTGCCACAAGCATGCTTATGATTGCTGTTGCACTGTTCATACCATTCCCTCAGAGTGTTTGTATCGATAGAAGCCGGATCACAGAGCCGTCCAGTCGCCATTCCATCAGAACTGTTTTGGCATGTAACAGATGTAAAAGGGTGTGTAATGCTTGCTTCAAGAAAGCCAAGAAGAATCGCAGGCTCCACGAGGAAAATTCGTAGTTCCCGGCCAGGAACACAGTACTGGATTGCAAAGTATGTTCCATACTGGAAATGCTGGTACTGCAACAACTCGACTGAGCGCGTCTTCCCAACAAGCTGCGAAGAAGTCTCGGATACAAGGTGGTGAAGGTATTGGCCGAGTCTTGCACAAAGAACACATGATGTGTCGATGGGGATGTTGTCAATTCTGGCGAGTAGAGGGCCACGATACTTGTTATCGGAGTGCGGCATTTCATTGACACTGGCAAGGAGCTCGAGTCGTTCACATCTCTGACAGAGGGGAATATAATCAGAGCGTGTGTTCAGCAGTGCCCGGAGTCCCGTCCACCACTGGAAGAGCAGAGAAGTCATGGTCGAAGCTGAGGATAGGTGAAGACCATATACATCGTCTACCGGAGGGCTATTGATGCAGAGTTACTAACATTCTGGATCGCAAGAGGGGTCGTGGAGGGCCAGGCTGAGATGACTCGAGATCAGAGTGATTTCAGCTGGATGACCCTTGCAGCCTAGCATGCGCCACAAAGCCATATCGTTGGAAGTACGCATTTTGAATGTCCCAAGGAAAGGCATCCAGACTTGAGTTTGAAACCGTAAGTTAGCGCGAAGAATTCTTCATAGGTTCTTTAGCAGAGGGAAGGCGCAACATGGATCTTGATAGCGACGGCCTCAGTCTTGGCACTTCCGCGGAGGTTTACGTCAGAGCTGCTACTCCAACATTCCTCACCTCCACCATGTTTCGCATACGTCCGCCTCTCCGAGCTTTTCAAGCGCCTTCGCGACCGTCACAAGCCTTCCCGCGATGCCTCCGTGATCACACCTCCTTCCGCACATACAAGCAACAACGCTTCGGTCGTGGCCCGCAGTACAAGCGATTTGGCTCGGCTTCCGGTGGCATAGCAGGTCTTTTCTTTCGCTGGGCAGCTCGACCGACCTTCTATCGCGATGTCGGCATCATCACAGCAGGCACTGGAGGCGTCTATGTCTACAACCTCGAACAAGTGCCCGTGTCAGGTCGGAGGCGCTTCAACATCATATCTCCAGGCTTAGAGGAAACACTGGGCAAGTCAACTGTCGACCAGGTCAAAGAGCAATACCAAGGACAGTTTCTGTCAGATAGTGACCCGAGAGTACGGAAGGTGAAGCAGGTCTTGGAGAGGCTCTTGCCATACGCAGAAGGAGAGGGTCTCCAGTCCTTGGAATGGGAGGTTCATGTGATTGATTCACCAGAACAGAATGCCTTCGTTGCGCCTGGCGGCAAGGTTTTTGTGTTCACAGGCATACTGCCGCTTTGTAAAGACGAAGATGGCATCGCAGCGGTCCTCGGCCACGAGATCGCTCATGTCGTCGCACATCACACAGCGTTCGTGCACCAACCTCCTTATTTTCAAGCGCTAACATAATTACCATAGTGAACGAATGTCGCAAGCCCCCCTGATACTCCTCGGAATCATCGCCCTCTCCATGTTCGACGTCTCCCTCTACTCTGGCAAAATGCTCATCGACCTCTTCCTCTCCATGCCCGCCTCTCGCAAACACGAAGCAGAAGCCGACTACATCGGACTCATGATGATGGCACAAGGCTGCTACAACCCCGAGGCCGCGATGAAGTTCTGGAATCGCATGGAGAAACTGGGTCAGGGTGGGCCGCCTCAGATCTTGTCTATCGCACCCTTCGAATCATAACAGAGAGGAGAAGATTAGGGAGTGGATGCCAAAGGCTTTGGAGAAAGCGCAGGCGAGCGAGTGTCATATGACAAGTCAGTATGCGAGCCAATTCAGCTCTGCATTTAGCGGGTTTGATCGCTGGTGAAGGATGAAGCGGGGCGTTGTATGAGTATAGCGTGTAAGAGTATCCTATGCACATTCCAGCCTTTCCAGCGAAAATTACTTAGCCACTCATGTATACTACGACAATAATGATAATGCCAAAAAGTTCACCCAACTCAAATCTCGCACCCCCAAAATATTTCGCGCGTTCCATGATGTCATCAGCCCTCGACGAACTACCACTTACAACCCCAAAATTCTCAAGCTCCGATTGCGCCCAAACCTCCCCGCACCAACAAACAATCCCCACACTCAATCCCACTCCCTTCACATAAAAATGGCGCCCGCACTCGCCTCCGAAGAAACCCAAATCGACACACACTCCCGCACCGCCCTCGCAACCACAAAGCGCAACCTGCGCTACCTCTACGACCCCAAATCCGCGCCCAACGCCATATCCTCGCGGCGCACACGCACCCTCCTGCGCGTCCTGCGCTCAGCGACAATATTCCTCTTCTGGCGGCTAGTCCGATACGCAAAATATGTCGCCATTGGCAGCCTAGTTGCGACGATTGGGGCGGGCGCGTTCGGCACCGTGGTGTCGGGCGCGGGGTTTGTGCTTGCGCCGACGGGGATTATGGGCACGGTGTTGGCGGGGAGTGTGTGGGGGGTGGGCAGGGTGGTGCTTCGGAGGGTGAAGCATAGATGGGGGCATGGGGAGGGGTATGGGGAGGAAGAGGAGGAGAGGGAGGATAGAAGATGGGGGAGGGTGGATGAGGTTGATGCTATGCCTTGGTGAGGGGGGGCTTGTGTTGGGGATTTTGGCATGAGATGTTAGTTAGAGACGCTCGAGCTCAACTGCAATGTATAATGCTTTAGATTGCAAATGTTTCGTTGATGTATTTGCGTCTCTCATGCCTCATCTACGGTATCGTACAATGCCAGTAACCGCCGGTCTCCGTCCCAATGGGAGATGAAAGCTGTGTTGAATGCCCGGATGTAAATAGTAGAAAAAGTGACGCCGAGGCGTGACCACACGAATCCGTGGCTCGAAAGTAACTCCCTCCCCCATGCCGCGGTATGCAACGTCCCACTGCGCCAAATATGTTCAAATCCCAAGATAGATGCTGTCCAATATGCCATGACCCATCGCTTCAAAGACGGACGATCTTTACATCGTCTTGCGCACTCGCCTCCTCTTACGTCCACTATCAACTTCGACACTCGCACTCATGCTTTCTCTGCCGCTTCGAGGTGTACTGAATCTCTCGCGAATGGACTCTTTGAGGATCTTCTTCGTCTTGCCGCGCTTCAGCTCGCGCTCTTCATCTGGATCGACAAAACGATGTACGATACGGTGGTCTGTAATGCGCTCTTCCTTGTCATGCTTGCCCTCGCGCTCGGTCTTGGGCCAAGCATATCCGTAGAGCTTAGAATGACGCTCACATCGCGGGCACTCCTTGCGGGTATTGTACCCGTCCTGCTGCACAAACTGTACGTCGCAGGTCTGACATTCGACCCACTTGCTAAATTTGGCCGAAAGCAGCGAGCTGCTGGTCATGTAGTCACCGGGTTTGCGGGGGTTCTCAACCCATTCGCCGTCCTGCCCTACCGCGCTCGAGACTGGTGTGCCAACGCGATTGTGAACTTCGTAACGTGATTTGGACCGCGTGGTGCGGAGCGTTGGGCGAAATTTGCGTTTGACGATCTGTTGCTTTACACTGTCAAATTCCATACTGTCGGAGAGCTCGCTGAGATCAGACATTTCGTCGTCTTCTGCAGGCGGCGAGGGCCACGGGGCGTTTACCGTCGTTGTAATGACCTCCTCCTTCACTGTAGCCACTCCCAAAGCGGGGTTCTCGTGTACAACTTCCGGCTCAACTTTAATCTTTGGGAGACTATCCACATGATGCTCATCATCGACAGACGTGGCATCGGTAGAGTGCGAAGACTTCGGCGATGCAGCCATCAGTGGTGATTGTGGTGTCGATTCGCGGGACGAGCTGGTTTCATCCAGACTCACGGTGAGAAGACCGTCGCGTTGTTGGTTGCGAATGTCTTGTGTCATTTGCGGAGAAGTGACGTTGATGTTGGCAGACGGGTCCTCGATGCTTGACACTGGCATCTCGCGACGAAGCGAAGATGTGCTGTGAACCTTCTTGAGCGTCGCTTCACGAAGATGATCGGAAGCGCGCGCTTTCGTCGGCGAAGGCTTCTTTTCGATCCTGGCTCGCTTGGATGTTGGAGGCAAGTCTGCACCCGCGTCTTCTTCTGTGATGTCGCGTGCTCGTTTCCCTCCCGAGGTAGCAGTCCCGCTGGATGTAGCTTCTGATGGATTCTCGACTGGGCTTTCTGCCTCTTCCATGTCCTCGTCATCACTGTCTTCAACGCGCTTCATAGGCGCCCAGCCATTCTGTTGCCGATCCTCGCATGTGTGGCACAGGCACTCTTCGTTGTTGTCGCCGAAATAATCGTCACCATAGGAAACCGTGATTTCGTCCCCTTCGTTGATGGGCTTCACTGCAACAATCTGCATGCCATCATAGCCCTTCGTGGAGAGGCGCGCATTGGCGTCGCAGTCATGGTTGGCAAAACGTGCGGGTCCCAGGAACAATGAGCGCGTCTTCTTTCGGCTTGAGATGACAAGGCTGAAGTCCTTGCGCGCCAATTCTAGAGTCTTCTCTTGCTCTTCTGTCATAGCAACCTGGACTCCTGTCAGGTACTTGATTTCCTCGCGCGGGTTGATGTCACGGCGGGCAGTGATGGATGCTTCGTGGTCGGTGATGGTATAGCGGTTCGTGGTGGTGACCTCGAATGGGCAGTCTGGCATGTAGATGTTGACATAACGTCGAAGATGGCGCTTGAATTGGTCCTGGTCCTTCTCATCCCTGAGGCCTTTCATGTACTTGCGCAATCCAGGCAGGTCCAAGAGCTGTTGAACGGCTTCCACGGGGTCCTTGTCCCAGATCACCTGCTCACGGATAACACCAGCGATATCCTCCTCTTGAAGGCCACGCGATGCGGTGAAGCGCGTGCCGCGGTTCTTGCGGATAGTCGCCCAGTAGTAGATCTGCATGGCGCATTGGTTAGCTAGCAGTTCTGGAGATGCACGCGAACTTGTTGTCGCGTGCTACTGGTGTAGTAGCCCACCTTGTCGACCAGCGCATCTGTGATCACGTCGTCGTACGAGGCCAGCTTCTCCAGCGTGAGTCCCCTTTTTTCCGCTTTAGAAGGCGGCATGACGGCGGGTTTGGAAGATTGACGTGTAATTAGTCGTCTAGAGTAGTTGAACGGTGGTCGCGACAATCATGGGGTTGCAATTGCTGGCGTGATCAAAGGAGAGAGGCTGGGGTGACGTAGAGTGAACCGTAGCGTACCATGCGTTTTCACCGACCTGATGGACGACAATAGCAACGCGGCGCGAAAAAGGAAGGAATGAGGGACAATACGAAAGGCGACAGGAAGGAGCGGCGCGGGCAGACACGAAGCCAGATGGCGCTGAGTCGCGGTCAGCGGAGAAGCGGTTGCAAGGCTAATGCGCCCAAAGTTGCGGCTGGAGACATCCCTGCCAGGATCGGACACCTGGGAGTGAAGGGATGACAACGCAAGCGACGACGCTAAGGGACATGTGGGACGGCAAACCGCCGCATGGCCCGACGACATCTGCAAACTTGTGTTGCAGCACATATCGAACGGCGCAACGGACCCAGCCAACAGCGCTGACCAGACAAGAGACGTTCGCCAGGGCCCATAGACGAGGTTGGACACGATGATTCAGCTCAAGGTACGGAAATCGACGGCCGGCGATCACAAGACAGCCACTCATGCAACACAATCTAGACCCTCGTCAACTGCATCGACAACTCGGGCGCCGCCATAGTGGAGTGCGTCAATGTTCTGCGATCGAAGCGACCTGCGAAAGTCGGTATGTGCAAGGTGCCGGTGGAAAGCGGAGGGGCAATGGATATTGACAATATGTAGGCGATCGCATCGTTGTAGTCGTCAAGAAACAGCGAAACTTTGGTCCCGAGACCGGCAACAGCGTTTCGATCAGCGCAGCGAACAAGGTCCGAAGAGGAGACGTGCGACACGCGGTTGTGGTGCGGACGGCGAAGAAGTGGCAGCGACCAGACGGCAGCGTGGTAAAATTCGATGACAATGCTTGCGTTTTGGTGAACAAGGCCGGCGAACCGATCGGCTCAAGAGTCAGTGGTGTCGTGGCAGCGGAGCTGAAGGGCATGCAGTGGTCAAAGATCCTGTCGCTGGCACCGATGCACGTATAACATGGTGAGGGATCATGATGCATTTTCAGGAGTCTATGGAGCGCAGGGATATTGTAAAATATGTGTATGCCACAGTACAAATACCCACGGGTATCAGAGGGTTCTTCCACAACTCCAGGCAATAAATGTCAAATTTTCAAACGCCCGCCCAATGCTGTTTTTCATACTTCCCAGAGTCCTTATTTCGTGTCGCTGACCCGCGTGACGTTACCGCAACCGCAGCACACATAGTAAAGCGCCTGAATTCGTCAGTTCGTAAGCCCCAGGGCACCGTGTTGGGGGTTGTTGTGACTCACCATACCAGTCGAAGCCGTTCGCTGCTGAGACTGGAAGTAGACGGCCTCGTTCTCGCCGCATTCCATGCACTGTTTCTGGATGCGCGGCAACTAGACGCGAGTACAGTTAGCAAGCTGGCTCAAAAGCAGGCAAGCCAAAGTACAAAGCGCAGATGGCTCATGACGAATCATCGTCGTCCATGTCTTCGTCATCTTCGTAATCTTCATAGTCTTCATACTCTGTTTCTTGAGGACCTGCCGCGGGCTGCTCGTCCTCGGCTTCCAGCACAAAGCCTGGGGCCCAGTCTTCGCCGCACTCGACGCAGACAATGTCCATGCCGCACATGGTGCAGCACGGCAGCTCCTCGGAAACAGAGGCTTGCGAAATGGAGTTGGAGAGACCAACCGTAGGATCCTGTGCCACCTCGGCCGTCACACCCGCCGTAGCTCCGACCGTCGAGGAGATGTCGTGGCGCATGACGCAGGATGAGGGCGCCTCTTCGGTGAAGGAGCATGTGCGACACGCGAACAGGAGCTTGTTCTCAGACTTGTCTTCGCGGGGGAACAAAAGGTTGGAGCTGTTTGCGTCAGCAACTGTGCGGGCATCGCGTCCAGGCGGCTCACCATTCTGAGCAGAATCGGAAGAGGATGGGCTCTTTCTTGGTGGGCCCTCCCATCTCTGCTGCTGGTGAAGACATGATGATGTGGTGGCGCGCAGTTTCCACGTGCAGGAGGCGAAGGTGGTCTGGGATCGGAAAAGCGCGTCTGGTGTGCGAAAGAACAAGGTAGTCGTTGTGGTTCAGCAGTCTAAGAAAGAAGGCTGATAGAACACACGGGCCCTGTCGCGCCGCAATAGTCGCCTTGCCAAGGGTGCTTTGTTGCAGGCAGGAACGGAACGCCCCCGCATGCGCCGATCACCTTGCCAACCTTGCCCGCAGCTGCGATTTCTAACCTCGCAACAGCCCCCATCTGCGCCTACAGCTCTCCATCAACTCTTGCACCGACTGTCTCCATCTCAATCTTTCTGACCATACCCATTGCGCCTCAAAACTTCCACGCGATCAACAATGGTAAGCTCTTTAGCCGTGCATGCGCCGCCATCCAGGTCGCAACTCACAATACATAGTCTTCAGAGGAGACAGGTCTGCCCCAGGGCTGGGAGGTTCGCCGCTCCAACACCAAGAACTTGCCATACTACTTCCATCCCGAAACCAAAGACTCGCGATGGGAGCCTCCGGCGGGTACCGATCCCGAGAAGCTCAAGGAGTTCATGGCAGCGAACCACAGTTCAAAGGGCGTTGCGCCGGCAAACTTTACGCAGACGGGAGATAAGATTCGCGCTGCTCATCTGCTCGTGAAGCATCGCGATAGCAGGCGCCCAGCTAGCTGGCGGGAACCCAAAATCACCCGGTCCAAGTCAGAAGCAGAGGAACTGATCAAGAAATACCAGTCTCAAATCCTGGCATTTGAGGCACCCGCCGAACATAATGACCCCAACCCCAAGTCGCTATCAGAGCTCGCGACAACAGAGTCGGACTGTAGCAGCGCACGTAAAGGGGGCGATCTGTAAGTGCCAAAGTGCCGTGCAGGAACTGGTCACTTCTAACGTTTGTAGTGGATTCTTTGGCCACGGAGACATGCAAAAGGAATTTGAGAACGCAGCTTTTGATCTGAAACCTGGAGGTGTCAGCGAGATAGTCGATACAGCATCGGGACTGCATTTGATTCAGAGGTAGACAAGACGTGCTCACTAAGATAGCAACCTACTGACAGCGTGCGCAACAGGTTAGAATGATCTGGGAAAACACTTGCGGTTGCTGCCCAACCATGACAACGGCCGTCGGTTAAAAGGCGCGATTTACGATAAGACGTGTAAAGTAGCGCGATATGGGCTGGATGTATTCGATGTGGCTTAGGCTGCAGTATCAAAAATTGCTCATCGCATGTTCAACAAGAGTAGGATGCACCTGCTGGCCCTCATGGAAATTGCAATACAATCGAACCACGTATCTGGTCTTTATTTGTTATTTGTCAAGCCGTGCACTGCTTTCTCCGCGAGTCTTGATTGTTAAAGTTTGACGGGCCGATGGGTACCTACATGGCAAGGTGAGGAGCTGACAGCAAGCAGGCCACGCCTCGTGAGGATGCATGCGGTGCTAGCGTATCTATTTACCATACCGCGTACCGTACCACACCCATGGTCTCAAAGAGAACTAGTCTGTAGACGCTGCCCATGTTGGACTTTACGTGGAGAAGAAAAAGCCTCATACTGGTGTGAGCAGCGCGAGAGAAAAGGCGCACATTCTTTCCGCCGCACCTACACGTTGCCTTGTCCCACGTGTTGCCAGAGCTGCGAGCTGCGTCCACGGGTGGCAGATTGCGTCGCACAAGGCCCCAGCATCGTTTCAAAATTTCGACGCCCAGCCACCGTGCGCCACACTACCGAGGTAAGCCAGTCCCTGCTGCGCCCGTCTAGCAGTCCAACAAAAGAGTGCGCAGAGCATGTAACAAATCGCTCACTTCTGCCTTCTGCCTCCCAGACCCCAGCGTTGCACCATACACCCGCCGCCCCTCGTTTCGTTCAACGCTACCGCCGTTGGGCCGCTTTCCCAGCACTTTTGAGCGTTGGTGCTTGACCAAAGCCAGCCCCGGATCTTCCCGACTGGCTTCCCTCAACGCTCTGACGTAGCTGGTATGTCTCTTTTTAATTGTCTTGTCACCAAAACCTGCATGTTCTGGCCCCGAGAGACTCGTTAATCGTAAGCCTGTCCTGCCCGTTCGGGACCAACATGCAGTCCCCTCAGGCCTGCCGTCCAGCCGGTCATGCAGCTTGCTGCAGTCAACTGGGCATCATATCCGACTGCTTGGGCTGATGACCCCAGTTTCTATTCATTGTCCGCGCGACGGCCGCGCTCTGAGAAGCTGCGCCCGGCCTTGAGGGAAAGCCCCCAATGATGACCGTTCTGACCAACGGCACAGACTCCTTCCTTCTTACGGCGCATTGGCAACTGCTGCCCGCTGCGGCCACACCTTCCCTCGTTCCATTGGTAAGGAGCTATCGGCCCTACGTCAACATGGCATTTTCGCTGAATTACCATCAAGTTGCACCCGTGCATGGCGTATAGCCCCTGCCTTGCCCACACCCCTCGGACCCCAGCCCTGTTTACACGCCAAGACCTTCGATCACAGCTATATCCACGATCCATTCACCCTCCTGCCTGTGCCGTTGCCAACACCCCTTCACCACATATCTAGAAATTTCCGACCTTCTCTTGACGCTACAAATAGCACCCCACTCTCCTTTGAAACACCAACCTCATCTCATCTAGCACTCATCGACCTCTCACCTTAGCACTCCTCGAAGCCTCACTGATCAGCTACGCACCTCGTCCAGAATCACCATGGCTACGCTTCAGCCCGCCAGCCCTCTCTATCACGATCCTGCTCCTGCTCCTGCTTTGACCCGGTCTCGACGTAGCTCCAGTCGCATGAGCCTTGCTTCCATGTCCAGGTCCAACTCTCACCTGGAGTCACCCCGCGCTCACTGCCCCAAGGACGGAGATGCATTCAGCTATGATCCCGCCCACCTCCAGCTTTGGTATCTTCCCCAGGAAATTTGGGACCGTCTCCCCGCCAGCATGCAGTCAAGCCTGGCCGCCGTTCAGCACTCTGGTGCGGCTGTTCTGACTGGTGAGTGCTAATTTCCCTCACACCACCTGCACCAGCTCCCCACTGGACACCCATCACGCAATGCGCTTGCAAATCACAGAGACACATGCGGTGACATAGCTGACATCGCTCAGGGTTTGCTCGCCTTGACAAATATACCCAGGACCAGGATGAGCTGGTTCAGATGGACGAACTTCCACCACCAAAGTTTAGGACCATCAGCAATGCTAGTAGCGTCTTCGCTTCCGATTCTTCGTCTGCAACAACCGCCTCGTCAGCCTCACAGTCAGGTGGTGCCTCTCCAGTCACAAACTCCCTCTTGCGCCCACAGACTCGGCCAACCTTCTCACCAGTCTCCCTTGGATCCCCAGCAGACTCGTTCGACAAGCGGAGCCGCTCCCGTGACCGATCCTTCTCCACCCCACTCGAGCCTCATGATGCCTACTATGCGACAGAGCTCTCGTATCTGCGCACTGAGGCCCTCCCACGTCTCCGTCACTTGGGTCGCAAGGTAGACTTTGAGTGGGTGGACGCCAAGCGTAGCGCAGCTCTTTCTCCCGACGACATCAATGCCTTTGAGAACTGGTGGGCCGAGAAGACCTGCACCATCAACAGCGTCTACGAGAAGGGCAAGCGTCTTGCGGATGCTCTTGGTCTTGTGCCTACCGGCATGGGATGGTGTGCTCCGTAGCTGCTATTGAGGTGGATTACTCACGTAGTCCTGCAATTGGTTGCTGAGTACTCTAATCATTCGACACCTCGACTAAGATAGTCGGGCAGTCGCAGAGATTTTTCCATCTCATACCCTTTCCATTACATGTTCATTCAATGGTCTTTGTCATTCAGCGTGGAGTCTGGGCATCTATTGGGAGAAGGCATATACACAAGAGATTGGACCTCGTCGAAGATTTACAGCTGGAGAGGGCATAGCGTCTATGGAAGTGCTTCATACACGCGTGTCCCTTTCATTCTTCGATGCTCGGAGACACCGGGCACCACTCTCATACCTAGGGGGATTCCCTTATGCAGCATTCAGTTGCCAGCTAGCAAATGATCACAGTAACGACACAACATATTTCTCTTCTCAAGATGCAGATACACCGTGATTGGCGATTGTAGTTCATGTGGGGAGTGCTTTTTATTGTGATGTCAGTATTACACAGCTGCTTTTGTCTCATGTAAGCCTCATTTTGGCAGCGTCGCCTTTCCAGCTTTGCTTGAGTGACGTGACGTTAGCCCCTCGACCCTGGTACAATTGCATGGCCGGAGCGATGCTCCGTCGCGCATGCTGCACACCGCCACATCATCACACTAGGCTGAGATCAGCACCGTCACCCCTTGCGCTTAACACCGCGGAACTTGGAAAACCAACATTGCGGCGCGAGGCTGAAACCAACAGAAGTACCACAGATTACGAGCATATAACCCAAAAGTGACGTCGATGTTAGACAAGAATGTTTCGGAATCTTCTACAATTGGCTGACTAACATATCACGATGACAGCCAGCGCCGTACTTACGACTCAGCACCCTCTTCGGGGAGTACGACGTTGACATTCGGTGTAATTCCATCACTCGTAGTCTTCGTCGTGATCGGAATCGATGCGTGGTTGTTTCTGATCCCGAGAGCTCCGCCCGGCCTTGTCTCGGGGCAATGCGATTCGCGTGGCAGCCAGACCCGGACCATCTCTCTCATCGCGATCACCTGTGAAATGCTCAGCCAAGGTCTGACATGCAGAAAGTTTGTACAGTATTATCAGATGGAGAATAAAAGAAAGTTTATTTACCAGCATCGTCTTCGTCGTCGTGAAAGCTTCCTGCTCGACCGGTAGGCCGCGGAGCTGGGGAGTCGTACTCGTCGCTGCCAAAGTCTCGACGTGTTTGTTGTTGCTGGGAGTGGAGTAATTTACGTTGCCTGCCTCCTGCTCCCCTTCTGACGGCGGAGAAGGGCATGGGTTTGGGAGTCATGCCATTTTCTCGCCGGCTAGTTGGGTCTACGAAGCGTGGCTGCGGTCCTCGTCCTCGGGCTTCTCTGCCCAGGTATGGATTGCCCAGACCAACGCCTTCCATATCGGCGATGGAGATTTCGTCTTCGTACGACATGCCCATGGGCATTTGACCGGGTCGGATTCCCATTTGTTGCCGCGGATCCATCATTCCTGCTTGCATCTTGCTTAGGCCTGGTATGCCTGCTTGCATGGCGTATGGATGACCTCCACCCACGGTCATGTTGGGCGGCATGGGCATTAATGGGCCCAATCCCATACTGGCCAGCTTCTGTGCCATTATAGGGTCGCTCATCATGGCATTCGAATCCATGCCCATTCCCATCGGCCCGCCCAGTCCAGCAAACGGTGGCCTCGGACTACTCACACTGCCCGCTTTGCTCGACTTCGCTTTTCTCCACGCACCGAGTCGCTCATCAAGTGCTTCCAGCATGTCATCCTTGAGGTTCTGGAGCTCTTCTTTCCGCCTCTTTTCCTCTTTCTTCTTCTCCTTCTTGCCCATCTTCTCTTCCTTTTCACTGTCGTTCCTCTTGCACCCAGAATGATCTCCACAGTCTTTCCCTAGATCTTTCTTGAGAATATATCGTATCTCACCACTTCCATACCGTCCTTCACCATCGGAATCTCCTCCGTTGTCGCGCGAGCGGTAAAGCACGCGATGACCTTCGCGACACGTGCAGCCCGTAGTGCAGATACACGCGTCGAGAAAATCGTCGCCTTTGATCCACTCTTTCCCGGAATCGCCGGTCGTCTTGCGATGTATGCGCTCTGCCGTCGTCGGCGAAGTATGCGACCTCGAGATCCTAGGCGATTGGGCGGCGTATGCTCCCATGGGTATGTGTTTGTGTGCGCCTGGCGGGCGGCGAGGTGGACGTGCGGTTGCACTAGACCTGCTACTTACAGATGGAGGTCCGAAAGCGTATGGATTCTGGCCTGGGGGAGGGGCGCTGTAGCGAGGTGGTAAGTCGGACATGCCGTTCATTCCTTGAGGTGGGCCGCCCATCATGCCGCCTGGTCGTTGCATCTCGCCCATATCTGGAGGTGGCATACCGCCAGGACGCCCTCTCATACCTCCTGGTCCTCTCGCACTCATAGGACCACCGCCCATACCTCCTGATCCTCCCATACCCAAAGGACCTCCACCCATGCCACCCATGCTACCATCCATGCCTCCTCGAGGCCCTCCCATACCCATCGGTCCTCCCATGCCAGGAGGTCCCATTCCATCTCCCATGCCCATCGGCGGCCCACCTATCCTCGGGACTCCCCACCCCTGCATCCCCATAGCCGGATACCCCATCCCCGTAGGCGCACTCCTCGGCCTATCCCCCTCGTAAACCTCCATACCCCTCCCCATCGCCATCCCTCTCCCACCCAAACCCCCCCTCATACCAAACCCTCTCCCTCTCATACCCACACCCCCACTCATCCCCCTCATCGGCATCTCCATCTCCAGTTCACTCTCGCTCTCGCTCTCACACCCGTCCTCCTCTCGGTAATCAACCCTGACTCTACGCGGCCGTCGTCTCGATGCAGGCGGATAGACAGCAAACGGCGAGCCGGCGGGGACTTGTATGCGGCCGTAGGGAGCGTAGATGGTGGGGACGTCGACGCAGGGAGGGGGCGTCGAGTGCGATGCGCCCATGAGTACGTACTCGTAAAGGAAAGATCGTGGTACAGGATGAGTTGTGATTGCCCTTTTTTTTTTTTTTTTTTTTCTTCGTGCTCGTGTGATGTGCAAGTATTTTTTGTAGAGAATGGCGCTCGGGAATTGGATGGACCCCGTTTACGGAGGGGAGACGAGCTGTTTGTGACGGGTGCGTCGGGGTTGAGTTGACAGTAGAGCATTTGTTTGCTGCATGTGTTGCACGAGCCAAACAAGCTCGTTCTGACCATGGGTGTGTTGGGGTCATGGGTGCAATCATGGAGATGCTGTGTGACAGAGACTGGCTTGCGTGCGGACATCCGCTGTTTTGAAGTGCATGATGTTGAGGCCATCTACATAGTCCAAGTCACTGGTGCAGTTGGATCTGAAAATCTTTTAAAGTCATGTATATTCCACTGTTCTGTTCTGTTCTGTTCGCATCAATCATTACACAGAGACAGTCAAAAGAGTTCAAGTCAGGTCATTAAGTAACCCGTCCAACCCCTGCGAACGCCCAATCCAAAGAACAGCCCGCCCAAAAAACCAAGACACAAAGCAATAACAAGAAATGAAGTTTTTTCGGTGCGACAGCTTCGCTCTCAGCCTGTTCCAACATACGCGACTCGAAAAGGGCTGGTTCGATGTTTGTACAAGCGCTCAGCGCCCATGCTCTGTATCTCTCCGCCGTCGCTCCCACCACAATCGCAAACGGAGCCGAGGCGATAATGAAGACAATTGACGAATCTGCAACACAAAGAAAGGGCGCAAGTAAGTGAGTGTTTTAAGAAAACAATTTGTGTTCTCGTTAAAAGGGGTATCGATGATGAAGTGTGATAATGCAAGAGAGAAAGGGTTTAGAAAATCATCGATCGAACCTGCTCCCGGCGTCCTGACGATCCTGTCTTGTTTGCTTCACGTGGCCGTGGTGGCGGCGCGTGCGACATGCGATGGTCTTTCGCTGGTGGAGTGGGTGCGTTCGATTGCGTCCGCGAGTGTCCCTTCACAGGACTTGAGGGGACGGACTTGCTCTGTGGTGCGGCGAAGACATCATGCGACTGGGTCCGTTGATGAGTTGGTCGATTGGCGTTGCTGTTCTCTTGGAGGGGGCGTGCTTGTTGTGCTGGAACACCAGCCTGTGATCGTGCAGCCTTTTCTTTGCGCTCCTTCTCGAGAATCATGGAGATCCAGCCCTTCTTCGCTGTAATGTCGCGGCCAACGGTCTCGGCCAAGACCTTCATCCACCCTTCTTTCTGTTCGCGGGTGTCGGCATAGAAGTCAATGACCTCGCCGTTTGCAAAGCGGATGCGGAAACCTTCCTCGACGAACATGTAGCCCTCTTCATCCTCAGCAAAACCAGACTTGCGCCGTCCACCAGTCTTGGTAGACGATGGCTGTTGCAACGCGCCTTTGTCATCAAATAGCTTGGTTGCCTTGGCCAGGTTGATTGTTGCTCGTGGCTGTCGTGTTGCCTCGTGGTAGGCAGTCAGCTTTGTACCTTGGAGGCGGAAGAAGCGGCGACGCCAGTACTGTCAATTTGTTAGTTGCTAATCGCAGTCTATGTTTCGAACTTTCCACTCACAGGACAATCGCCACCTTGCTGGCTTAGACATCCCTCCCAATTGATATCCTTAACCTCTTCGGCTTCCTTCAGCTCGCGAATGCAAGCATTCATGCTCTTGGGCATATCTTCGTCCTTGGCACCCTTTGGCTTCGGGACATACAGAAGCTGCACGGTAAGCTTGCCAACGCGGTAAGGTGGGCGCCTAACGACCGTTCCGCGCTTGCTCTTGACGCTGCTTGCACCAGTGGTGTCAACGGCCCACTCGTTAAAGCAGGGGATATCCACAGTCAATGGGCGGCCATAAGCTTGGTTTTCATGGTTGTTCAGGCATACATAGGCACGTGCGAAAGAACCATCGGGTCCGACTAGGTCGTGCAGAAGATCCCACGCAGTAGCCTGGTGGTTGCGCTTTGCGGCGGCCTGGGCTTCTTGCTGCTCCTGGAGTGCGATGCGATCGGCCTCTTCTTGTGCCTTGCGCTCCTGCTCCTTGCGCTTCTTGGGCGAAGAAAGGAGGTTTCGGAAGGCGGAGTGCGACTTTTTGTGGTTGACTGTCCGGGCTGGCGCAGCCACAAGTTGTGGGACTGCAGGAGGCTCCAACTTGGTTTGAAGGGTGAGCTGGAACTCGAGGTCGTCCAAAACGACGAGTTCGAATTCCTGGCCGATGGGCGCGGACTGACCAAGCTCCAACCAAGAAGTGGTCACACAATGCAGTCCGTTGTCGAGTGTCAACTGGAAATGAGTACGCTCGGTCTTTGGCAGTGGAAGGTCGAGGTCCTTGACACCAACGACCTTGACGAAGACTCGCCCTCGCTCCTCGCCGTCCTCAAAATCATCGTCATCACCCTGCTCAGCAACAGAGTCCAGACCGCCTTGTACAGCGGACTCCTGGCCCGGAAGAGGAGGCACAGGGCCGGTAGCAGTTGGAACACGGCGGCCAGATGTTGTGCGAATGCTCTTGCGACGTGGCTTACCATTCCATGGCTCTTTAGTCCACGCTGGTTTACGCTCGGCGCTCGTCTTACGTGGGCCGGTAGCGGCAGTTCCACTCTCTGATGGCTTCTCGTCACTGAATTGACGGCTGCTTGCCACAACTACCTTTGTGTTCTCGCGCATGAGGTATCCTTTCTGTTGACGGAAGTTGTTAGCGGGACCATCTCTATACACAAAGTCTACACCGGACATTTGTGGTGCTGCATCTTGACGAGCAGCACTATCGGCAGGGAACTGGGCGAAAAGGGGTATAGGAAAAAGGGTATGTACCTTCTGTGCCTCGATGATATGGTTGAACTCCTTGTCCAAGCCGAAGCTGAGATCGTGCGAGTCATCACCGATGTCGATATCAAGCATGCGGTTCTCCTTGTTCGAGATACTCATTTGCGTATCTTCATCATCCACATGACCAACCTCAAAGGTCAAGGACTGGCGTTTAGGGCTCCTGACTGGGACAGGGGGCGCGTGTTCACCACTGACCTGTCGACGCGCGACGGCTAGATCAACCTCATCTGGGATCAATGATGGACGGGTCTTCAACTTCCCACCTCGGATAGTAGCCTCCCGCTGAGGCACTTCTGGCTCTTCTTCATGCGCAGGTGGTGAGATGACGACAGGGTGTCGGATCACGGAATCAGGTGTCCCTGGTTCAGACTGAGCGTCGACTTCCTCGTTGGTCTCCGGTGTGGCAGGTCGGCGCAAGAACTCGCGCATTGCATCCATCTTGGGCGCAGTATCAAGCGGGCTGGGTGCTGTTGCAAAAGACGCCTTCAGAGGATCGAGACTCAGATCCATCTTGTCGCCATCGAAAGACGAGTACATCTCCTCTTGTCGGGCTTGCTTCTCTGCCGCAGCTGGAGATACAGCGGTTGGCGTAGGAGGTCCAGAGCTGTCAATGGTGCTATGCGTGGTTGGCTGCTCCTCAGGATCGGGAGAGTACTGGCTAACTTCATCTTCTTCTTGAGGCTGGTGCTGAACAGGGTGACGCACTACAGAGCTCTCACGCTCGTAGTCCTCAAGTAGTGACATCTCGGTCCCATCGACCTCAGTCATGTCTGCAAAAGAGTATGCATCGATGACGCTGTCAGCCTCGCTCTCGGGAACGTTGTCGTTCTGATGCGCAAGCTCATCAAAGTTGGATGAGCACTCGCGTGAAGGGATCGGGACATCAGGGTCCAAGTCGGCGAGATCGCCGTAGCTGCGCTCGGGGCTGGACTCAGCGTCGTAGTGGAAGCTATCCTCTTCCTCTTCGAAGTTGCGGCTCTTGACCCGGCGGAGGATAGATTCGCGGGAGATGCGCGGCACAACGCTAGGCTGGCCTACTGCAATCTCGGTTTCAGTCTCGGTGAACCCATCGAGTTCCTCAACCTGCACTTGCACACCATCCTCGACCTTCTTGTCGTGGCTCTCTTGCGTTGGCGTGCTGACATCGCGATCGCCGTCGAAGTTCATCAACCGAAGCCTGTCCTCCAGTGACATGGAACCCTCGCGCATGTTCAAGAGGTCGGATTTGGAGATTCCAGCAGCTTGCGGGAGCTGAGGAAGTGACCGGCGCGAGTCACTGGCGCGCTCTGCAGCGGCGGATAAGCCGATGCTAGAGTCTCGTCGTCGGCTCCCTTCTTGCGCCAACATACCGGGAAGAGGCGGAAGTGGCCTGGTGTCGCCATCCGAGTTGGTAGAGCCATGGCGGAAGCTGTTCATCGCACCGTTAGGATGAGCGTTTGGCATAGGGCTGTTGTCGCGATCGAATACATCATCGTAGAGGTCGGTCAGCGATGTGTTTGCGGCATCGGGGCTCATGTGGCGCCAATCCTCTGGCAATACAACAGGTGTCTTCTCGGTATCCTCCAGGGAAGCATCAAAGCTGTCATCCTGGTCGAAGCTCACGTCTTCTTCTTCTTCCTCTTCGGACTCGTAGCTGCCTTCGCGCGACACGGAGGTTACCGAAGGATCGGGAGTGACCATCTCGAATTCTGTGATTCTGGGTGGAGCGGTATCGAAGGTCACACTCTTAGCATGGCGGCGCAGCGGGCGCGAGGTCTGTTGCTTGTACTCATCGTCGTCGGACATCATGCTGGAGTCTTGGTTGTACTTGGGCGAGTTGAAGCGCCCGTTGGTGACGAGAGACGACTTGGTAGGCGACATGCGGCCTTCATGCGGTGAGTTGTTCTCCTTGGACGGCGATCCGAACGATGATTGTGTGGGCAGCTTGGCCGGAGAAGTCTTGGAGGGGCTGAGAATGGGTATCCGGGTCTCACTCTCGGTGCGGCGGTGACCTTTGGTTGGGCTGACCGAGGACTCGCGGGACTCGCGCAGTCCGTTGAGGCCGTTACCGCCATATGCATTGCCTTGGACGGAGGCGTTGAGGGGTCGCCCAGCGGCCAGTGGACGGTCTAGTGGATGCACTGCAGTAGGGTCGTACGTATTCATCTGTTCGCGTTCGAACATGCTGCTGTTCTTGACACGCGACTGCTTCTTTAGGTTCTCAATGGAGTTGCGCTTGGGCGACAGCTGTGCCGGGGACGTCTCGCGCTCGAACTCGTTCTCAGAGTCGAAACGGTTCTTGGGTGACACGGTCTGCTCTTTCCAAAACAAACGCGGGCTGTTGTTGAACGGCGAGCTCTCCTTGGTCAAGAATACTCTCTGGGCCACGTTAGCGAGCCGTGTGCGGGAGGAATGTGGAGGAATGTGCCGGGAAGCCTACTTTTGTTGTCTGGTTGAAGCTGGGAGAGTTCCTCCTGTGCTCAGCAGAACCAATCTCTGAGAGAGGACGGCCGCTGCCCTTTGTGGGAGAGGCAGTCGGCGTCTTGTTTATGCGCAGCGGCGACACCTGAAGGCGTCAACGTGAGTGTGGACTCGGTGACCGAGGTGGTGGATGCTTACCGCTTCATTGCGCGACATGTTGGCGGGCTGGTTGCTGTGTATGCAGATGCAGATGCAGTGCGGCTACTTGCGTGGTCGGGGAATGTTTGCGAAGAATGGGCGCACCCGAGAGAAGAGATGCCAGGTAGGCTGTATGTATAACGGATGGGTGCAATTAATTATGCAAATGCGAAGTGAAGGTCAACCACAAGGCGCAAGCGCTGTTGTGCGATAGAGAAGCGGAGGAGGAGGATGTGCAGCGCGCGAGGTCAATATCAAGCAGCGCGGGCGATATCAGACAGTGTTGACGACCGGGATGCGGGCAGGCTGGTGGTTGCTGTAGAGACGGCCCGCATCGGGCCCTAGCGCAACGTCCTGCGGCTCCTAGTGCGCCGCCGGGATTTTCGAGATCGTCGGTGCGTGCACATGCGCAGGATTAATGGAGAACTAAAAATGGCTAATTGAACATTTTGCTGACATCTTCTCCGCCGCCACCTCTTCACCATGTTGCGACAAGTGACGCGTGCGTGTCCGTTCTGCGAGGTGCGCTCGCTGTTGGGGCAGGCGCCTCGCAGTCTGCAGCCACAGACACGCCTATATACCCAGGTCCAGCGAGAAGCACAGCGCGAGCGAGGCTCGAGAGACAGCAACACACCTTCGCGGCCCCGTGACAGGAGGACACCTGAGACTGATGCGTTCCCACCGTCGTCCGACAGAGGCTCCAGAGGGGGCGATGCATTTTCACGACCCCAGGAACGCGGCTCTAGAGATGGCAATTCATTCTCACGGCCACGGGATAGTGCGTCTCGAGATGGCAATTCTTTCTCACGGCCACGGGACGGTGCGTCTCGAGACGGCGGTTCATATTCCCGTACTGGCCCTCCACGATCCCCACGAGGGCGCGACGACCGCCGACCGTCCCGTATGATACTCTCCGATGCAGTCTCCCGCCCACCGCAATCAGATCAGAGGCCTGCGAGGAGGCCGCAGGAGCCATTCGGACACCTCAATCGCACAAGAGCACCGCCTTCGCTAGAGAGAGAAAGGGAGCGGAGGGAAAGCCACTTCGAGCGGCCCAAGAGAAACGACGACGGGAAGAGGAGGACCAGAGCGGAGCCATACCATGCCCTCAAGATGCAGCGCTCACTGCACGAAGTGCCATATGGCAACCGCACCACCATCAAACGCAAAATGGAGCTATACGACTCATTCGACAAGATGCCGCTGTTAGACACCGTGCAAGCGGCAATCAAGGACGCGCTACCCGCCCTGGAGTACCGCAGCCCCACACCAGCCCAGTCTGTCGCCGTTCCTGCGCTGCTGGGACTCGAGGCAAAGAAGCGCACCAAGGCCACATCCACGAAGAAGGGCGGGCCCGAGGCCTTCCTCCTCGCAGCCGAGACGGGATCTGGAAAAACGCTCGCATATCTCCTCCCGACCCTAGACGCGATCAAAAAGGCCGAGCAGCAAGAGAAGGAAGACGCAGAGGCACAAGCACAGAAGGATGCTGATGAGGCGGCGGCGAAGGCTCAAGACAAAAGGACTGATATATTTGCGGCAGAGGAGCCCGAAGTCAACAAGGCTGTGGACCCTGCGCGACCACGCGCCATCATCCTTGTACCATCTGCTGAGCTTGTCGCCCAAGTTGGGGCTGTCGCCAAATCCCTGTCGCATACTGTCAAGTTCCGCGCCGCGCCCATATCAGCAAAGATGTCGGCGACTGTCATTCGCAACCAGCTGTTTAATGAGAAGGGTGTCGATGTGGTGATTAGCACACCCCCGCTCCTCGCCAGCATCGCGGAGAGCAATCCCAACATCCTCGCACGCGTGACCCATTTGATATGTGACGAGGCCGACTCTCTGTTCGACCGCTCCTTCAAGCCCAGCACTACTGAGATTCTCGAACGCGCGACTCCCTCGCTCAAGCAGCTCATCCTATGCTCTGCCACTATCCCAAAATACTTGGACAAATACCTCGCCGACAGGTTCCCAGACATGAACCGACTTGTTACTCCCAACCTCCACGCAATTCCACGACGTGTCCAACTGGGGGTGGTAGACGTAAACAAGGATCCCTACCATGGTAACAAGAACCTAGCCTGTGCCGACACAATCTGGCAGATTGGCAGATCCACTGGCGAATACGACCCTGCTGAAGGCAAAGAAGCCGTGCCCACGAAGCGTATCCTAGTATTCGTCAATGAGCGCGAAGACACGGAGAAGGTAGCGCAGTACTTAATGAGCAAGGGCATCGACGCCCTGGCCTTCCACCGCGACACCGACCCGTCGCGCCAGGCGAAGACACTGGCGTCCTTCACTGGCAGCGACACTTCCACCGCTATCAAGTCCTCTCCCGATGCACCTCCAAAACCTGAACTGGCCAGTAAGCGCACTCTAGCCAACACCAAAGTCATCGTCACTACCGACCTGGGCTCAAGAGGTATCGATACTGTTTCAGTCCGACACGTCATTCTCTACGACGTCCCGCACACGACCATCGACTTCATCCATCGTCTCGGTCGAACAGGACGTATGGGTCGACGAGGACGTGGAATCGTGCTGCTCGGCCCAGGAGACCGAGCCGATGTTGTAAAGGAAGTCAGAGAAGCCATGTACAGAGGCGAAGCTCTGATCTAAACTGAATGTGAATATGTACGATATGATACGACTGCTTGCCTGGCATGGAACCGGCGATATGACCACAGTTACATAAACAAACAATGTATAATATCCACACTCAAGTTCCTGTCAACCCACCTCGTCTGTTCCACTCACAACCAACACGTTCTTTTCTGGAAAAACTTGACGTGTACAAAAGATTTCCATAACTCTATCCCCATCACATCCCATTCCCCTTTCCTTCACACATCACAATGCCAATCCCACGCCTACCTCATCACCCGCGAATGCATGCCCGAATCCCACTCGATACAAACATGCTACTCCATCCGCATCGAGCCGCACCCGGTCTTCAAGTGTCTGGATAACGCCAAGCAGTATCTGCAGTCGCTGCGGAACGACATCGTGGCTGCGGAGCCGACGTGGGACGTGGAGGCTTCGCATGAGAGTTATGTGGGTGGGGAGAGATTGACGGGGTTTACGGTCAAGGGGGAGGATGAAAACGTCAGGCAGGTTGCGTGGATTGGGCGGGTAATACTTGGAGATGACTGCCCCTGAGTAAGCGTAAAGAAACCATCCAGCAACAAAACCCCTAGTGGTAGAATAATCAGGTAGACCGGTCATCTGACTGCTTGTTTCCAGATTCAATCCACCAGGATATCGTCGAACGGGAACCGCACGGAGACCAGATAGAAGAATGATAAAAACCGACTTCCACGACATGATGAACCCAGCAAAAATCAATAATCACACCGCATCCAAAAACTCTTTATCCCTCACCATACCCTCATACATTAGTTCCGTGCCACTAAATCCCTCGCGGCGATACATGCTCCTGAACCTCCCCACTCTTCCATCTTTGCCCGCACCAAAATCCAACTCATCTGGCTCGTGAATCTCAATCTTTCGGTCTACAAGAATACTTGCATCTTCAGCATGCACGAGCAATCCGGGGATGGCCATGGTGTGCTTCATGCGCTGCTGCACAGTCGCAGTGTCCGGTGAATGGAAGATGAAGTACACCATCGAGAGTTCTGGGTGGTGGTAGAACGTAAAAGATGGGGAAGTGGTGGGGAGGAGAGAGGATATGGAGTGCGGTTGGATGTCGGGTTGGGATAGGGTGAGGATGAGGGTGTCGGTGGTGATGTTGACGGACTTGGTATATCAGTGACGAGTTTGGAAGTGTCAGACGAGGTATCATACTCACGATTTGGACGACAGCACCAGCACTTTTGAGCGGCGATAGAGCGTCTAGTGCTTCAGGTGTGATTTTATTCTTCATTCGGCGATCGCAGAGGCGGCATTTATTGCGCCTGTAGCTCATGCCTCTGAGCGAACAGCTTTCGCAATCAACATCATCGCATGCATCCACATCTCCCGCATGTTTAGACGTCTTTTCAGGCGACGAGTCGTGTTCGTCTCTCTCAGTCCAAGATCTCGCATCGGTGACTTCACCGACCTCTTTGCAAATTAAGGACTGCGAAAAGTGATCTTGCCCAAGTGTCTTGACGATATCATGTCGATGCTCGAGAAGGATTGCGCGTTCGCTTTCTTTCGCAAGATAAGGAACGAAGGTGATAGCAACCAGCTTTTCGTTTCGTCGCAAGAGCAAGTATAGTGGTGTTCGAGGATCTATGATAGCATCCAACTCATTCAAAACAGCCTGGAGGGACATCCCGGTGCATTTTGAGCGTATGATTGCAGAAGGCTGCAGTGTCCCATCCGTCAGGGTGAGTGCTAGGGCTAATGCGGAGCCATCGGCGACAAAAGCGGAAAACGCTTCCTGTACAGCTGCAGATATTACTGCTTCAAATCAGGAAAGATCGTAGATCTGGGCTTGAGGAACGTACTGTAAGATGACTCCTGCATTTGATCTCGCTTGAATAAGTGGTGTCTCGATGTGTTGAATTCGATGGCCTCGTACCTAGGCAGTCATAACAACTCGAGCCGCACGAGTCTATGGTGAGGTGCTTGTGGTATCTATTAGGCTATTCGCTTACTCTATCATGCAAAATTTTGTTCGCGGCTTCATTGAGCTTCATTCGAGGAGTACATATAGTTGAAGCACGTGCGGCGTTGCGGAATTCCGCATCGCTGCGGAGCGGATTGGCAAAACTCAATTTTCCACCCTTTCTTATATTGTTCCAAGGTACATTCAAAGTACCACTTGTATTAACAGAGTGAGAAAGTTCAAGCTATGTACCATTGAGAAAAGCGAGGGGCACCTAGATATGTAGTGTTTTGATAGAACCATGGTACATTGAGTCATACATACGCGCCTAATTCAGTTTATCAACTATGAAAGAAGGTTCATTCTACTGTGCTTACCTGTTTCTGGGTTTCTGGTGTTCCACAATTACGTTGACCGCTTCACAGTGGGACAAACGGTCCCTAGGGCCACTTCGGTCCACTTCTTTTAGGTACCCATGCACTCTACTTCTTTTACCTACGCACTCTGCTTCTACCCACAAACTCTACTTTCCTCCACAGCCGGTTCCTACTCCTTCTATTAGATACCGAATCGAAAATAACATTGAACCATGGAACATGTGCGACCTAGCAGAAGACTTCGGCGCGCCGTCGCTGTCGATCAGCAAAGGTCGAGCAATTCTTACACCTGGGCTTGCCGACAAGCTCAAAAGTGGCCCTAAATTCATCATCCGAACCGTATCCAACATTAATAAGGAAATCCGAGTCGTCGCAGTTTGTGGTATAATCGACGTCGAAGAGATGCTGCTTGTGTCTGATTGGGAGGCCCCTCCAGATGCACCAGAACTATACCAAGAGGCAGGCCAGGCAGATCCTAGTGCAGATGGCTGGTCTTTCAGCGACTTCTACGCGTTCAGACACCTGCTGAAAGACATTGGAGCGGCTGCGCAATTCTGGATTGTGTCAGAGCCACCACGAGAACTAGTCCAGCGATATACCGCGTATCTGCATGCAAACCCTTACTACGACCGCAAAGTAGTGCTTAACGCCGACCTCTTCGATCAATGGCACTTAAAACTCAATGCTTTGAATCCCACCAGGCATATTTTTTGCTTTTGTAATACACTTCCCAGTCTTCATGAGCTAAGGCACGTCTACTTATCACTCATGCGTGAAGTCTTGTTTGGCGGACCACTCTGCATGAAATCATCCGGAGCGGTCCTTTGCATGTCCACTAATATCAAATAGTCTGAACAGTACTATATACTGTTGCGTATTACAGTATCCATGCTTTATAAATGGTATTGGTGGGAAATGCTTGAGTTCGTGGCAATCGCGCCATGAGCCTCATGTACTGACCAATATTTCGCGAAAGGTAAACCATCAACCCAGAGATCATCGCGGAATTTAGACGCGAAAAAAGGTATACCCGTAATGGATTCTATGTACTCAGCATTTGACAGTCCACGGGTGCCTCGAAGGACTTCCGGTCGTTGCTTTCAACTTGGGAGATACTCTGCAATGCCCCGATCAATCATCACATCAGATCATCGTAAAATGGATTACCTCAGCTTTTGCGCAAAGCGGACGTCCGCGGTTGTCGCACAGTTACATGTCGCGCGGCCTCAGAAGGTGCTTAGAACCCCGAAGAAGCGCCACTCTGTGTGACACGAGCCAGCCGCCGTTTTGGTGTACGAGAAGCCGTATGGAGTTCTCGCTCGTGAAATCCTTCCTGAGCTTCCCAAAAGAAGGGAGAGGTCTGGGTACCAGATACTGGGATAGTGACACTCAAGACGCCGAAACGGAACATCTGGACATCATACGAAGGATAATGGTCGCGCTCGATGGCATGACTAAGAAGCGCTACAAAATCTACGCCAACGAATATATGTGAACAGTGTCCCGGCGATTATGCAGGAGCTTCTGAATGAAGTGAAAGAGCTGGCTCTCACGGATGTTGAGATCGCGGAAGAGAGTCGAACCGCACGATCGCGGCTTGCAGACATTGGGTAGGGTACCGCCTCGAGTTGTGAGAATTGCAAGCGCTCATGACGGCCATAGGATACGCCTCTTCCTTGACTGGCGTTTCTTTGGATGTGGGGACAGGCGGTCAAGATCGATCAATATGCAAATCGGCAGGTATAGAGTGGTAATGCTGTCAGTATCAAATTGCTTAGAACTGTGGCAGGGGATTGAACGATTAGAAGCCAACGATAGTTCATGCAATTCCCCAGATTTGACGACTCGTCAGATTTTACCTGATGACGTCTGTGCTGCTGTTGCATCTCCCAGAACAGATCCGCTACCTGTGAGAATTCGATATCCTACAGGCATCCAGAGATTATCATTTCTGAAGTATCTACATGACGCAATGGCAAGGTAACTGTTCAGAATATGCCAATACATGATGAATGATATTCGTCGCCTTCGAGATAAAGTTCTTCAAACATGGCCAAAGGGCTTCCATTAATGGTACGCCTCTATCATCGCGCCCTCACTACTATTGTAGGACTTCCATGCATCATAGAGCATCTAATGGTTCGAAAAGTATGGTTGAAGATATTCTACGTAGATTTTCCCAACGATGGGGGCTGCTATATTAGAAGGAGCGCATTCATGTAGTATTAGTGCCTGTGTAACTACTCAATCAAAATCGAATGCATAGTCTGTTTTCTGGCTACAGGTTCTTCTTGGTACGCGTCGTACTCTGCGAATTCTGCATAGCCATTTCCGTGGATGAGCTAAAGCTAGATGAAGGAAGCATCAACCATGATTAAACCTCTGCCGATGAAAGTTGGACTTGCTGTTCGGTCAGACTGCTGCTTCAGCAGGAACATCCGTGGTTGCATGCATAAATCACACACTATTAGTGGCAGGACTGTTACCGAGACGTCTGAGTTACATAACCATAACATACTTTTCAAGTAACCATGGCCTGTAAATGCCCAGACCATCTCTTCAACATCACTTTTGGGTGTGATATGCATGGTGATGTGATCTTGGTGAAAAATGGCTCGGACAGGGAAACATCGCCTTTCGCAGCACACAACACCCCACATCAGACATCAACATCACAGACGGCACTACAACCAGCCTCAAGTTGCAACACACGATTGATGGAACGTCTACCTCCTTACCTCAAAGCTCACGTCGTTCATGATCTCTCACTGGCCGATAGAAACATCGTGCAAAACCCGATTTTGATCAGCGGTTTTCTCTCACCTCCGTCTGTGTTGATCATATCCAAGTTGCCTTCACTTTCTATACTACTACCCGTAGCGCAATCCCTCGACCTACCTGTATATCAGTCACCTGTTTGACAGCTCATCATCTCCTTATCTCCTACACTCTATTGTTTATCCACAGTTAATTAAAGCGACACCACACACTGCATCTTACTTCGTCTATCCTCGAACGGCTTTTGGTAGGTTCCAATCATCTCCGCGGCAAGAGCTTTTGCGCTCTATCCTATGACCTCGAAGGCTGAACCACTGCATTCCAGAGCGAAGATGGACTCCGCCATCATTCCGTTCGAAGAATTCTCCACCTACCTCAATACGCAGAAGGGCCTCACTCGGTACAACTCAAAAGACGAAAAAAGGCCAGATCACCCATGGTTCAGTCTGCCGAAGGCTGAAATCGACCGGCTTTTGAAGGAGTTTGCGCAACTGATTGGCGACCTGCTCAGAGGATCTCCACACAATGACAAAGAGCTGCAGCATCTCGATCGTACAGCAAATCAGCTTGCCCATGTGGCGCGTAGTCCCGCCGTAAAAGTTGCTCTGCTTGGCGCACAAGGTGCCGGCAAATCACTCATGATCAATGCTTTATTCGACTGCGACGGCTTGTCACTCACGGGTGCCGATGGTGCTGCATGTACCAGTTCCATTACCCGATATGCTGCTTATCCAGAGACTCAGCCCGGCGAATACACTAAGTTCTTTGCAGAGATTAAGTTCCTCAGCGCTGAAAAGAGAGAAGCATTGCTTCAAGAGCATGCCCGTTCCTATTACCATTACCAACATGCAGAGGAAGACTCCGACGATGAAGATGTACCCCGGTCAAAAGTTTCCCGTACAGACGGTGAGCTGGAGCGGAGGCTGAAGGATACCGCAGAAGACGTGTTCACCACACTGTTTGGATCACAAGACTCGTTCGAAGACAATTGGGGCCCAGACTTGTACCGAAGCGGAGAATTCGTCAGACTATGCCAGCTGAAGTGCGAGGAAGCCTTGAGGAATGAAGACGTAAACTCTCAAGGTATTGCATTGAAGATCGCCGATGATCAACATGGGCTGCTGAAACAACTCCGGCCCTTTATCACAAAAGTCGAAGGCGTGGCTTGCTTATGGCCACTTGTGGACAGTATCTGTATTCGATTCAGTCATGATCTTCTTCAGGCTAACGTAGAGATTGTGGACCTTCCTGGTAAGTTATGCCGGTCTCGATTTTGGAACATTAGCTTACCATGGCATAGGTTGGGGAGATGTCAATCTGTCGAGAGTTAGACACGCGGAACAGATCAAAGACACCGTTGATGTCGAGATGATTCTCGCCGATACTATTCGCATGGCTTCGGATGACATGGTCATCAACAGCGCTCGAGCTGCCGTTGCACATCACGGCGCAGGGAACGTAAAGCTAATTGCAACGAAGATTGACGTAAGTCTTTGATATTTCCGGTGTATACTACTTTTAAGATTCTAATCATGTAGTCACTCAACAAGAATCAGCTTGCGCAATACGGCGGTCAGGATTACGACCAAATCCAGCAACTTCTGCAGTATGTTGAAGAGCAGGAAGCAGAACTCGATGAGGACGACGAAGACGGTGCAGATGCAAAGAAGCGTACCCTCCTCAATAAGTATAAAATCTACCTCGAACGCCTTAGGAAGCAAAAGAAGATCGCAGACCGAGGAAGGAAGATCACCAAAGACCTAGCGACCAAACTGCAGGGTCGATCGGCGCAGGACATCCCCCAAGTATACCACGCATCCGCTTCCGAGTACATGGACTGGATTCGCAAGGCCAAGATCAGTTTTCTTACACAGCCTGCTATACCTGTGGTCATGACTGGAATACCTGCCATTCGCGAGTTCCTCATAGCTCTCCCTGCGCAACAAAACATGCAGGACTATGATCGCCATATCAACACCATCATCCCAGCCTTTATCGAGAAAGTCAGACGCACGGTGAGTGAAACGGACCGGGATGGTGGGTTCATTATCATCGCCGACGACTTCGACCGTCTCCGTCAAGGCTTCATGACAAGACTCTTATCTCAAGCTAAGCTTTCCTTTCAGAAAGCATCAGATGGAAGCATGTCTAGGCTGACCAAAGATGTTTCCACGTTCAAAGAACAGGTAGAAGAAGTCGTGACCGAGGAATGGTGCACTCTCAAAGCTGCTGCCTTCAACAGGACCTTGAAAGGTCACGGTAACGTGCCGAAGGGGGCATCACAAGCTAAAGGCTTGGAGAACGGCACAAATTGGAACAGAGACCTTGCGACCTTACTGAAGCCAGGCTTTCACAGATGGTCCAATGCTTATAACGAGTACATGAAGCCAATGACTCCGGCTTTGTGCCATGCACTGGAGCAGTTACATTCAAAAACAACCGTTCTGATTAACAACGCTGCTGCAAACCTTGTAACCGTGGAGAAGTCCAAGAGGAAATGGGCTCCGCTGCGAACGAAGCTGCAGGCGAAACTACTAGGTCTCATGGAGGAGATAGCCAAGATCAAGCAACGCACGCTTGAGTGGGCTACTATGGAGTTCGATTGCGAAAACAATGTCATAGCCAACATTACCGATAACATATTCGATGAGGTTTTCAAATCAGCTCCAGCCCTCAAGCCTGCAAATCCGAACAGGAAAAAACAGACAAAGCAATACGTGGAACCAAAGGGCAAATTTCAGAGGAGAAAACTGGTGGCAATGTTCTTGGAGCCTGACTCTCACTTTGTCGACCAAGTTGTGACGCTGGTGCAGTCACAATTCGACAAGATTGTCAAGACCACTCTTGACGAGCACTTCGCAGGCATTGACGCACTACTCACAGAGTTCAGCACAACCATTCGGGCACAGGCACCTATCGATTACAGCATTACGGCTGCAGGCGAAGTCATTCGCGCAGATGTCGAGAAAGATATTCCGAAGCTTGAGGAGAAGGCTGAGGCGCTCCGCAAGATGCTTCCAGTGTGTGTCAAGCGAGAAGATGATCCGACTCTTATTCCTATCGACAACACCGATGTATTGAGCGACGAGGACAACCTAGTAGTCATATACGAGAAGATGGCTAAGCGAAAGGTTGCTGAAGCAAACGGAACTTCGGGAAACAAGCGTATCAAGAAAGAGCCCTTCTCCTTCTGATCAAGCGACTCAACTATCGATTCATCGTGTGCTTTCAACGCCATCTTAGGCTGCCCTTTGTGACAACTGCATTCGATTGGCATAGCTGCGATGGATATACAACAGGTTCGCTCGGCACACGAAACAAAACCAGATTGTATGTCTAAATCGCAATGAAGAAGGCTCGTGCGCGACATTCATCTTATTCGACACGTCAATCGGCCGAGCTTATGAGGGAATGGATACCATACTTACAGATCCTACTTGGTACATCAGCGATATTGAATAGCCATGCAAGATTGCATCTGGGCTCTTCGATTTTTTTCTTATCCTTTCCTTCATTTCACTCTGGGCGCATGTAGTCTTAACGGAACATACAAGAACCCATCCTACGAGGGTTAAGGATTGGGTTCAGCTTTCCATAGTCACCAAAAGTCAATCTCACTTACACACATACACTTGCGCTTTGCACGAGCTCCTTTTACTACGTGCTTCGTCTTCTGCAATCTTTCATACTCACAAGTTACATAACGCTGCCTCTTAGACCTTGTCTCGCACCTTGCTTACACCATGACGGATATCTTTGGCACCCAAGTACATCAGCTCGTGTCAGCTCGGGAGTGGTACTTTCGACAGTGACTTGGAGAGTCCAGTATGGCCATTATAGGATAACCACAGCAGAGCGTGCTTCAATCCACGATGCCATACTTTGTTACAGTTGTGCTGTACTATTGTTTCACGAATAAAACCTTGGGAAAATCTCAAGAATTTGAGGAGTTTGGCTTGTTGAGTGGGGGCCATGTCACTGAGCATCTGCCATATGATGTTGCACCTGTTGCCGCCAGCCGTAAGATCCAGTCCAATTCTTGCGCATGGGTTTCGACATATCCCACTGGACCGTATGTTAGAAGACAGCAAACAATGATGTTGATGCATCTCATAGCTGTGAGTTTGTTCAGTAGGCGGAAATTTCCTTGGGCTACGTGTGTCAGAACCCAAAGATGAACGTGGTTGGTGCAAGTATTGACTGCGGACATCGTAATACTGCCACGGAGATGGACTTCCAAGGAGTCAACTGCTCACCTGAGCGTACGATCTAGACTCTGGCGTTCGCGTATATATATTTTGGTACCTCTATGTGGACAAGACTTCCACTTGCTTTTATATCAATATGTAGAGCCATCAAAGCAGGCATGACGAAGGGAACAGCGTCTTCGGCTTCATCGGCTTCTGCCAGAACCCTTTGAACGTGGAAGGTCATAGAATTGCATCTGAACAGCGATGTAAATCGAAAGATTGGCGTAAAATCAAAAGTCACACAAGGCAACGCCATTGTCGGTGCCGCCTTGGATGTGGTGTGATAAGGCCGGACACCGCAACGATTTCCGCGCGCTTCGATTGAACAATTTGCATTGCAAGAGGGCGATTGTCACGTCATTAGCAATCCTGAACAGTCGTAAAGGATTCATAGCGTATCAGAGAAACTGAAAAGGCATCGAGTGTACTCAGGCTAAGCGAGAGCTATGCCACAATAGTAGTAGTGCTAAAGTTGTAGAAGCTGGCAGTAAACAATTGCAGGGCGTGAAGATGCCGGAAGGATCGTATCGTTTGCTCCCCGAAGTCAAAGAAGTGGAGCAACGGGACGATCGAAGAGGCACTGCACTTCAATGCCAAGGCCGAGGCGGTGAACTCCAGAGCTATACGCAAAGACCAGCTTGCTGCAGATAGAGCACTGTGCAACCAATCAGAAATATCTAGCTGAGCTGGAGAAAAACAAGAAGATCGTTGATTCGTAGTTGACTTGCCCAAAGATGGGGAAAGCAAAATGCACATCGTCGATCCGGCATCCCATTGCGGTCATTTGTTCCAATAGTTGTCTTGATCTGGGCTAATGCAAGCAGGGCACTTTGTTAAAGCATTCGTGGAACTTCCCTTAGACCTGCGTCCGCTGGCAGCTCATTGTTGACATCATCCCCAGAGGGTGTTACGAGATGTTTAGCCACGCGAACAGTGTACCGTGCGTGTTTGAAAGAAAGGGCGATGAAGCAAATGAGGAAGTCCTTGGTCCAGCGTTCGGCCATAAGTCAGGCGGCATGTTCGGTGACATCAGTTAGTCCGAGAAGATGAGAGCGTGGGATTTGGGCGTCAAGGTAAAGCACCACCCCATGCAGGAGTACACCAAGAACGAGGTCTGGAGTTCTGTCATGTAATCGTGTCACAGGCATGTTCGTATTGCGCCTAGCCGCTTGCTCCGGAATCAAGATCTGACAAGTTTCTTGGACACTGTTACCAGACTTCGCCTATGAGGTCGAATTTGTGATGCGCGCTAATGGAGTGGTGGAGTCTGGTTCGTGAAGCATGGTCGAGGTCGGGAGCTGACCTAGCACAACGCACGTGATGACCCGCTCTTTGTGTCCCAAGAGGCGCTTTTTTCTCGCCGCTGCTCGCCTCATCCTTTCTTTCAGACAGCCATCGAAACCCCGCAGAAAGCTCCAAGTTCAGCACATAGGACGCGTAGTGGCTGTGCTTACCGTAAAGCCCGGACATGGAAGCTCGGCGGCATGCTCGATTTCAACGTGGCTTGCAAGGTGTCGGCCATCGCACATCGACTCCTGCAACGAACATCCAATGCAACCGCCACCGACTAGACCGGGATCGCGGAAGCAAGATAACTCACAATGCAGATGGCGTTTGATGCCATCAGGACATCCATGTCTCGAGTTTGAGAGCATTTGCAACAAATACTCAGTTGATCGCCTCGTCCGGACATGCGCGATACGCCATCTCGAGGCCGTGAATTCGGCATCGGCATCACGGCGGCTCCTCAGGGATCTTGGGAGTTGATTACCTTAAGTAGCATGGACACGGTCAATATCGACATGCAGTGCCGGCAGCGGGGAGACGGACGCGCGACACGCGAAGTACACGAAGCTTGCATGGACATCCAGCCCTTCCAGAGGCTGTTGAATTCCTGCCAGCTCGGCAACCTCCACGCCCTCGCCAAGCATTTTGGGATTCGTATACCGTGAAGGGCAACCGCTAGCCCAAATGTGTCTCGGCAGCACTCGTGTGCTGATAACCCCACCATCGAAGCTGTGATGCTGTGCATTCAGCGTCTCCATGTCCCCGTTCGTCTGGGCACCATAGGTGGGTTTATAGGCAGCGTTCATGCTTGGTAGGTCTGGGTGGCGCATCACGGTGCTTTTCCTGGGATGGTCTGACTGCAACTTCCTAAATCTTCTTAAGCGCAGGCCGCCCCGCACATCCTGCTTGATAAGGTGCTTGCAAGTCCGCAGTTGCATATTGTCGCGTCATACGTCCATCGAACGCATGCAGTGTCGGTTTGAGATGCGCGTTTGGAGGAAAACGATACTACTCCACGAACTTACGCCTCGCTAACGAATTTCCTCTTGCATGCCGGTGTACAACCTTACTTCTGTTCAGCATTTGGCCTTCAGAGCTGCTTCTTAATTCACAATTGGCCGAAATGACGAACCAGCTAGCATGGCTCCTGGTCACAGCATTTGTGGCAGCCTCTGCCTATCTTCTGGTTGTCCAAAAAGGCAAACGCGACATTGTCCTCGAACGACTCCGCATCAGCCGTCGAAGAGTCTCCGGCGCGAAGACCCCGCCCAGGTCATTTTCACCGAGCAAGAAGCAAGTGCAAGGCCTCACCGATCCTAACTATGCAGACACATTCCCTCCGTCCCGTCGACATCTCTTGGAAGAGCTGAATGGTTTTCCATCTTCCGAGAAGTCGTTGGACGAGTCTACTTCTACACAGCCTGACCTGAGCGGTAACATGGTTCCCATGGAAACATCGTACTTGGACGCAGATGACTCGTTGTATATGCCTTGTGGGCTATCAGTGAAGGAAATAAAGGCACTAGGAGACTTCCCCGACTACTCGACGCTTAGCGGGGTCCCTCTTCCCAAGCCATACCCTGAATTCGATCTCAAAAAGGCGCTGCCACGACCGTATAGACCATTCAGATGGGCCTATCATCAGACAATGTGTAGGTGAACACACACTGCCGGCGAAAGTGATGCTAACTGCGTATAGCGCTTACCAAGATGGAGCCAGACTGGTGGCTGGAGCTCGAAAGTACCTATGCTGAACGCATTAAGGAACGACAGAGTTTGTTGGCAAAACACGGAGATGCGGTTCTACAAGCGCTTCCGGGATCTGAGCTGGCATGTAAAGAGTTGATGGAGATGTGCCTCCAGTTTCTGTGTGCCCGCCACCCTCAGTACTTCAAACTGGATAAGGAAGAAATGGTCTTCCACAACGACATATTGCATACTGAGACCGACCTCCGCAAGACGCATCCGCTCCACGTACTCTTCAATAACATACCTGAAGACTTCGCGATAATGCTGCGCGACGACAAAACTGGGTTCTACCTCTTCCGAGCAGGCATCATTTGCAGTTCACTAGGTTGGAACGTCGCCTCGAAAATTGGCATGCGACTACACGAGATCCACGCACCTATCCCTGACTACAAAGAGAAGATGCAGTTCTCGATGGACCGGTATGTGCTCCGGAACGCCATTGAATGCTATACTCACTCCTTTGCAGATACTTCGCCAAGAAGCCGACCGACAAGCCTATCCAGCGGGGTTCTTGGGGCCTGGAGGTCGACCAACCACTATACATGCCACCGGGTGATCCACATGAGAAACTCCGCGGATACCAAATGGACAACCTTGATCTATCACGATGCAACCTCCGTGTTGACTGGCAAACGCTCCGCCGCCTACCACTTTCGGGTGCCGTAGTCTTCAACTTCAAGGCGCTCTTCACACCAGTCGAGGAATTTCGGGATGAGCCGTACATACCAGGACTATTGCTCAAAGTTTTGAACGAAGGAAAGAAAAGCTTGATGGACTATAAGAGCACATGGCATGTCGAGCATGTCGTCAAGCCGGCGATGGAGCGATTCCACAAGGAGCAGGTCGAAAAGGGACTGGTGCCTGAGGATTGGGAGCCGCATACTTTGGAGGAAAGTCCATGGTATCCAGGATGGGAAGAGAAGTGGCATCGCCGCCAGGGCTTCTAATCAAGAGTCGCGAAAAAGCTCACAACGCGTAATCATACATACTTCGCCACTCGGTATATTTAGCATTGCTCCACGCCTGTACATATCCAGTGCATAAAAGCAGACCTAGTGTATCAAATTGCATTCAGAAATCAGCTTGCCACTATCTTACGCGACTCAGACAGTGCATTAGCATTACTCCTGTGTTGTCGAGTCGCACAGTTTGACTCCGCTTATCTCCACACACACACCCCGAAAAGGTATGGTTACCGGCTAGCGGCCCTTTCCCCACACTTCACTCTAGCTCAATTATACTCACACAACATGAACAGCAAGCGACTAGATCAAAATGGCAGCGCCTGTTACATTCACTGATCTTAAAAAGAATGCAATGCTGTAGGATGTGTTGCCAATCAGCTTCAAGCAGTCATTCCACACAGGGAGCGCTTCCATGGCCCAAGTAAGTGGCCGATCACACTGGGCAAGGATTGAACCTCGGATAGTAAAACAAGGAGGGGAAAAGAGCTACCCCGATGACGATGCGACGGCTATTTTGAACCGTTTGACGACTTCATATGCCCGCTAGTTTGGTTGGTTCTAGCAAGCTACGGACGTCCGGAGATGTTTGCGCGTTCTTGAACTTATCATAGCTTTGAATCGCGCCCTTTTCTGTCCAGCTTCCAGGATTTGTTGCTCTTCCTTCTGCTCCTACTCTTTTATTCTCAGACCACAAACAAGCACCCTTCTCCGTACAAGATGGGCGGTTCAAAACCATGGCCCGAAGTCCCAGTCGGGAATAAAGACCACACCGACGCTGCGGTCGTGATTATCGGAGCTGGCATTTCTGGTAACATATTCGCATCATAACTCTACTCTTACAAAACTAACAAAGATTCTACAGGCATGTGCATGGGCCATCGATCTCATTAAGCGCAATTCCCTCCAAAACTTCATCATCCTCGAAAAGTCCTCGTCCATCGGCGGTACATGGCACGACAACAAGTACCCGGGCTGCTGCTGCGACGTGTGGTCTATGCTGTATAGCTACTCGTTCGAGCAGAATCCGGACTGGACGCGCGAGTACCCGGGCCAAGAGGAGATATTAGATTATCTGAGGAATGTGGCGCAGAAGTATGGGCTGTACAAAGTACATCCGATTCAATACCAGTGTGGAAGAGGCGCATTGGGACGATGAGAAGAGGAGGTGGAAGGTCGATGTCAAAGTCACGGGTGGGAAGGACGCTGAGTTCAATCCGCAGTATAGCATTGATTGTGACTTTCTGGTCAGCGCGGTGGGACAGTTGAATCAACCACGATTTCCGGATATCGAGGGGTTGGAGGACTTTCAAGGGAAGATTATGCATTCTGCACGATGGGATTGGAGCCATAGTCTTGAGGGGAAGAAGGTTGGTATCATCGGAAATGGTAAGTCTCTCCACAACCTTTGTGTTTGAGACACATACTGACGAATATTCTACAGGCGCAACAGCAGCCCAAATCATCCCCTCACACTCCTACCATCGACCTCCTCTCTCACAATCTACCAACGTTCGCCCAATTGGGTGATCCCCCGTCTCGACGGCGCCGTCTCCCCCCTCCGCCGCGCTGCATACCGCTACCTACCACCCGTCCGCTGGCGCATCCGCGCCAGCATGATGGACTTCCGCGAATCGTTCCACGACGCCGTGACCGACGGGAACTCCGAGTTCGCACTCGCTGATCCGCACATCCTGCATCGACGCCATGAAGGCGCAAATCCCAGACGGCGAGGAGAACGGGCTATGGGAGAAACTCACGCCGGATTATAACCCGGGTTGCAAGCGAGTCATTATCAGTGACGATTACTACCCAGCCGTCGCGGACCCAAAGACGACGCTCGAGACGAATAAGATAGCAAGAATCACGCCCACAGGCATCCAGCTCGAGAACGGAACCACATACGAGCACGACATCATCGTCCTCGCGACGGGCTTCCGCACCGTCGAATTCATGTACCCGATCAAAATCACGGGCACTGGCGGCCGCTCCCTCGAGCAAATATGGGAAAAGGGCGCCTCGGCACTCTATGGCACGACCGTCCCCTCACTCCCCAACTTCGGCATGTTCTACGGCCCCAACACGAATCTTGGCCACAATTCGATTATCCTGATGATCGAGGCGCAAAGCCGGTATCTCAACACCCTCGTGTCTGCCGTGCTGGACGCACGCAATCGCGGCCAGCGCATCGGTCTAACACCGCGCTCCGACCGGACAGACGCATTCAATCAGCAGATCCAAGAGATTTTGCAGAACAGCAGTTTCGCAGATCCAAAGTGCGGCAGCTGGTATAAGAACAAAGACGGCAAGATTACGAACAATTGGAGCGGCACGGTGGTGGAGTACCAGGAGATGCTGAGTAAGGTCGACTGGGAGGATTTTGAAACGACGGTGGGAGAGAGGGAGGGAGAGAGGGCGAGTAGGGTTGTATTTGGGACGGGGAGGCAGGAGACGAAGATTGGGAGGGTGCGGGAGGAGACGGTGGTGAGCAACACGGTGTTGGCGCTGGGGACGTTGAGTGCGGTTGCGGCGGGCGCGGCGTGGGTGTATAGGAGCAGGTGGCCGAAGAGACTGGGGTTGAGGGCTTGAGGTGATGGGAGCGTGAGAGTGTAATGTTGAGATGATATCATTGGGGTAAGAGTATAATAGTGTGAATGCAAAACGCCATAGTACTGAAAGTCCCTTCACTTTGCACAGTGCAATCTATCCAGACCGCGAACGCCTTGGATGGTATAAGGTAACCTACCCACGCTCAAAAGAAATAAAGAAAGGCTCAGACGCCCATGGTGAAGTCGTGTTCGATGCCAGGTGTGACGCTATCATGTGTTAGTGTCTCATTCGGCGCTGAGTCGGGATAGAAAGGCGTACCTAGCCATAAACTTCAGGAAGACGACGAGGTACTGGTCCACCCGGATAGCAACCTCGTCGTCTCCGCCCTCGCTCAAGACTTCCCAGTCGTCTTTAGCCTCGTCACCTTCCTTACCCTTGGCTTGTTCGGAAAGCTTCAATAGCCGTGTGTCATCAACTAGCCCCTCCATGCCAGTGTCAAGCTTGCCGATGTCCTTGCCTGCCTTGAGCTTTGCTAGCCGCAGCTTCAAGGCAGCGTCTGCACGGTCGAGAAGGACCTTCATTACTGAGGCGTGTTTGCAAGGGTGTACGGAGGCGGTCTTGAGGGCGTGCTCGAAGAAGGGGAAGTCCTCGATTGTGACGGTTTTGTCTTTGTAGTCGCCCACAATATCCTCCATCATCTCCTGAGGTTTGAGGGGTACTGATGTTGCGCCGTAGCCGGAGAGGTATAATCGTGGTGTTCGGTAGTGGGCGGAGTAGCAGATGTAGAGGGTGTAGGTTCGGAGGGGACTGGCATATTGTTAGAGACGGTGGCAACCATGTACCAGCCACTGTCATCGAGGTACAGTGGTCGACGGCGGCATGTTGAGACTCACGCTGTTGAAGACGAACCGCCTTGGGGATCTCTTATGATCGCTTCCTCGTCGTCATCCATGTCCTCCATGTCTGGAATCTCATCTTCTTCCTCGGCCGCACCCAGGTTGCCGCTCTCATCGACTGTCCGTACGTCGCGCACCTTGGCCTCTTGACTAGCCGCCATGCCACCCGTCCTCAGCCAGCCATCGTCATCGGCGCCTTCACTGCCAGCGAAGCCATCGCCTACTATGGTCTCATCTTGCCCAGCCTCTCCTGCAAAGTTGTCGTCAAGCCGTCTATGGCAAGGCACGCCCCGCGTCATCAGGTACTGCTTGCCCTCGGGCAGGTACGGGACGCGTTTCCCTGCTGACGAAGCATCTCCCCACTGCCACGAAGGGAACTTGAAGACGAGGAAGTCGCCTGCTAAGACAAACTCCTCTGGGGTAATCTGGCCCGTCTCGCGAAAGGTAGAAGTGTGGCTGATGGCGGCGGTGCGCTCGCGGAAGGTGTCGATGTACGATCGCACAAAGTTGTAAGCCATGATGTCGTTGCTATCTTCGTCGAGCGTATCGCGGTTAGTGGCGTATTTGGCCGAGTGCTTGTGCTAGGGGGTGTTGTTGTTTGTGCTTCTGTTCGCGGTCGCTGTCGCATATGGAGGGGGAGGGGCTGCCTGGCTCGTAGCTGCTGCCTCCAGCCGCTAGCTTCAGCCGCTAGGATGCACGTCACTTGATCAGCCTTCTTGTTCCCCTGCCTTCGTCTTTGTACCCTCTTCTTCTCCCAGATGACCGACGTCAGGCAACATTTCACTCTGGAGCTCATGCTTTCGTGATTCTACCGCCACGACCGGCCTTCCGACCATGACTTCATCATCACGAGCTATGCTTCCTCTGACAACGGACAAATTCAGCTAGCTCATCTGCTCCATTATCCGACGTCTCTATAATGGCGACACAAGCTGGGTAGTTGCGTGCTATGCCATGCAGTGTGGTCCGCATTGTACTAAGTTCTCTGCACGTCAATCACCTACATCATTGCCCGGAGAAGTATCTCGACGAAAGCATCGATTGTCAGAGCACTGACAGCTGCGCTCGTGACTGCATCACAGACGCGGTGACCATGTTCCTCTGGCTGGAATGTCACGGAGCATAGGTTTTGCCTATACCCTGATGAGCACGTGTCCACTTCGTTTCATCACAGCTTGTTCCAGCCGCGCAACAAGCGGTAACGCCCTTGGTTGCATCTAGGAATGCCTCCATTTCTACCACGTCGCCTCCTGCAAGAAGATCAAGTCTCTTCACTGTCCCGCATTCGACACCTCATGCATAGCCCTGGCCGCATAGCCTCACCCCGATCGGTAGCTCTTGAGGGGTCTCTGTTAAACACCAATACATATCTCCGGAGGCCTGTACATTTGTATTCCCGAATTCGGTGGGAAGCCGAAGGTACAACAGTCTTTATTCCACAACGCTCATCTCACTGCAATACCCCGCCTCACCTCGCGCTTAACACGTCAATCATGAATTTTACAATCCATGTGGTATGGCCTAGTACAGAGGTCGTCTGAGGAGTCGCATGGGGCTGACCCTGCGTGTCCTTGCCTCTCATACGAAATGACGGAAAGCCCGCCTCTCCAGGTCAGCAATACAGGCTTATTAAGGACTAACAATTCGTCATCACTACACTGCATAGAGGGATCGCAGTATAGGTTGCGCATAGTTAACGTGGTACGCAATCCTGACATGGGTTCCTCGCTGGCAGCGTTGCCCACTGTTTGCGCCACTATCAAGAGAAGTTCCGCTTCCAGCCGTCTGAATTTTCCATCGGTTTCCCAATGTCACTTGAATCATCCAGTCTTGCGCGAGTTGGGAGCGAGGGAGTTGTTCACGCGTCCACTTTGCCTTGGCCTAATCGAGACCACCACGTATTTGGCCTACTATAGACGTTATTTCTGGGGATCTTATCCATTCCTTTCGTCTGGCCCCACAGCTCCCACCATTACATGGATTAAGAGTGTCCAAGGTAGTTGAGCTATCCATCCAAATTCAATAGCTTATATTCCATTCGACGAACGAAGACGAACGAAACCAAAGCACACACCAGAGTCCTTCATGCATGCGCAGTGTGTGTATAGTGTTGTGCGTGCGGCGCTGCCCATCGCTGTCCTCTACCTCCGGGATTTACTCGCATTGTACAGATGCGGCCATTTCAAACATCACAAGCCCATCTCTCAATGGTTCATGGATCCCTTGACCTTTGTCCATTACCAAACCGTACGACAGGTATCTGTTCGGATATGCAGTCGCATCAGTCTGTCTCCTGGTGTCCGTAACACGTCGGCTACATCATCACCCATCGGTGTAAGCCGACGACAAACTCAGGAGAGTACTGCAAGATCTTAATCCCGGCTATGACTCTGGCCAATTGAGTCCAGTCGAACCCATGAAGACGTATAAAGAATGGCCTCGAAATTCTACGCTTTCATCACTCAAAGATCTTTCAACCCAGTCTACACTATACAGCACAGTCTTTGCTTCCATCATTCTTCACAGATCAGCGTCATGACCGAGTCTACATTGAAGCCTAGCACAATTCAGCCGCAGCCGCGATGTGGCGGGCAACAGAGCCAAGATCCAGCCACCAATGTCTCAGTACGTCCTTCTTTGATTCAGAGACACTATCGTTCCTAATCGGACTTACACTAGGGCAGCTCTGACCGTGTTCTCCGGCCGGTCCAAGCTAGCGCAACTCAAAATTCCCAAGTCCGTTCTGTTTCGGGCAACAGCAATTCTGCAATGGCCCGTTGGCTCGAAGAAGAGAAGACCGAAGCACCTTGGACACCTGAGACTCGCCACTGATCTTTCGCATCTCCTTCATTGGGTTCTCTCTGCATTATCGTCACAATCATAGGTGTGGTCTTGAACCCTAGAGGCTCATTCGATTGGCTTTGAGGTACACAGCTCGTTACTGCTGTGGCAAAGACTTTTCATGGCGATCACAGGTCATCATCGATACTGCGCAGTGTTGCATTTATTAATGTCTCCTCCCTTTCATAGTGGCTAAAATCAGTAACGAGAAATGCTTCTTCTCTTAGGCGCTTGTGGCATGCTTGACATTGCTTTCTTTTCGTCATTACCACGAACAACATATTTTCTCATGGCGAACATGAATTACTGCTGTAAAGCTACACACATGCGATCTTCGCGCCAATCCGATGAGAACATTTCACTAGGCACTTCATCCAGACACTACATCTGAAATGTATTCCTGTTTGATAATGCTGCTGGGAACTCTAACACAATTGTGTACATCTATAAGTCACCCAGACGAGACAGTCGTATCGACGATCCAAAGTATCGAGTTACCTGTTCCTACGACAACATCCGGCAGAACAGTACACAAAAACAAGACTGAAGTACACAACGCACGCTTAGCTGTGATGCAACGATCCACCTACCCCACTACAAGCCACCCATCTATTCCACTGTACTGGAGGAAGCTTCCGTGAGTAACGTGGCGCGGTCTTGCCGCATGCAGATGGTTGTTCAATGACCAAGCTGCGACTTCGGCATCAAGATCTGAGGCTGCATGCTAGCGGGGCCGCTCGAGCTTGCTAGAAATCATTCGCTAGGCATTTCGTACCGATGGTGACAAGCGTAGGGTAACCGCAGCTGTTATATCGATCCGGTGTGCCGGCTGAGGCCCGTCTCTGCCCCGGCCGCCTACATGTCACCGCTTGTGCATCTATCGGTGTATTTATCCGGGCACGGGAGCATTGAGCGAGACGTCGCGAGGCCGGTCCGCATAGCAACACAACATGGCGATCTAGATGCGTGAACAGCGCGTTGTGGAATTCTCACGCATCACGAGTTTGCATGCAGTGGTTGATGACGATTGCCTCTTCCACGGGAGCGCTTACTCGAATCGCGTGTCCATTGTCAGCCTCAGTTCCCATCACACAGCTGCCCGGTGAAGCAGACTAGTAACTACGCTATGGCGATGAGATACCCGTCTATCCCCACCGGCGGCGATGCCGATACCCAACACACATGGGCAATACTACCTCAATAGCCTCAAACGTACTAATCTTCCCCCCGCCAGAACGCTCCAGGCGCGGCACCACATACTTCTCAGGCCCACCCCTACACACCTCTACACATCCCACGCTAACGACCTACCTCGTCCTTCTGCACAGCGCCCAACCTCTCTATTCCCTCCTGCACTCCCTCTGCACTGATCTACGCTCCCCATCCGATCGGCGGTGCATGCCCGGCATCAACGATGACGGCTGGTATCCTGCCGCTGTATTCCATTTCTACGGAAACTTTGGGACGAGTAACAATCTTCTATGTGTGTTACTAACCAAAGAACTCGTGCAGGGCGAGGGAGTGTTGGGCATGCATTGCTTCCTGCATGCTTTCGAGGCGGGGCATTTAGAGCAGGGGTTTGTGGAGACGCTGGGGGAGTGGGAGGGAGCGAGGTGGGTAGTGAGGGTGGATGGAGGAATGAGGAGCGTCGATAGGAAGGTAAGTTTGGATGAAGGGGTGAGTGAGGAGGTAGTTGTGATGTTGGAGTTCTGTGCTGCGGCAGCGCTGGAGGGATATCTTGATGGGGGTGATGACGTGGGGATAGAAGGTTGGATTGAGGGTAGGATGATGGAGCAGCTTGAGGGTGTGCTTTGGGGGTTTTGGTTGGGGATGGATGAGGGGGTGGAGGAAGATATCAGGAAGCGGTCTTGGGGGTGGGCTGACATTCTTCCTACTTGGGCAGGGAGGTAGATGCACTTTCAATTATTAAAGTAGTCTTGGTTTTTGTCAGCTCCAGAAAGCCTGAAGGGAGAATGTGGGAAGTACCATTATGGCAAACTAGTGGTATCTCAAGATTCGAAATGACTTTTCCTGTCCCATCTTGCGCCAAGTCTTGCGCCTCTAAACGCCTCTTCCTGTGTAGCCTTGTCTCGGTATTCTTCGCAGCTTTCTCTCTTCGCCGAATCCGAGGCCCTCGGATATCTCTGCTGTTTGGTCCATTCGAATCAAGTCCTCTCCAATCGATTCGCGAAATGATTCAGATCCTTTTGTTCCTGACTGGCCCGTTCCCCACACGTAAGTTCATGCGATAGCTCACACCAGCCCATCCAGCCCAACTAGTGATTTCTAAAATTCTTCTTCTGGTAGAACAGATCCGTCCTCGAACTACCCAGGTTTATAATCTTCGGACACCCGTCCCTGTCTTTCTCGAGTCGCGTACACTCAAAGCAGTAGAAGGCGTCTGAGATGCCCTCGCCACCGCATACAACGCACTTGTTCTGGTAGTTGCCGAAGGAGCATTCGTCGCAGATGCGGGCGAGGGTGGTGGGGCGCACGTAGGAGTCGCATACGGGGCATTTGCCGTCACATTTGTCGCAGAGGCGGCCGATGGATATGCCGGCTTGTTTGCGGCACATTACGAGATCGCTGGGGGTTGTTAGAGAGGAGGGTGAAGGTGGCGGAAGGGAAGACTTACGGATGATGGCGAGACATTGTGGTGCGGCTTGGTCGACGTTATGGGAATTCGGGAATTAAATGAAACGTAGGGGTAGCTGAATCCTTGGGAGAAGAGCAGAATCGCTACCAGTGATATTGTTATTATGTGGTTGCAGTAAAGGAAGCTGCGATGGTGAACATTGAGAAGTTGCGGACCTCCGGCTTAGTCATCGCTAGCTTGAACCCTTGCCCCGTGCGGAAGCTTCTCGACCTCGCGTGCTCGCGTCCCATCGTCAAGGCTCCCACTGGCACCAAATTCGCGTGATATTATCGTTTTTTACACTTCGAAAGTTCGCGCAGTTAGACTAAAACACAAACAAAACACACCAAAACATGGATGGCCCAATCGCATCAGCCGTGGTCTTGCCAGATGAGCCTATGCCGCCAGCCTCGCCCAGCAGCAACAAAAGACGCCAATCCTCAGGGACCGAAGAAAGTGTGAAACGACCGCGACTCGAAGATGATGCTCCCAATTGCGATCGTGGATCTGCCAGTGAGGTCAAAGCTGCTGTCCCAGTGCGACGCGAAAGAGGTAGAGAGCGCAGATTGTTCGGTGCTGTTCTCGGTGCACTCTCACAAGCTCCTAGTACTACTGCAGCACAGAAGCGCCGCTCTGAGATTGAGAAGAGACAGATCGCACAGCGCAAGCAAGAAAGCGAAGAGAGCGAGCAGAGGAAGTCGGAGCGCGTAGCCAGACGCAAAGTTCAGCGCTGGAAGGAGCAGAGACGTTTCGAAGAACAATCGGTAGGCAATCTTACCCCTACAAGCTGCATTTCAGTATTGACATTAGCTAGATGCGAACGCGACATAATAGTTTACTGAACACGGCTCACTTCCTCCAGACCGAGACTGAACCACACCTTGTACGTACCTGGAGTAAACAGCTTACCTTTGGCTATAATTGACTCCATGACAGTACTACAAGCCCTGGGAGACCAGTGCCGAAGAAGAAGAACGAATCCAAGACCAAATTGCCGAAGCGCGCAAAACTATCCGCCGAGAAGTAGAAGAATACGAGGCTCGCATAGAGCAAGGAAGCAACCGCGAGCGACGTGCCTCCGAGGAAGCAGAACATCGCCGTGACGCAATGGGCTCCCATAGTGGTAAGGAGCACAATGCAGACGCGTCTCACGAGTCATCAGCAACCAATGGAAATGCTAACGGCAGCCACAACTCTCCCAAGGACCAGGATATGGAGGATATGGGAGATAATCATGCAGAAGACCCTGAACAAGAGGCGGTGAGCGCCGACACGACTGGGGATAGACCGGACAGCACTGTAGCAGCCCATGAGACTACCACTGACGATCCTAGCAATAACAACGACGATGAAAACGGAGAAGATGTAGTCGAGGAGGCAGCGGAGGATACCGTCATTTACTGAAGATCGCTAGGGAGTGCGCGCCGTGTGCGCGTGCGCCCTCGGGTTCCGGACCGCTCATGTCATTCAAGATTATGCAACACCGCTCATCGTAGCTTGATCTACTGGACACTTTACCATTACGACATTTCGACGACCATTTATACCACCTATGGGCAGGCGCCAGCGTTGTACCGCGTCCGTTTCTTTGCCTAGCAGGAAGCATCGTCCTGTTGTACTACCACGTCTGCTGTAGAGAAAGTTGCCTGTAGCGATTCGGCGTACTTGTCCGCTATTTGGCTGCCTCAACACATTCTCAAGAACAAGTGCGAGATGCAGTCCGCCAATGAGCAGCATGCATCACAAGTCGTTATCTAGCCAAGCTGGTGGGACAGCTGTAAGCAAATGCCCTTGTACCCATGGGCGTCGGCAACTGGTCGCATGCACTCCGGCTATGTGAAGGCGTTCGCTTCGCCAGATATGCGTGAGAGATCTTGCCATATACATAACCCCAGTGCGACCAAATCTGTGGATCGTTCAGTGGTGTCACGCGTGAATTACTGGCATGAATACGGGACTGCAATGGCGGCGTGTCTATAGCATCCGCAGGTTAAGAAGTTTTTCTGGACAGCGCATTGCCTCGAGCTTGCTTTCGAGCCACGTTGTTAGCAATGTGGTAGGAGGCACATTGCCTCAGTACCTGTGTAGAAAGTACCTTCCTGTTGTGGTGGTGATCATGTTCAGACCCCTCACCTCCGGACCGAGGTCTCCGCGAGCGACTCTTTCAAGTAGCATCGTCAAACATGAACCCCAAACACTACAACTCAATGTAATGTTGCTTGGCCAGTACCCGTGCAATTGTGGATCACATCGTTCGCCCTTCAAGCAGTACCAGGAAGTGAAGCGCACAGCGCACTACGCATCACGCCATGCCCACCCAACCAATTGACCCTGTGTCTGATTCGCGCATTACCCACAAGACAGCACTGCTCAACGGCTATACGTACCACTATCTCTATGCTGAGCCGAAGTCTGGCAGTTACACCCAGACCGTCTTCTTAGTACGTCCCAAGCTTTCTTATCTCTGGACATTAAGCCGACGGATATATTGCATGTGCATGAACAGATGTCCTCTGGCATGGCTAGTGCAGAATGGTTGGACAGTGATGGTGAGGATGTATACTAATCACGGGTAGATCCATGGATGGCCGGATCTATCGATGGGATGGAGGTACCAGATACCATTATTGGTGGATATGGGGTTCAGAGTTGTGGCGCCGGATATGATGGGATACGGAGGGACTGTGAGTACAATCTGTTTCATTGCTTGGCCGCGGAGGCTATCAAACTTGAATTACAAGAACTAAGTCTGAATACAGGATGCTCCAAAAGTACCACCGAACTCAATCAGTCTCTATGGTCTCAAGAGAGCTTCTGATGACATTGCCGCTCTTGCGAAAGAAGTCGGTGCGCCGAAGATCATTCTCGGTGGTCATGATTGGTAACTCAAGTACAGCTCCATCTCGATCGCAGCTACTGACGATTTCGACCAGGGGAGGTTTCGTTGTCTGGCGAGCTGCACAATGGTACCCAGATCTGGTCTCTCATGTCTTCTCCGTATGCACTCCATACACTGCCCCGCACAGAGAGTACTTCTCCACTGAAGATCTTGTAAAAGGTCAGCTGCCTCAATTTGCCTACCAGCTCCACCTTGCGTCAGGTGAGGTGGAGAAGAGCGTCAAAGATGAGCAGTCGATCAAGCAGTTCCTCAAGGGTATGTATGGAGCGCGGGGACCGAACGGCGAACTGGCTTTTGACCCAGAGAAGGGCGTGTTGGCGGAGAATCTACCTGTAATTGGCGAGAGTAGAATCCTGAATGGCAAGGTTAGTGGTGTTTTCCTATACTCACACTCACATTTGTCTGCCAAAGGTCGATCTACAAGTGTGGAATGGCCAGCGAGTGGATGACTTGAAGACGTCCGACCCAGGGAACTGGCTGCTCGACGTCCATATTCCCTCTTCTGTGGATGACGCGCGGACGCGGAAGAAGCCTTGAAAGAACCGCGGAGACGAATGTCTATCACCAGTCTGCCTCAGTCATGAGCTCCAGCACCGAAGATCATGGCAAGAGGTGTAGCGACGACATGCAACGAGATGCAAGGCTCGGCATCAGCATTTCCTTATATGCGCTTCGCATAGCACTACGGCTTCTAGTCGTTTCATCGATATTGGGCTATACACTGACAATGACGACAGGTGCTCGACTACTACGTCAAGGAGTACGCGAAACATGGCATCCACCCCACGCGTAAGTCGCTCTCCCACTCTTTTTAATCTAATCCCGTATCCACACATCCGGTTCATTCGCACATCATACCACCTATGCATGACCCTTCTTCCCAAAGTATTCTGAAGGGGTTCTTCGCAACCGTGTCAAATCTACGATCATCTCTCCTCGGGATGTGGGGCCATCTAGCTAACTCGCTGCAACCAGTCAATTGGTATCGCCAGCGCCGCACAAACTGGGAAGAAGACCAAGCCTTGCTTGACAAGAAGGTCATCAAACAGCCTGTACTCTTCATCCAAGCGACGTATGACTCGGTGCTCAAGCCCGAAATGTCAAAGAGCATGGATGCGCTGATTCCAAATCTTACGAGGGGAGAGGTGCCCGCGACGCATTGGGCGTTGACGCAGAAGCCGGAGGAGGTCAATCAGATTTTGAGGGGATGGCTTGAGGGGCGGGGCCTGGGCAGGAAGAAGAGTAACCTGTGAGAAGGCGTGATAGTTAAGAGGTTGTGCGATAATCGATCGGGACACTGCTGCTTTTCTTCACGAGTCGTACAACTGATGCGGTGTACATCTACCGAACGTTGAGAGACAGCGACTTCGCGGCTGTACCCGTCGCGCTCTAGACGAGCGATATCGGCACCAACATATTCAAAGTCCTTAGGTCATACTAGCTACTTGGCTGCCAGTGTCGCTACTGAGTTAGGAATATGATGTACTCGTGGTGTGGTACATTGGCGTATGTACCCTTGTAGAGGTGCATATGCAAGCTCCACATGCATTTGCGTCTCCCTGTCGAGCCTCACCTCAGGCATAGGTACGCCAGAAGTCTGGAAAAGTACTTTGGCGGATGTACCTCCGTTGAGATGCAGGTTCAATTCTCCACCACTTTGGTGTGACTGGGGTGAATTGCCCAGCGATAGTGACATGCACGTCGGTATCTCCGACAAGACGGCTGGACGCGCCGGAAATGCTCCTTTGCACGAGGCTCTCCCTCCGTTTTGTATTGGGCACTGGGCATTCGATGCAGACAGCGTTCAGTAGCGCACAAGATGTCCACTCTGCGGGCAGAATAGCCTCAGCACTTCCGAGGCTCAAGTCCATGATCATATGCCATCGAGCTACATCCAAGGATACAACATGCCGGATGCAGGTCCCCTTCGCCCGTGCGCTACACATACCCACAGCTCTGGAAAATCCACCGCAGAACAGCCAGTAAAGTTCTCGCGTCCTACCCTGTGGCTCTTGACTGTGGAAACGAGAAACCTGAACCTTTGCGCAGAGGCACAAACAATGCGCGGAAGCGGGGCTCCAGCCTGTAGTCGGATGAATTATTGCGATAGGTCTGGGATTACCTTGCCATCCTGCGCAGACCGCTTTTCGACTCAAGTTCAGGCCAGCGTTACGTTGGTTGAGTAATGACTGTCGTGCTCACTCACCGCTGCGGGCGTGCTGGGAAGGTTTCTCGATTGCCCAAGTGTTTGGTGAAAAAAGGTCCGGCACGGTAAGATGGGCGGGAAAACCTTTGAAACAGGAGCTTACTTCCTGCGCTGGCGCGTGCTGATCCAGATGCAAGACGTATGGCAAAGAAGGCGAAATGCCGCTTACTATATTTGAGGGCACATGCAGAAGAGTGGAAAAAAGATGCTCGCTTGAGGATGCATGGTCGCGAAAGTATGGTAGCGCGGTAGCGCTGATCTAGGCGTGCGGATTTCGAACCAAGATAGCTGCAACATAAACGTGCTAAGTGTACGACTCGTGCCTTATCAGTACGCTTGCGCTGCGTGGTGGTTACTCCATGGCATCTCGTAGTTGTTGCCTCCGGGCCGCATTGTATTAGTTGGCGAATCTTGGTAGTTGATGGGAGCCTGGTCGATAACTTCTTTGTCTCTCCGCAACCACCACGGTGCTCCGTCAAAGGACCGTTTACCGTGGCTTCACTTTTGCTTTTGCCGTCCCGTTGCAGTATATCCTTGGCGTCGTTCTGCTAAGTTCCTCGAATGAACGTTTATGGAGAGATAGGATGTAAAGGTACCTCGGTTTCGTATCTCTCGTCTAAATCTCCTTGTGGCTAGCCCCTGTCAGACGGCATATATTTCCACCACAGGTCTACGATCAACTTGGTCATTTTCGATTTTGGATGACAGGTGCTCGACCTCACCATTCGGTCGTGTTGGAAGACCTAAGTCAAGCTGCAGCGCGCTACCGTCTTGATGCGCACGATTCGGGGACACTGGTCGCATCTCGATGGCTTGTGTTTCTTGGTGAGTACACTAAGGATGCAGCTGCAATTGTGGCAATCCCCCGAGCCTGTCGTTCGTTAAATTTGAAGTTCGTCTGATAAGCAAGCCTGCTCCTTGATGAACCCGGCAGTTTGGTAGTTCTGCTCGGCGTTTCGTCAATTTACTGCTCCTCGGTACCTATGCCGCAATGCAGTCCGACCATCAACCGATATTCAACCAACGAACACCTTGCCTCACCACACACATCCCGTCGATACCGCCAGAAGGACCCACTCAGGTACCGCACTACGGAACCGACAACGTGCTCTGCCGGGAGGTGCACTTTGGGGATGTGCGCTATTGGGCATAGCTCTCCCCTGTCGCACACATATATCCGGGTCTTTTATATTGCACATGCAAATTCCGGTTGTCTTCTGGAATATCAGCCAGATCTTCTAGCCAGTTAGCAATCGAAATGTCCCGTGCAAGCCGGTAGAGTCAGGAACTTCCCATGATTGCTGATTGCACCAGGGTCGTGGATGAGTTGAGTTCGCGCTATACGTTCTGGCAGCGAAGCTGTGCTAACCTTGAGACAACCAGCCCGCATATCAGGCTGATGTTTCTTGCGTCTCTACTCCAGGGGTCAGTGGGTTCCGCTAGGGCCACTTCGCTCTGGTAGACTGCAAAGCTTCCAATGCATCTCTGATATACGGGTTCCACTGCAGCAGGACTGCCTTATCGCTGTTTCACCGTGCTGGCGTGGCCGCTGGTAGATGGTCGCTACACAGGAAAGGTTCCACTTGAGACACCACATTATGACCGCTGTTGCTATATCACAACTTCAATATGCACGTTCCGGACCTTCGTTGCTGCTGATCCGGGAGAAAACAAGTCCAAAGCTGCTAGAGCCAGTAGCTGCCGTAGTCTCCACCTCGGGGGTGAATGCACGAGCTAACGGTTGGTCTCCACATTAAATTCTTCTAGCCTCATTCACACCAAGAGCGAGACGGAAGAAGGAAAAGCCTATGCGAAGGCACCCATACCAAGTAGCTTTGGTCGCGCATCCCTATCCATGCTTGTTGCGCCAGATTGATCCGCCCAGCAAATGACGTGGATGCTTCGAGTCTTCCCTCATGCGATGCCATTATCTCGCCGACGCACGAATGTGAGGCAAGCCCAGCTTGTGCCAGGCCGGCGTTGATCGAAATGGTCCTCCCAACATGTATATCAGCCTCCACGTTCCCGTGGGGTGGTGTCCTGCTAGTTATCTTTCCATTTTCTCTTCCCGCTCCATTACAGTTGTCAATTCACCCTCCCACACTCTCTCGTAATGGCGCCTTCAGCTTTAGCAGACATGTATCCAATCCCAGCGAGGCACTACCACAAGCCCTCGACTGTGGTAGCATCCGTCCTGCATGGGCCAAGGGATTTGCGGCTCGTAAGGCTTTACCTTCCTTCACACATCCCACGCTACCCACCGTTCGTGGGGGTGTCGATGTATGCTCAACGTCTAAGACACGAGGCTGACTGGTCGGACAGGAAACCCGTCCCATCACAGACCCTGGACCGAACGAACTTCAGATAGCAATCAAGGCTACTGGTCTTTGCGGAAGCGATTGCTCCTACTACAGCAAGTTTCGCAACGGTGATCTGCATGCCTGTCAGCCACTCTCACTCGGCCATGAGTCTGCCGGCGTCGTAGTCGCGATAGGCGAGAGTGTCAGCGGCTTCCAGATTGGCGAGCGTGTCGCGTTAGAGGTTGGCGTGCCATGCGACAATTGCAGGTCCTGTCAACGCGGCCGGTACAACCTGTGCCCTAAGATGCGATTCAGGAGTAGCGCCAAATCAGTGCCTCACTTTCAGGGAACCCTTCAGGAACGCATCAACCACCCTGCGAAATGGTGCCACAAGTATGTCTTGCATGATCTACCCGAGCAAGAACTTTAGCTGATAACCTTATCCAGACTTCCCGCACATGTCTCCATGGAGTCGGCGGCATTGTTAGAGCCTCTGTCTGTAGCGATACATGCCACACGGAGAGCTCACATCGAACAGGGTGACACCGCTATCGTCTTCGGTGCAGGCGCCGTGGGCCTTTTGACCGCGGCGATGGCCAAAGTTTCTGGCGCGACGACCGTTGTAATTGCTGACATCGACTATGGTCGGATCAACTATGCCCTTGCGAATGGTTTCGCGCACAAGGGCTACATTGTGACTCCTCAAAGAGAAGCGACTGAGACTGCGGAGAAGCTTGACCAGGCGAAAGAACTGGCGACAGACATTATGCAAATTGCTTCGCTCAACGATCCGGAATTCGAGGGAGCCGACGTGACATTTGACTGCACTGGGAAGGAGATCTGCATGCAAGCCGGTCTATACGTAAGTCGTCGAAGATTCTAGACGATGTCAGCAACTTACAAGTGAGCAGGCAACAAGACCTGGCGGGCAGCTTGTCATGGTAGGAATGGGCACTCCTATCCAGACTCTCCCAATGTCCGCTTCCCACTTGAAGGAAGTTGATATCATCGGCATCTTCCGCTACGCCAACACTTACCCAACTGGCATAAAATTGATTTCTGCTGGAGTTCTTCCAAACCTCGACAACATGATTACCCATAGGTGAGTCAGGCCTCGTGATGATAGATGTAGATCATATGCTAACCTGGCATAGGTATCATGGGCTTGCATCTGTGAAGGAGGCTTTCGAGCTCGCTGGCAAGACTCTCGACAACGACGGCAATCTTGTTCTGAAGGTCCTCGTCGAGATGTAATCTTTCATGTCGAGGTCCTCTCACACACGATGCGTCCGCTGAGATATGATTGACTTTCGTACCTTTTACGACCATAGAGATGGCATAGACGGAGCCAGCCAGGTACCAAGGCTTGGACAGGCGTTTTAGGGTGATTTTGTTTCGATGATTGAAGATACCATTCGTTTTCTGTGGGGTTTGGAAAAGGCTCTCGGAGTCTGGCCGCGGTACTGAAAGGCATGGAACTGAAGTTCAGGTGTATGGAAACGATAGTAATGAGACTTTAACATTTTGCTTCTTCCAAACCGGAGTGTTCGATTTCGTGATCAAAATCAATTGGCAGCCACGCCCATGACGGTGTCACGTGAAGATCGAGACAACTCTGGGGACGCTTGTTGCAAAATCTACACCTCGCCGAACATGTCAGAACAGTTCGATGCGTCATAACACGAATCGAGTGAAGCACATCGTTGTGTTATGGAGACGGAGGGTTGTCGTGGCACTCGCATGAAGCCTGCACGCGTGATCACGTGAGAGGGCAGCTCCAAAAGTACCCCGCGGGCTTGGCATACGCTAAGAAGTGGTAGCTACGTCTGGCTGCCTGGTGATTTCCCCACGATAACTCCGATACATCAACTCCACCACAGATCTCTCCAGTCGCTCACTCCTCCACCCGATACCAATTCTCGATTGGTGCCATCATCGCAAACATGGCGGAAGCTTCACATAATCCGCTGGTTTCAACAGCCCGCGCCTCCGACAATAGCTCGACTGTACAATTACACCCGCTTGTACTTCTCACCATATCAGACTGTATCACGCGACATACACTACGGCAGCAGAAGGGACCCGTGGTGGGAGCTATAATAGGTCAGCAGAATGGCCAGGAAATAACCATGGAAGTTGCTTTCCAAGCAAAGCTCAAGGCAAATGATGCTGGCGAGACTGTACTTGACGCAGAGTGGTTCGCGAAGCGTTTAGAAGATTGTAAGTGTCGCAATGCAATACATAAACACCCATGCTCATGCCTGTACTGCGAACAGTCAAAGATGTCCACAAACAACCACCGCTCGACCTTGTCGGCTGGTTCACACTTGGACCTCGCTCCGGACCTCAACCCCACATCCTCCCGATCCACTCCCACATATCAGAGTTCTACACTGAATCTCCGCTACTGGTACTATTCCATCCGGAAGATGCCTTCTCAGAAGCTACAGCTGCCGGAAAGTTGCCGCTCACACTGTATGAGCCCATCTCAGAGAATGTCACCAGTGACCCCAACGACAAGGCTATGGACATTGATGGTGCGGTGCAGGCAAGATCGACAAAGTTCAAGGAACTCGTGTACACCATTGAGACTGGAGAGGCAGAGATGATCAGTGTGGACTTCGTGGCTCGCGGTGGTGGCAATGCTACAGCTGTCGAGGGCACCGCAGCACCAAAGGCAGGACCATCCAAAGTGGACGAGGCTGCAGGAAAGAAGTCATCTTCGAGAGGCAAGCAAAAGGAAAAGAAAGAAGACAAGGAAAAGGATGCGCCTATTGACGAATCTCTGGTCATGACTGCGGAAGATGATGAGAGTAAGTGTCATGATATTCTCTTCAGGTGTACGAATACTGACGTATACCAGTCCTTTCTTCCCTGACGGCCAAGATGAACGCCATTCGCATGCTCAGTCGCCGCATCCAACTCCTCCGCACATACCTCGATACCCTCCCACCATCATACCTGTCCGATCCTTCACTCCCACTGGCTCCGACTGTAGACACCCAGAACCAGCTGCCGCTGAACCATTCGATTCTGCGCAGTATATCTGCCACGCTATCCCGCATCAACATCCTCGCTCCACCCGATGCAGATGCTTTCACACTCGAGTCACAACAAGAGGCCTCCGATGTCCAGCTCGTCAATCTACTCTCATCTATCACGAACTCAGTGTCGGCAGCAAAGGAACTTGGTCGCAAGAGCCACATCGTCGAGCACGCCAAAAGCCAGGGCAAGAACCGCATGGGTATGGGCATGATGGGTGGATATGGAGGCGACGCGTCTGGTGGAGGTGCCTACTTCAACACAGTCATGGGCGGCAGTGGAGGTAGTGGAGCTGCATGGTGAAATATCCATGCACCACTACACTTCCAATACACTATTTGGTCAACTTCATGACCAATGAAGTGTTAGTCCGTCCAAAAAAGACGTCATCATGGGCATTGTGCCTCCTTGGAGGTACGCCGACGAAGATCCATCGGGAGCGGTCGTCATCGGCTGGTATGTCCAAGTGTTATCAATTGCGATTCTCGTCTTCATCTGGCCAATCTTCATCATCCTCACGCCCATAATGGTACCCTTGTGCATCATCGGGATTTCCATTCACTTTTTCGCCTGGCTCTACCGCACCATCCGCGACCAGGGGATTCGGGGCCCTCCACGCGAAATATACGACTTCCTGCGGTGGCTTCGCCGGGATCTGAGAGATGCTTGGCTAGATTTCTGCGATGCCTTCCGGGAGCTCATGCACTCTTGGAGGTAGAGAATTTATCAGCCCTGACATTGCGATGGGGTGCTATAGATCGGGGCGTCCTTTTTACGAGCATAGCGTGGCATAGTTAACTTGATGAGCATGAAGCAAATGGAAATGATCTCATGACCAATGTATTCCTTGATATCCTAAACGGCAAGTTCAATTCCTGTGCAATATTAAAATCCAAAAAGATTGACCTGAGCCTTACTCCCAACATTTTTTCCCCAAAGACCTCTGACGCAAAAGTCGGAAATTGAATACTCATGCCTTTCCCCCGCCCTTACCACCACCACCACCACCACCTGCCTTCATCGGATCCCGAATCACATTTCCCTCAGGCCCTTCGAAGTCGCGTATCTCGCATCGAGAGATGTACAACCAGTCGCGGTAGTACTTGTTCCTATCATCTTCCCTACGCTGGTTGAGAATCTTGCGCTGTTTGTCGTACCACGAGCGCGTGGATTTGGGACTCGGGGGCGTAGTTGAGCGCGGTGCTGATGCTGGAGGGGTGGATGAGGGCGAGGTTGGTGGTAAGTCAGAGGGGCCGTCGGTCCAGGGTGAGCGCTCGTAAGGTGCAGATGGGGGTTTTCTATGCGTGGTTGATAGATTGAAAGTTTCGACGAGGGGAATGACGGATGTTTCTCCTGCGGATGGAGGTGGTGTAGAAGGTTGTGGTTCGGTGTTGGGGACGTTGTGATTGACGACTGACCAAAATGCTACGATGACTCGTTCGATTTTAGCACTGCGTTGTTCCTCACGTCCCGTCAAGCTATTGAGCTGGACTGTGGCTGTCGATACTGGCGCATTGGCTTTGGGGCCCCAGGCCATTAGAGTGTTGTCGCTTTTCTCAGCTGGGTGGCCCAATTCTGTGCCTTGGAGTGGGCTTACCCCTTCCTCTTGCCATGCATCGGCACTTGTCTGGACTTCTGGATCACTGTTGTCCTCACCCCAGCTCCACCCATGGCCATTTTCGAAGTCGAGATTGATTGCGTCTGGCGTCTGAACTACACCCGCTTCCGATAGATGCTCTAGTATCCAAGCCCCATCATCGTCGTCCAGTGGGTGCGAATAGTCCGTGCTGACAGGGTGTACAGGGTCAGTACTGGCTTCATAGTTGCCATCGTAGTCAAGGTCATCCATCTCAGTCCACTCTTTATCCGCCTTAACGACGACATCTTCAGGTCGCACTTCTTGCGGTAATTTCGACGCTGCCTTCTCGTAGTAGCTGTGCTTCACTCTTGTGACACTTGGTTTCGGTCCATGAGCGAACATGGTCCTCGTATTCCATGACGCTGTTGCATACTCGGCATCCAAATCCTTGACTAGAGCGGCTACCTCTTCGAAGCCAGTCATATCCCGTTGTTGGAGCTTGGCTAGGAACGCATTTGCTCTCTCAAGTTTCAGCTTCCAGGTGTCCTCCCATGCTGTATGCTGACATCGGTCGCATTCGATCTGAAGGTAGATGGTCAAGAAGGATTCCGCAATGCAAGCCGCTTTCGTGCTGTTCGCGGTGATCTTGTGCCGAGTGCCGCCGCATCGTGACCTACGTCGACGCAACGTATGCTGGCACGTAAATTGGAATGTGACGATGTTGCACATTGAGGCTTTGGGTGGAGCACAGCGCTGTGGCTGGTTCCTCTAGGTAATCCAAATGTTGCAGAGTTTCAGTGCCAGAGGCCAAGATTGAACCAAACCACTCGACTTCACTCTCCCCGTAGCTCACACATCCCGCATGCTGGAGGTCGTGGTGACAGTGAAAAGTGGGGCGGTCAGGTAAAGGCAGGAAGCGGGCTGGCCATCGATTTAGCAGAGCTGAGCAGCGTTTGATTGTTTAACATACCTGCGAGCTCCACATGGTGGCTAGAGGTAAACCGAGTTATGCGGTGCATCAATCGTGTGAAGTTCGTCGAGAAGAAACAGGGTGGGAAGGCGCGACTGGACGCGTACCTGCATTTGTCCAACGCGTACTCACGTGGTGTGTCCAACAACTAGTCGTTTGATGTTGGCAGTAAATCGCACGAGACTTAGATACACCAGAGAGTACTGAAACAATGACCATGAATATGATTGGAGATTATGAAATATATGCCGTGATAATGGACAAATTAGTCTATAGTGAAAAGCCTCGAATGACGAAAGAATGCCTGTTAACATTCGTGGCGGCTTAATATCCAGCACCACCGATCTATCCAATTCGAATCGTCAAACATGACCGCGTAAACGTCGTTGCAAGAATGAAAAAAAAAAAAGCATCCAACTGCGCCAGCGCTAGACTCCAGGTAAATGCCTCGCGATGCTTCGTCAATTAATAACGCACAATGGGCGCACTTGCTGCGCCGTCTTGCACCATTACACCTTCCTTTACACCCTCTTTCTCAATTCTTTGCATCCAATCGTCCTTCTTTTCTTTCTTTGTCATCCACCCAGTGAAAACCTTTTTCAATCTCGACTTCTGCTCTTCCTTGTGAGCCACCTTGACCTCCTTGGAAAATGTACCGCGAGTGGGCGTATCGACGCTCATTTTCCGGGAGAAGTTCAGTATCTCGCCACTCTTCTTGGGCATGGCTAAGCTGTCGGTACTCTTGTAGCGGATGTGACCGAGGTTGCTGGTGGAGGCGGATGCGACAAGTGTCTGTCCGGTCACGGTATAGCTGTCTGGTGTCAAAGTCTTTGAGCGAGACGCGGACTGCCCAGCATGCCTGCTATTTGCTGGTGAGCGCGCAGACAGAGCCGTATTGTATTGCAGAGCCAACGTGTCAGATCCACTCCTTCGATGTGCCTTGTTCGCTGCAACACGCTCTGGCGTCGCAGAGTCTTGAGGTCGCATGACGCTGGCGATATGGGTAGCAGAAGTTGGCGACCGGACGGCCTTCTCTGGCGCTGGCACATCATCCTTCCACGAGTCGAGACTTGGCAGAGGCGGCAGCTCTCTGTTGAGATTGACGGTAGTTTTCTTTGGCGGTTCTACTTCCTCAGGCTGTCCCTTTGACGTTCCCGGCCGGCTGTTGCTTCTTGAACTCGATCGACGACCTGGCAGTGCCCAGCTGCGCCATCCCTGTCCTGAGGCGCTGTTGGGTGGGTCGACAGCCGAGTCCTGGCTCATGGTTGTGTTCATGGTGCGGAGGGAGCCGTGGGATGGGGCGCGGCTAATGGTGCGGCTGGTCGTACCTGGGAAGACATATTCCTTGATGTTGTCCCGTATGCTTCGTGATCGGCTCAGAGATCGGACGGCCGTTGATGGCCGGGCCTGCGGATCGTGCTTGCCGCGGGGCGTCCGCTCTGCTGCGTCGGCGTCGGTGTCGGTGGGTGCTGCGGTGTCGTCGGCATGGCGGTCTTTGCGTCGCATGGAGGAGCTCCTATACACAGTCAGCGGGCCTGGCCTGGGAATGGCACGGCATGCAAGCAACGCACTTTCTCAGTTTCTCCTCTCTCTTGTCGTTGCGTTCGTCGAGCCAGTCAAAGTCGGCGCGCTTCCGGCTGCTGTTGGCGCGCACGGGGGGTGCATCGCCAGAGCGTCTCATGGTGAGCTCCGTCTGCTTGAGTCCGCGGGCTTCGAGGGCCGTCTTCAGATCCACAGGCGCGCCCGTGGGCAGGCGCACCTTGGGCTCAGATCGGTGGGCGTTGCGGTCCTTGGTCTTGCTGTCTCGTCCGCGCTGCAGGCCGCCAAAGTCCAGCTTCGGGTCCGTGTTCTCCATGCCATGGTCGGACGGCTTGAAGTTCTGCAGAATGTGCTGACATGCTAGCCGCAACTCCCGCTCCGTGTGGGCATCGAGCACGCGGCGGTTGATGTGGGGCGAGTAGTCGGTGATGCTGTCTTTGGACGAGTGTTTGCTGTGCGACTGTGACTTGGGTTGCGGGTGCGACGGCGTGGGCTCGGGTGCTGCCTTGGTGTCGTCCTTGGAGGGGATCTTCTGGCCGCTTGTCAATCGTCACCGACGCTGGGTGGAGTGCCGATCGGGACTTACCACGGGCGCGAGGGAGAACTTGCGTTTCATGGTGGGCAATTGATAGGATAGGCAGAATAGTACTATGGACGCAACGCTCCACGCAGGCAATTCCACGCTCAGGGCGCTGGACGGGATGTCCTGTGTATGTATGCAGACAGACACGGCAGTGGGCGCGTCCGTGTCGATGGCGCCGGCGAGATAGAGCTACCGATACTGGTGCCGGTTACCGTTTCGAGATGTTGTGAATGTGCAGCGTCGATAACAATGGCCGTCGACGGGAACTGGTCGCACGCAGCGCTCGAGCAAGACCAGCGGACATATGGACACTATGTACACTATGAACTTGGACCCAGGGGATATACTGCTGTGCCCTCTGCATCCAGGAGCTCTTTGAGTTTCAAACCGCAGGCAGCTAGTGGGCAGTCGCGCGCCCCACGGCAGGGAACAGGCGACTAGCATAGTCTCGACGCGATGCGCATCCGGGGCGTGTTTCGGACGCTGCTAGTCGAGCAGCCAATTGGGTTATTGCACGCGCCTCCACGCCTGAACAGGACTCCCATTTCCGAGTGCCACCACTCTGCGTGCTGCAGCAATCAGCGTTGAGAGCCCACGCATGCCAGTGAGTGTCGCCATGCAACCAGCGACCTGCCGGCAGAGCGAGGCCCGACCACCCACCGAGCCCTACGCCTCGCACAGAAACGGGGACCGCCCATCGCGTGCCTCCAAAATGTCTGCGTGCAGCTCCGGGACAGACTATCGAAAAATACGCGGCTACGCGAATCGCCAACAAAGATCGCCAACGTCACCGCGCTCCTCGTCCTTGTCCATGCATCCATCCCCAGACACGCCTGCAGCCTCGCGCAGCAGAGTTTGCTTGGCATGCAGCGAACCCGCAGCCTCCGTTACCCGCTTTCCAAAGTTCCCAAGCGTCGCCTTTGTCACGACAAAGAAACCCCGACCACGGCCGATTGCCGAGACCTTCGAGAAGCCAGCATCCAAACACGACCATTTACCCGGAGGTCCATCGGAACGACGCGATATTGCAGCGTCGGAAGTAAATGCTCCAACTGCACTGGCTAGCAAACACTGTCCACGCATCATCTTGACTCCTGCCGTGTGACTTCAACCGCCTTCCTATTCCGTCTACTCTACACAATTCTTCCGCCAGGCATCCGTGCTTTGCTTTACCTTCACTTCAATGCCATCTCAGAGAAGCTCCAATGCCGACACCAATCCACAGCTACGTAGCAGACTCTTTGGCCTGCCGCTCGAGCTTCGACAGACAATTTACAGCTACCTCTTTCCAGGTGGAGTGCATGCATATTTTCGACACGACAAACTTCGTCTATCAGCATGCCTCCAGCCTGATCCCTACAAATACAGTAGTGGCGCCGAGCACGTTGTCTGCCCAGAGCCGTTCGAACCTCCAGACAGCCGCTATCTACTTCGTTTAGGATCTACATGGGGCCCGCACTGGGAGTGCGAAGAGGCGGTCATGGGGGTGAATCAAAGCCCTGAAACATCGACAGGCACAGAATTGGAAATGTTACATGTGTGTAGGAGAGCGTAAGTGTGCACAGAGAGCTCAAGAGCACTAAACTCACATGTCCAAACAGGCGTCAGGAGGTGACAGCATACATAACCAACATAGCAGTCCTTCACATCACCGGTCCAGAGACATTGCAATCGCTCCTCGAACCCGCAAAATCTCTTGTTCCGCAGCACGTGACTGATGTAGTCGCCTTGACTAAGAGGTTGAGTATCACGTTGCGACTTTCCACTCGCACTTTCGATAGGGTGCAAGAAGCCGTAGCTGGTTATTCAGCAGACGTTCCGGTATGGTTGCGGTTTTGCCAGACACACGTCCAGAATCTTACAAAGCTGCGCGAGTTTCAGCTCTGGGCAGACCACGACCGCGACTGGAGTTGGAGTCGCGTTAATGAGCGAGCCTTTCTTGCGCCACTTGAGACATTGGCCGCCAATTCAGATCTCAATATTATAGTCAATCTACCGAAGCTCCATCCAAAATACGAATCCCAGGATCGTCACTTCACAATATATAGCACTCCCCCATCCTTCACCATAACACGACGACTACGACAATCTTACTATGCCTTTAGTAGGGGTGATTCGGATCAACTTCTTGTACGCTTTGCCCAGGACTTCCCCACCCTCTACCAACACGGGGTCGATGATCTGGAGGAAGTTGAACAGAGGGAGAGGAAGATGTGGGAGAATGGTGAAGATGTGAGTGCAGAATTACATCGGATAACTCGTTTGCATGGTGACCAAAGGGTATGACACTGCACAGCCTACGTAGATTCTTGCTCGCCATAAAGAGGTAATCAGTATAGCTACGTGGGGTTCATGACAACTACGACTGGCCGAGACGGGGTGACCGTTCAAATTTTCTAAGACCAGACCTCCTCGATTTGTACATACAAAGCATTTTGCGCTCGCACCTTAGGCTGTAACTGTCACAGACCCAACTGCGTATAACACTCGGAGCTCTCGCACACCTATCACGTTATCGTCGTTCGACCCCTCCAACTCGTCGATTATGTCGTGTTTCCGCACGCGCCCCGTCTAACGCACGGTGGTCTGTGTGTGCATCTGCGAAACGGTCGCTTGTAGGCATCTTCTCGCCAGGGACCCATCGCCAAAATCGCTGTCACTCTAATCACCTTGCAGCTGTCACTGTTCGAGAATGTGTTCGCCATCTCCATGGTTAAATGTAATGCATGCAACCATAAGCACATCGTTCGCGAAAAGAAACTTACCCCTTGTTGTGGCGCAAAGCCTATCGTGGCGCGAATGACTCTGACTTTTTGGAGTTGGGCGGAGACTATCGTGGAGCCCAACCCAATCCGGTTGCTATTTCTGGCCCCATGGTGCTTCGGCGAATTTCGGACCTTACCGAGCATTACCTCGATCATGGCTTGATCCTTGCTCGTGAACGCAAAACTAAGCTTTGAGCTTCAGCAAACACGCTTTGACTTGTCATTTCAATATTTAGTGGGTTCGGAAGCTGCCGTGTCACAAAGAAAAGTGCATCCTGTTATCAGAGTTCACTACCCACAGTGGGGATCTGAACACAACATCTAGTTGAACACCAACGCGGGGACCATACAAAGAAAAAGCATTGAATGCACTCAAACTATGATCTGAAGCTAAGCACATGGGCGAGGGACCGGCACTTTGCCTTTGTCATAAGGCTCGTGCGAAAGGGAATTCGATATCGTAGACGCAGTTGTGGCGTAAACGAGTCACGAAAAACGTACTATCGATATTGAACTCGCAGCCTCAATTGCGAAGTACACCTACCGACCACGAAATGGTACGGTCGACATATCCGACAACCGAGCCTTATGCTGCAAACGTCCTCTTCCAAATGAATTCCTAGCCCAATAAGCCGAGGATTCGAATTGCCCCGTTCGCTCAGAGTAGAGGACTGATTTGTACCACAGTGTTACTCACGATGAACCTCAGAGCGCAAAGCTCGTGCTTGTACACAGTATCCAACATGAGCAATAACGCTGATACCATTGACTACGCCGTGTACGACCACAGTCCACCATGATGACTTTGACGTGTTTGCTTAACTACTGCCATGAGCACCTGGCAGTCTTCGAAATCGGCATCTACAGAACTTTGAGCTGAGCAATCATGAAGCACTCATCGCGAGCATCTGCTTCGAAACCTCTCACTAACCCAACTTCCACCAAAGCGACGTTATGGGTGTATACAGAAATTGGCTTGTGTGTGCTGATGCATTTACTCAATGATCACCCAAAGCACATTAGGTATCGAGAGAACCACAAAGCGAGAGCCTCTGGACTGACGGAGAAGAGTCGAAAGCCCGAAAGCAGACACTCACATCCATCATCACATCCTCCCCGGATTCAGCGAGACTACCAACCTCGCGAGCACGAGAGAGACGAGCGCCCTCGATGTGAGGCATCTCCTCTTCGAACTCAGCGAGACTACCATTTTCGAGAATACAAGAGAGAAGAGTATCAGCCTCGACATGAAGCACACCCATCTCCTCCCTGCCGCGCAGCACAACCATATCAGTATCGCCCGCACACGCCACCACTCCCCCGTCGCCCATCCTACTCTTCACCGCCTGCCCGACCCGGTCCCCCGCCTCTCACCCACCATGCAAGACCACCTACACCACCTCTCCCTCACCGCCCATACTATTCTGAACCACCACCGCGACTCTTCACTCGACCCAGTCCCACCCCTCGCTCAAGACCACCTACACCACCCCTTCCTCGCTGCCAACCATACTTTCGACCACCAACACCACCCCCGCCCCACCACCCATCCTACCCCCGACCACTTACTCATCCCTTCCCTTACTATCACTCCCCTCTGCCCCGCCACCCAGGCGCCCCGCCCCCCTCCCCACCCTCCAGGCAGGCGCAAAACCATCCCTCGCGCCACCAAGCATGGACCCGCATCCGCAGCGTCACGCCGAGTAAGTACCGAATTTTCCTTCAATCCCGTTCTACCAACTAACACGGCGTTGACGAGGCGTAGGGAAGAAAGTGAGGTGGGGTGGCGTTGAGGTCATGGGGGACGATGGTGAGAGAGAAAGGAGATATAGGGACGATGATGGGAAGACGAGAGCTGGTGAAACTGGGGAGAGGCAGAGTAGACCGCGAGAAAGAGAAAGAGAAAGAGAAATCTTTGATGCAATTGATGACGAGGATATGTGGGGTCCGAGGAGAGATAGGGGGGTTTGGGGGGCCTGTTGATCAGTGAGATGGGGTGCTGGGATTAGTCTGGGGAGTAGACGGGGGCCGGATTGATCGACACGCTGCTCCGTGAGAGCAGGGTACAGAATGCGAAGAGTACAAGTACATGTGTGTCCATGCTAAATTGTATGTTGAGAAAGGTTTTTGCGTGCAGAGATGACCCGCTTGTTTCCTTGCCGTGTGACGCTCAACAGTACATGTACATACCTACCCGATCAGTGCGCGTGAGCATAGTACAAGGAGGTTAGAATGCTGGTGTATTCGGTACGGCGACGGTGTATACCGGGACTACTGAAGCGAGGGGCACTGGAATGCAAAGCACGGTAATGTTCGGAGCCCCGTGTAGATCCTGATCACCTCTCTCCTCTTCACCGCGTACGAACGTCCATGTTTACGAGTACAGAACAGATTGTTATTTTCTCTCCAAAAAAGAAAAGAATCAATGGGTGCCAATGAAGTGGCAAGAATCCAAATTGGTAAAGTTCAAGCAAATCTGGATGATCCAGAAAGTCAAGCGAAAGTATATTCCTTCCAATGGTATAATCCCCCCCGATAAGTACTCCATAGCATATATTCATCATGTCATAATCAAAGAAACTCAACCCTTACTCCTCATCTGCGGAATCCTCCGAAGCTCTGCGACCAATGCCTCGATCCCTGGGGTCTGCGCATCTCGCCCTCTTTGCCCTCATACCCAAAGCCGCCGTTGTCATCGCGCCCAAAGAGCGCAAGCAACGAGCGGAACAATGACTCGCGGCTCTCAGGTGACACCTCTTTTGGTAGCATGGAAGGGGATTCCATGGATCCTGGGGCGATGTCGCCGGAGAAGAGGTCGAAGTCGTCTTTGTGCAGGATGGAGTGTAGTTTGTGGTTGATGCGGGAGCGGAAGGTTTCTGTTTCTGCTGCGGAGGCGGAGAGGCGTTCGGCGATTTCGAACTGGGTTTGTTAATTGATGTTGTCAGGTTGATGATGAATAGTCAAGCTTACCTCTCGGAGACCTTGTAATCTGAATTGCTCGGCGCGTTTCTGGAGACGGGGTGCTGATGGGGTGATTGGGATTGCGGTGACGAAGGCGAGGATAGTCGCTAGGACTATGTAGAAGACGGAGCGCATGTTGATGACGACTACTGGGAAGTTGCTTCAAGAGTGGATGAATTGGTCTACTGTGTTGGAGATCAAGCCGTGACGTTTCTTGTGACCTTCAAAGCTTGTCGTATGTGTGACAACTTGCGTATGAAGCAAACAACCAGAACGTGATTTCAGAAGAGAGTGTGAACGAGTGTCTACCGTCAGTCAAGGTGGGGCGCAATATGGCAGAGTCGTTACTGCAGGACCTGCCCAGGATGATTAACGAGTGGAATCCGGTTCGCCTGTTGATGGCATTCTCGCAGTCATATACTTTATATACCTTCCGCGCGGCTGAGTGTCTATCAAACGTCGCCTACTATATTACCCTGTCTTTCCGAAACGGAGACCCGTGCGCAGAATGGGAAGGATCAGCGGCAAGGAGAAACATTTGCCTGCGTTCGCACCTTTGGCCCGATTGCTGGATCCTCTGGTGCGTGCAGGCTTTGCCCAAAGTAAGCATTCCTCGGTTGTCGCATGATTTCTGACAGTGGCAGAATGCGTGAACCGCGCGGGAGGTAGGGTTCCTCCGTCCTAGAACGCGTAACGTGCCTTGAGCTTGGCCCAAGAAAGGTCGGCAAACCGTTGACATGCAAGGGCAGACGTCACAGATGGCGAGGCAGGAAGGTCGGAGGCGGCGCGTGTTTTGCATCGCGTTCACGAGAGCGACCATGATCACGGAACTAGCATGTCAGCAGATATTCGCTGTTTCGCAAGGCATGGTAGGGTGCGGTGGTATGTTCATGCGCTTGCACTGGCGGCACAGACACCCGTTCTGGAACCATCAGCTCTGTGCACCCGCTCTTGATAACCTCCGCACGATAGCGTGAAAGAGCGGTTCATTCTGATGAGGCTATCGTGGGTTGTTTCTGACACGATTGCGTGTTCCACCAGCTCATTGGATGAGCGCGCAAGCAATGACATCCTGCGTACGCACTAGACATGACCACCTACCATGGAAGGTATGGTGGGAGGGACGGAAGAATCGTTGCATGAAACATTTGTCGCGGATAGACGATCTGGGGTGAGCACCCGATCGAGTAAGCACCGGGTGGCAAAGGGTCGGTTTCCAGCTTAGTGTGGATGTTCAGAGCACGCCTCGATGAGACGTCTTTCGAGATGCTGTGCAAACACGAAGCGATACATGCGTGCCTACTACACGAGAATTGAGATCAAAGGAGTTATGATGAGGAGTGATTTGACGGGATGACGTCACGCAATAAGCGAACTAAGCATGCCAAGCGCGGGCAATTGCATTGCTCGCCAGCCCCCGGCGCTTTCACCATCATGGACGCGAACCACCTGCCGGCTCGATAGCATAACATCGCATTGATATTGGAGGCTTGTGAGGCTTGGAACAATGGTTTACTGGAAAACTAGTTGCTATCTAGAACGGCACAGGACTCGACTTTTGGACACGTCTTGACCGCACCCTTGCTTGGGCCTATCGAAATACTACAACAGCCTTTCCCAATATGGATAAAACAACCTCCTCTGATCACACACTGCGCGCCGGATCAATCTCGCCTACATCGACAATTTCACTTCCTGGCCTTGATCTCAGTGTTATCCCGCCAATTGCGATACTAAGCGCGCATCTGAAGGACGAAGAAGACATAATCCTCAAGGAGACGTTGCGACAATACGATGCACCCCTTACCACTGATATCTCGAGGGCAAAGATCTTCATCGGTAAGGTAGGAACGAAAAGAAGGGCTGAGTTTGAATTGAAGTCTCGAAAACTGGTGGTAGAAGAAGCTGCTTCAGCCAAAAGGCCTGCCAGCCCCTTGAAGGCGAATCTTCCCTCGAGTAAGAAGCAAAAGCTTTCGGTACAAAAAGGGAAACCGGCTTTGTCTGAGAATGGCGATTCAACAACCGAAGAGGAAGACGTGGACGCCACCGAAACTGAAGATGAAGGGCCGCGTGATAAGCACACTCCTGCATCCTCGCCACCTCTAGCGCACTCAGACCATCATGAAGTGACAACTTTTGAAAATACCTCGCTCGAAGACATCGTCTGGGTGATCAAGATCGACTGGCTAGAAGCCTGTGTAGCTGCTGGACATCTGGCTCCCTTGGGTGATAGTCTGGTGTACAAGTGCAAAGTTCTGGACCGACCAAAATCACGTAATACCAAATCTGTCAAGGCAGTTTTCACTGCAGCAGCAAAGGCGGCACCTGTCTCCAAGACACTGCTTGCCACACGACCAAAGGCGGGGCACGACATATTAGACAGGGCCAAGACAGATGTTGCGGCCACCACAACGAAAGCTACATATCAGAGACAGCAATTTGGCAGCCGTGCGTCTCGTCGATTTGAGGGCAGAAGTTTTGCCCCCACTGCGCAATCGAAAGGTGAAATATTTGCCGCGCAAACCGCTCACCTGCTACAAAAAACCACAAGTGAGTATGAGGGTATAGACAGCGAATTTCCTCAGCCCCCGGATTGGGTGAAGAACCACGTGAAGTATGCTTGCCAGCGCTTCACGCCTGCGAATGGCCCCAATGAAGATTTTCTGGAACATCTCAAAAAAGTCCGAACAGCCAGAACGCTGATTGACGATGAAATCGGTGTACGCGCCTATTCGACCATTATCGCCTCTATTGCAGCTTATCCGCACAAATTGAGTCACCCTCGAGAGCTTGCTCAGCTTCCGGGTTGTGACGAGAAGACTGCTGTGCTATTCGTCGAATGGAAGAACACTGGCAGAATACAGGCTGTCGAGGACTTTGAGAATGACGAGGCGATGAAGGTCTTGCGGTCTTTCTACGACATTTGGGGTGTTGGCGCAAAGACTGCGCGACATTTCTACTACAACAATCATTGGACAGAATTAGACGACGTTATCGAATTCGGCTGGAACGAACTCGACAGAGTACAACAGATCGGAGTCAAGTACTACGACGAGTTTCTGGTACCCATACCGCGCCCTGAGGTCGAACAGATAGCGTCTGTTGTTCGAGAACACGCGGTCCAACTTCGGGATGATCGCATCTCCGTCACGATAGTGGGCGGCTACCGTCGTGGCAAGGCTGCTTCTGGCGACGTGGACATGATCGTGTCGCATCCAGATCTTGAGTCTACTGCTGGTCTTGTCAGAGATATTGTTGAGTCACTGGAGGAAGCACAGTGGATCACACATACTCTAACAATGAGTTTGACCAATACCAATAGAGGCCAGCATACGCTTCCATTCCGCTCAGCAAAAGGTGCAGGTGTCGGATTCGACACTCTAGACAAAGCGCTCGTCGTGTGGCAGAACCCAGCATGGCAAAATCGCGAGCAAGATCTCAGTGAGAACCCAAGTGCAAAGAATCCCAACATACATCGACGCGTAGACATCATCATAGCACCCTGGCGTACCGTGGGTTGCGCAGTCATGGGCTGGAGTGGTGGAACGACGTTTCAGAGAGATCTGCGACGATATGCGAAGGCAATCAAAGGATGGAAATTCGACAGCAGTGGTATCAGAAGCCGAACTTCCGGCGAAGCGATCTGGCTCGAGGGCCCGACTGGTGTGGATGGCACACCAGAAGATGCTGAGAAGGCTGTCTTCAAGGGCCTAGGACTAGAATACATTCCGCCAGAGTACCGCGTCACATACTGAGTGGTCACAACCACACGTTCATGGCTTCTCAATACAAGAGGCTCACAACGCCGCATGTCAATGCGACCTTCACTTGTTAGCCTTCATCCGGAGATCCCTTCACACAGATTTTCAGTACTACTACATACAACAGTTTTCAAGCACACCGACAGCAGCTGCGAATGATGTCTTATTTACTTCCACAGACCCACAATGCCCAAGAAACCACCTGAGCACAACGACAAGCCTAAGACCAGTAGCAAGAGCCGCAAGCGCATCCTTTTTATCATCTTCTTCTGTATCACCTTCTCCCTCGCAGCTACCATCTTCGCCCTGGGCACTCGTAAGTTCTACTGGTGGTACCAGACTACGCGACCTCTGAAACGTCAAAATGACGTCCTCTTCTACACCATAGAATTCCTCGTCATCAGTATCCCGATCTGCGCATACCCAGGTATGCTTGTCGCGACGGTGTATTACTGGAGGAAGAAAAGCAAGTACGGAGAGTTCCAGATCCAAATGCGGAGGAACCGAGATGGACGCGGCTACTGGATCGACCCAAGCGACGTCGAGGATAAGAAGAAAGAAGGCGAGGCGTCAAAGGTGAACAAGGAGATTACGAGGATGGCGGCGCAAAGAGGCGTCGAGGTGCTGAAGGAGAAAAGGACCATCAAGTTCCAGGATGAGTTACCTTTGCCGGCGAAGATGCGTAGGAGTATACTGTCAACATTCAGTGGTACTACTGTTGCCGCTGCCGCACCACAGATCGAATCGTCAATCACAACGCCCAAATACTCCTCGGTCAATCCTTACGGGTGGTTCCCGAACGCTGAGGAGCCGGCAGCGCCGCAGCGACAGTTCGGGCGATCAGACTCGGTGAAGACGTGTGAGGATAGTCCGGTCGTGAAGAAGGGAGTTACTGATATTTGGTTGAACAATTTTGGTAAAAAGGCGTCCGGAGAAAAGACGGTCGGGAGGAATACGTGGGATGAGGATGTGGAAATGGGGACTTTGGGGAAGAAACCTTTATAATCTATTGCTATTTACAGTTTCCAGGCATGAATACAATCAGCATTGTTATCAATTTGAAGTATTACACCGAAAGTTTGCTGTCCACAGACTTTCCCTCATCTCCCTGCTAGTCAGTGCTGAAACTTGGCACTGGTGGTGTTAAGTGTCTGGCGACAATATCTGCTGCAGCTGTGTTGTTCGCCTCTAGTCCTGATCAGCAGTGAATACCTCGGAGGACGACAAGCGTGTGTCGGCGAAAGTGTTTGGGCGTGCAAGGTTGTAGAACGCTAGAGAACGGTGATGCAGGCGCGTTGCAACCACGCACGTGGGTACGGCGTGGGTCTAGGAGCCCAAGCTTCGACGTCATCCATGTCGAGGGAAAGCCTCTCTTCGCAGCCATGCTTAGTTCTTGCACCCATCAACACGCCCTCGTCCACACAACCGATGGACCTGCCGATCTCCGTGAATTGCCATTGTGACAGGTTGCAGCTTTAGCGCAGTGCGGAGGAAGCCATCGTAACATTTACAGACAAGGAGACGCGCAAGGATCTGTCACAATGGCCTCGAGCTCTACGGAAACCACTCCCCTAATCTCGTCTCTGTCGAACGCGACTCGACCACCAGTGTCGCCGAAACCACCAAAGCCACAACGGACCGTCACGTTCAACCCCACGGTGCAGTCATCAACTGTCGTCCCGCCGTCGCGATCCTTTTCCAATGGCAGCCAGGCTTCGGGCGCCGCGGCCGGCCAGCCGATGCTATCGTCCCTCAATAGCAAGCTGCGAAGACGAAACAGCTCTGGCGCGCCTGTAAAAGGACTGCCTGCGCCCAAGATCGGCCCCCAGCGAACTACAAGGACCGCGCAGAAACTGAAGCTGCTTCCGGACCCAGAGAACGACGACGTCGAGGACGAAGAGAGCGGACGCGACGTATACGTGCAATACACGAGAATCAAGGATCCGACAGCGAGGAGAGATGCCGCGCGTCTAGGTAAAGCAGACAGAGAGCGGTTGCCCAGAGTCACGGCATACTGCACTTCTGCCTCGTACAAATTGGACGACCTGATGCGCTTCCTCAAAGGCAAACAGAAGCTCAGAGGTGCTCTTCCCAAACGCTTCGACGAGTGTATATATTCTCCATACAGCTACGGGACGAAGGGATCGGTAGATGTCGCAAGTACATCCGTGCTTGGTGGAGGTTCCGAAGAGAGGCCCAGGAGATTCTCGGACAGTGCCATCGAGGTCGAGACCGAGAACCAGAGGAGACGAGACAACCTGATCGACTTGCACGACGAGGGCGACGCGCCAGATATTGACATGGACGAGGAACCACAAAGGCCCAGAAGACCTTCGATGACGCACGCAGATTCAGACCCCGCCATGGAGGTGCCAGACTTTGACATTCAAGTCCACACGCCAGAAGTATTCCTGTTCGAGTACGGTACGGTCGTGATTTGGGGTATGACACTCCAGGAAGAGAAGCGCTTCCTGAAAGAAATCGCCAAGTTCGAAGTCGACAAGCTAGGCAAGGACGAAGTTGAGACGGAAGAGTTCAACTTCTACTACACACGCGAGTACCAGGCCCGGATATACAACGACTTCATTAGTCTGCGCGAGAAGAAGAACTACATGATCAAGCTTGCCATCAGCCACGGCCTCTCCCAAAGTGTCAAGACGTCGTTATTCGAGGACCTTGTTGACAACACCATCGAGGTTACCAAGGACATTCCCGAACAAATCGCGAGCTCGGGCAAAATCAACCTCAACAAGAAGCAGATCAACATGCAGATTGGAGAGCTGTTTATTCTGCGCATCAGTATCCATCTACAGGGTTCGGTGCTCGACGCGCCCGAGCTCATGTGGGCAGAACCGCAGCTCGACCCCGTTTATCAGGCCGTAAGAAGCTATCTGGAGATGGATCAGAGAGTCAGTCTATTGACGGAAAGACTGAACGTTATTGGAGATCTGCTGGCCGTTCTCAAGGACCAGCTGACGGTCACACATGTAAGTGCCTCGACATGGTTCTCATTCCTTCTTACTGACTTGACCAGGGTGAACTGCTCGAATGGATCGTCATCATCCTCATCTTTGCTGAGGTCCTCGTTGCCGCAATCAATATCTTCGTCGACCTACATGCGGCAGACTAGACATGGGTTTGTTTGTACATATATGTGTGCTCTTTTGTGTACGATACTTTGTAATCAGGCTGGAGTTTGTTTGAGCTTCAGCAAAACAGTTTACTTCGTATCACGGCGTTCAAAATAAAGCGCTGCAACACGGTATCTGGAATTTTTTTCTTCTCTCTCGATCGGACTAAGATAGTCGCCATACGAGCAGTTAATTGGATCATCACATAGTTTCTTGTAGCTAGATAGAGTCCTCGAGACATCATCTTTTGCGAATACTACAGATTTCAGGGACATGATGACATCGTAATAGTGCATGTGACAAACACGACGAATGGTGACACTCAGACGTCCCCACCGGTCAATTTGTCAGAGAAATGCCGGGTTCTGGGATAAGACGTTTCCCCCAAGATTATTCAGGAGGATGGTGTAGGCGTGACGCTGCGGATGTTCGGGCGGACTTGGCGGCTCCGCTGAACCCTGCGTGGATGCTACTACCCCATTTCTCGAAGCCGCCGGCTGGAGCACTAGACTTCTGTACCTCCTTCACCCGTCCTCGCCCATAGTCTCAGCGCCCCAATGAGGAGCCGTCCCAGATGAGTTGGAATCTACTCGAGCGCTTCATAGAGTCGGACCACTTCAACACGGACCCGTCGCTAGCAGTGGCCTATCTTGCGTGAGTAGCAGTCTGTCCAGACCCCGAAGCCACTGCACCGCCGCACCTGTGACCGCGTGCCCGCACACATGATACAGAGCATCCACTGACGCTGCCGCACGTGCAGACGCTATGCAGACCATGTCGGAATCCACTACGTGCTCTGCTCGAAGCTGCGCCAGTTTGCGTACGAGGAGCTCGAGTTCTTCCTGCCGCAGTACGTCGCCGCACCCATCTCCCGCACCCGGACGAATGAGAAGCTTACATAGCGGGCCACAGACTATGCCACCTGCTCATTAGCATCGACAATGAGTCCATGGCACTGGAAGAGTTCATAATAGACCTGTGCGAAGAGTCCGTCAATGGCGCACTGCTGGTGCGTTTCCGGACACAGTGTCTCCTGCGCGCACGTGTGTGGTACTAACATGTCCCGCAGACCTTCTGGCTGTTCCAAACCTATCTGCACGACCTCGCCAGCGCCCCGAACTCGATCGCCTTCAAGACGTGCCGCCGAATCTACAACCGCGTGCAGCGCATTGTCTTCGGGTCCGCCGAGCCCCAGCGCAGGGAGAAGATCAAGGAGAATGCATTGCCCGTGACCGTGCTCTCCAGTCTGGTGCTGGCGAGCATAGCAGCGCCGTTCCTGCCTGCCCATGCTGGCCCACTGGCGATTGCGCAGGCGCGAAAACCACGGCCCATAGAGGACATCATCTCCGACAATGTACAGACGGCCAAGGTGGGGAGGAGCAAGACAGTCACAGCCGGATCACCACGCACGAAGCAGAGAAGAACAACCCAGCAACATTCAGATCCCGAGGATGGACGCCTTACCAAAGCTGCTTCCCCACGACCGCCCAAGGAGCTCCCACGAGAAACGAATGACCTGAGGAGACAAGCTGCGCGACCCACCAACCCCGTACGGGCACCCTCAGCCCAGCATAGACCTTCGCTGCTGGCAATGGACCCCGAAGCAAGACTCAGCTCATCTTCGCTTCCCGACTTCCGCGATCCGACATCCTCTCCGTTGCCCACGCCGCCTGCCACCGCTGGGCTAGGACCAAACCCAATCACCCTCATCCCTCGGAAGCACCACGGACAGCCACCCAGGCCGCTCACGCCGACTGCACTGTCTCGCGCGCAGAAGATTCGCTTGCTGCGGTCCAACTACTTCCGCAGTGAGACGCAATTCTTGAGTGCTTTGGAGGACATCTCGAACCGCTTGGTTATCGTGCCGAAACCTGCACGATTGAGTGCTCTAAGGGCAGAGCTTGCCTTGATAGCGCAAGACTTGCCTGCTGAGGTCGATATCCCCATGCTCTCGCCGCCCACACTCAAGGATGGAATCGCATCGCAAAGCCGGCACCACCGGATCGTGCGCATCAACCCAGCAGAAGCGACCAGTCTCAACAGCGCCGAACGAGTGCCGTACTTATTGATGGTAGAAGTGCTCGAGGAGGATTTTGACTTTGACCCCGACACGGAGCAAAACCAACAATTACTGGAGAAACTGATGTTTGAGAAGGGGACGTCAAGACGGCGGCTGTTCGACATAACGAATGCTGAATATTTGGCCTTTGACAGAACCCCACCCAACGGCTCTGACAGCGTCTTTGAGCCTGCCACTGGTGACCTTGGCAATACTTCGCTCATTGGAGGCACAGAGGAAGATGATATTGCGTCTGGCATGGCGCGAGTGACATTACCACCAGCCGCAGCGAACGGCAAAGCCACTGCACCTAGGTCGTCGAGTGGAGCAAACACCTTGTCTTCAATGGCCACCATATCCACCCCTCGCACATCAGATTCAGCGATCAGTAGAGCCAACAGTCCTGCTCCAGCAAGGAGAATGACTATACCCGCCAACATGAACCGAGGCAACCAGGGTGCTGATCAGCCAGACTTCACTGCTCTTGCAACGCACATGCGGACCGCGGCGCAAATGCTTGCACAACTGGAAGCAAGTGGCTCGAAACGGCCGAAAACGGAGGTTGCAGCAATCAAGGCCAAGATCATCGCTAGCATGCAGAGCTTGGAGGAACAGAACTTCATGGCCGAAGATCAAGGACCTACTTTTGACACGATCATGGCCGAGGCAGATCCAACGGCGATCACTGGAGAGCCAGAAGAACTCGATGGACTACCAGTGGGAACAAATTCTGGTGCAGGTGCTGCGCGAATGGAGAACGACCTCAAGACTGGTGGTATGCGAAGAAAGGGCGACCGAGACGACCCAAGTGCTGCTACATTTGGTGAGGAGTGGAGTGCAAAGAGGGAACGCATACGACGATCATCGCCTTACGGTCAGATGAAGAACTGGGATCTCATCAGTGTCATTGTCAAGACGGGTACAGACTTGCGGCAAGAGGCATTCGCGTGCCAGTTGATACAAGTCTGCTCGAGGATTTGGGAAGAGGCTAATGTGCCGGTCTGGACGAAACGCATGCGCATCCTCGTCACCGGCGAATCCTCTGGTCTCATCGAAACCATCACGAACGGCGTCTCGCTCCACTCGCTGAAGCGCAGCTTAACACTTGCTAGTATTGCGGCTGGTACTAATCCCCGGAAGCGCATTGCAACACTCCAGGACCACTGGCGCAAGACTTTTGGCGAGCCGGAGTCCGAAGCTTACATCGCAGGCGTCAACGCTTTCACGCGTTCGCTAGCCGCGTACAGTGTCATAAGCTACGTACTGCAACTCAAGGATCGCCACAACGGCAATCTTCTCATTGACAATATGGGCCACATCATCCACATCGACTTTGGATTTATGCTGTCCAACTCGCCGGGTAGCATGGGTTTCGAAGCTGCGCCTTTCAAGCTCACGCAAGAATACGTCGATGTACTAGGCGGTGTCACAAGCCCCGCGTTCGAAGAGTTCAAGGCTTTATGCAAACATGCCTTCCAGGCACTAAGAAAAGAGGCAGAGCGCTTGATTATGTTGGTCGACCTGATGAGCAAGCAGAGTAAGATGGACTGCTTCAAGGCCGGTGCGGCGAGTGTAACAAATAGTCTCAGAGCGAGACTGATGTTGCATTTGAGTAAAGAGGAGGCAGAAGTTTTTGTGGAAGAGTTGATTGCGAAGAGTGTGGGGAGCTATTATACCCGACTGTAAGTGGCATGATGAGATGGAATGAAGAGCAAACAGCTAACATGGCGATAGTTACGACACATTCCAATACCGCACACAAGGCATTTACTGAGGCCGAGTATCATGTTTTTTGCTATTTGAGCATTTAAATCTCCGCGGGCAATCATTGCATAGGCTAGGAGCAGCGGCTTGGATAGAAGCGTTAACGTATCAATATTGAAAGAAAGCATTGTCATGACCATTTCACGGTTCCATCAAATTCTTTATCCGAGATCAACAAGGTATTGCAGATTAACCCAAACCCAAAAATCTCACGCCGACCAGAACCAACCGCCTCAGAAGCTCAATTCGCAAAAGGCGGCTTCTCCCTCGCCTCCCCCTCCGCCACCGCCTCCTGCCTCTTCGCTGCCCCTTTGGCCACCAACCCCTCATTATGCATCACATGTCCCGCTTTCTCCATGACTTTGCCCAGCGTCGAATCTACACGACTTCCGTTAGCCCATGCCCCCTTTAAAACTCTCTTCATTTAGGTGGATTACTTACCACCGCTATGCGCAAACCCCCCCGTCTTATTCCCATACCCGGCCCCACCCGTACTCCCACTGCCCGCGCGCGACTCGCTGGCGCCCGAGTACGGCGCCGTGTCGGCGTGCAGGCCGAAGCGGAATTCGTCGTTGGAGGGGGAAGCGGAGGGGAGGTCGGATTTGTTGCCTTGGTGAGTTAGTTGGTAGTCTTGCATTCTTTTGTTTCGAGTAGTGGGCGATGAAATTAGGGGCTGGTAGGAGGAGGAGGTGGAGGTAGAGATGGGATAATGCGTGAGAAGAAATATGGTACCGAAGCCTGCGCCGCCTGTTGCCCCGGAGCCGTATTTCGGATGTGCGTCCGAGTAGGCGTCGCGCGAGGTGTGGAGGCCGAGACGGGTACTTTCGTGTGCGTCGGTTAGGGACGAGGGGAGGGACGTGGGTGCTGTGCGGTTGCCGTAGCCTGCCATGTTTGAAGTGATTTCCGGTAGGTTGAGTGATGCAATGAAGTGAGTATGTGTTATGGGCTATGAGAAGGAGAACTGTGTAGATCTTTGGAAGAAAGTCTTTGGCATTCATACGCTGTGGTCATACTATTGGCTATATACCCAGTCCTCATTCCCATCTGCCGTAGATAGTAGGGAGGCGTCGAAGCAATGGTCAAGCCTCATGACGTCTTTTGGCTTGGGAAGCTTACTTCTTCCCACGTGGATCAGAGGGATGTAAGCTCTGTAAGAGGTTCGCAGACGCTGCCAAGCTGCATGCTTGATATTCTTCCGCGACTTGATTGTGGATCGGGTGAGGGTGGCCAGGTGCGATCGTGATGAGATCTGAGCATTTCGAACAGTGCCAAAAGACGTGAAAGTTGCTGGAGCATATGTGCAAATGAAATGGGGTCCCTGAGCCAAAATCCGGTACATATATCCAAGTAGTTGCCATCACAAGGAGGAGGAATTTGGTGGTGTGCAAATGGTCATTGACATCGAAATGCTCCTGATTCGCTCGATTACTTTAGGTCGCTAGCTGAGGCGAGAGATAGCTGGATTCCAGAACCGGCCGCCTTTCGCTGATCACGATAAGAAGTGTTCTGCGTCACTGGCCCTCTATCCTGGGGTATCGCACATCCTGCGCGTGTTCAAATGAAAAGTCCATACGCCAAGTGTCCAGCTACGCCAACAATGCATGCAATATGAGGCTGAGAAAGGAAGTAAAACGCAATGACCTCATCGAACATACTTGGACTATTTGAACGTTAGTCGCGGCTCGGTGCGCTAAGTTCGCGTACACTTACCATGAACTTCTTGTGGAAATCGGAGCGCAGCATGTCGTTGATGAACTCTTTCTTCTTATTGCGGTCTTCGGTGCCTCGTGCTTGGTTCTTGAACACAACATCGTCGTCCCATCGGCGCTTCATGGCGAAGTCGCGGGAGTTGAGCAACGGATTGCCTCTTGCGACATCAATTTCGCGCTGTTCTTCTTCCTCTGCCGCGCGCTCTGCCTCCTCCTTGGCCTTGGCTTCGGCACGCTCCTTCTTGATCTTCTCGAGTTCGCGCATGAGGGCTGCCGTTTCGTCTTCTTCGTCCTCGTCACTGGGCACGGTTAGTAACATACTTGAACGTGATGTGTGAGAACCTACTCCTCGTCGCTACTTCCACTGTCTTCACTACTGTCGTCCGCATCAATGTCCCGGTACTGCTCCAGTACTTCTATACGTCGCCGTTTTGCCGCTGCTTCATCTTCTTCGCCGTCTTCTGCCGCCGGTACTGCATCGATTTGGCGTTTAGACCCACCGCTAGTGTCCATGGCAGATTCTGGCTCGACATAGGTGCCGTTCTTCTTCGCTGCGTGACGCGCTTCAGCCTCCAAAAGCTCTGCGCGGAGGTCGCGCTTGTATGCATCAGCTTCGCCACCCTGTCCAGGCTGCCGTCTCTTCAATGTTGTGTGTGCAGGAAGCAGTCGCTGATGGTAGGCGGGTCCGCGCTGGGCTTCTTTTCCGCGTGCGGGATCGAACGTTGGTCTATGGGCGGTCGTCATGGTGTCGTAGAATTAATGAACGGTTTTGGAGACGCTTGTGGTTGGTTTCGGAAGTCTTGCGTGTCGTTGACGGTGACGGTTGCGCGATTAGATGGAGAGATGGGGAAGCTGCTTTCGAGATGGAAAAGTCGCGCTAAGCCTTGCGACCGCGCCTTCACGTTTCTCCGGCCCGCCGCATTTTCAGTCCCCGCAAAGGGCAACCACTACCTTGATAACAAGCACTTGTACTCATTTTCTCAGAGGTAAGATGCCTCGCGAAGCTGAGATCTCTATCAATGAGCGCGAGTTCATCAAGCAAGCGCTGCAAGAGCAGATCCGTCTCGATGGGCGAGCCTTCGACGCATTTCGCAAAGTAGAGCTCACGTTTGGAGAAGAGTACGGCGTTGCAGATGTGCAGTTGGGCAAGACGAGGTATTTCTTGGATGGGATAGGCATACGTTCAAGCTAACACGTTCAGAGTCGTTGCGCGCATTTCCATAGATGTGACAACGCCACTACCTGAGCGCAAGTTCGATGGTGTCTTTCAGATTGTCACAGAGTTCTCGCCAATGGCTTCTCCAGCATTTGAAATTGGTCGGTATGTACAGTCAGACACAGAGCAAGATACACGCGCAAGAATTAGGGAAATTGACCCCAGGCAGACCAACAGACGCCGAAGTCATTCTTTCGCGCATACTAGAGAAAGCCATTCGCCGCTCGAATGCCCTTGACACCGAGTCACTTTGTATTATTGCGGGCCTGAAATGCTTCGCCCTACGCGCCGACGTACATGTCATCGACCATGACGGTGGACTCATCGACGCTTCGTGTATTGCGGTCATGGCTGCTTTGCAACACTTTCGAAGGCCGGACGTACTAGTCGAGGGAGAGAAGGCAACAGTCCTCAGTGTCCGCGAGCGCGATCCCATCCCACTATCCATCCTACACCAGCCGCTTTGTGTGACCTTCTCGTACTTCGCAGAGGGCGAGCTCTTCTTGGTCGACGCAAATTTGGCTGAAGAGCAGGTACGACAAGGAGAGATTACTATCACAATGAACAAGCACGGCGAGATATGTCAAATTGCAAAGTATGGAGGAGCAACAGTGAACCCACTGGCCATGTTGCAGTGCACCAACGTCGCCCTGCAAAAGGTCAAAGAGATGAGCAAGTTCATTCAGCAGAAATTGGACGAGGACGCAAAGCGAAGGGATGCAGGAGGTCTGATGGCCGAGCTCAGTGCTGAGAATGCCAGGTGAGCGGTAATGGAACAGTAGGAGTGTTACAAAATCGACGACTCTGGCCCGGCGGATGGTCCGCCCTATACCACCGTGCGTCTACATAGACCGCGACATCTGGTCCGACTCTTTGTAAGAGTGGGTAGAGGTCTAGAAACTCTAGTCTGGAGCGCGGGAAGATGCGCCATGACCAGAGGACGGTCGGCATCTGGGAGAAGATATACAAACACTGTCTTGTACAGTATGTTGCCGATTCAGGCGATTGCAAGACGATAAGGCACGCGTAGATAGTGGCTAAAATGAAGAGCTGCAATTCAACAATCAAGACGATGTACAATTTGCAATCTCTGTAGCTGAATCTTTGCGACTATTTGCATATTTTTTTATCCTAATCTAGGGCTGAAAGGGTAGGATGTTGCTTCGTCATCCGTCGCGATTCAAATGCGATGCCTCGGCTTCGCCGAATCCATTTGCAAGTGCAAAGACCACTAACACGATAGACGTCTCCACATGAGTTGGTCGAGACTATGCTGTGTTGATAATTCCCAGCATCGGCCGAGAACATTCACATGTAAATATATATCATTGCTAACGCCCAACGTTGCTTAACGGTAATCTGAAACTGCGATTACATATTCAACATTGCGTCATCGCGTCTGACGTCTTCGATCTCACCACTTCCGCCTTGTGTCGCGTGTTACTGTTACCTACTTTCGCGACTATTTTCACGTGTTACCTTTCACAAACACCCACAGCACAGCATGTCTTCCAAATTAGTGCCTTCCGACCCGGCTAAGGTCATGGTTATTCGCGATGTCGTTCCCAGACAGATTACCACACTTTCTGTGCCGTTTTGGCGCTTTGGCAGGGTGAAGATTGGAGGACGAGGCACAATTGGTATGCGCAACTCATTGCATATCGCGAGCTCTGTTGACTTTTGTTATAGTGCGCCTTCAATCCGGTGCCCTTGCCGTCTTCTCGCCCGTCGCATTGACCGACGACGTAAAGTCCAAGGTATCCGAGTTAGGAGAAGTCAAGTACATCACCGCGCTCGATGCTGAAGTACGCTCGCCCATTTCTATGCCTTCAACCTGCACACGCTCACAAATAAACAGCACCACATCTTCCTCGGCCCCTGGCACGAAGCCTACCCAACCGCCCAAGTAATGGGCCCCGAAACACTCCCCGAAAAGCGCGAAAAACAAGGCAACGAGAAAGTCCCCTTCGCCCATGTTTTCAAAAAGTCCGCCCCCGTAACCTCGATATCGCCCGAATTCGACGCAGAGTTCGACTGGGAATATGTGCCCTCGCACATAAACAAGGAAATCGTCTTCCACCACCGCCCCTCCAAGACACTCATACAAGCAGACATGATGTTCAATTTGCCCGCGACCGAGCAGTTTAGCAAAACAGGCGTGGATCCGAATAGCGGTATCTTGACAAAGATCTTTGGCGCGCTGCAGAGTACGGCGGGCACGGCGGTGTGGCAGAAACGCACGATTTGGTATGGGACGAGCAGTGGGGATAGGAGTGCGTTCAATCAGAGTGTCGCGAGGATTAACAAGTGGGGGTTTGAGCGAATTGTGCCGTGTCACGGGGATGTTATCGAGAGAGAGGGGAAGAGTGTGTGGGAGAAGGTTTTTGCGTGGCATTTGGAGGCGGCGAAGAAGGGAGAGTAGATGTGGAGGGAGGAGGATGTGGGTGCGGAATGGGGATGATACCATGTTTCTTTGTGAGTGTAGAGTGTGTATGAAGTAATAATATGTTCTCACATTGATTATCTTGGCTCTGGCATGATTTACAGGATTGGTCACGAGATTAGCATGCACCAATATTGTACTTTTTGTCCATTGAAATAGGATGCTTTTTAGGCAACTTCGGGAGAGGAGAGTAGACTAGGTTTCAGACGTTTCGCATGACTCAAAATGCGCCCCATACAGCAGTTCTCATTCCTCTGCTTCTGTCAAACCTCATTATCGGTTCTTTGCTTTTACACTGGTTGAACAGTGCCCTCACACAACCGACCTCCACGAACCTTTACCTCCACTATTCGACCTACTCGAGCTTATCTTTATCGTCTCTGATAGCCTGCCCATAGTCCCCCGCATTTGGCGTCCTCACAATGGTATGCGTATGATACTTTGCCGGCTCCTTATTCGTCAAAAACACGCCCGAATGATGATCCAACTCAACCAAAATAACTGGACTCTGGATGCGGAAGTAAAACGGATCCTCGTCACCAAAGCCACCAATCCAGCAGAAGTGCGTTTCGTCGAAGTGCGACTTTATTTGCGCGAGCTTCAGATCGCGGGACTTGGTAGGATGGTACAGCAGGAACTCGTGGCAGATGTCGAGGATGAGCTGCTGCTGGTCGGAGGTGAAGGCTGAGACTGGCACGCCTTCATACGGCACGATGCGGTTGTCGCGAAAGGCGCCGCAGCGATGGCGCTGGTCGTCCGGGCCCCAAGTGTCCGAGATCAGTTCATCGCGCTTACTCTCATCATTGTTCGAATTTCCATAGACCTGCTTCATGCCCTCATCCCTCAAATTCTTGAACACCTGCGCTTTCTGCTGTTGCTCCTTGCTCAGACTTTGCATCAGCTTCAAGCCGAGATTGCCCTCTTTGTGCAGGATCTCTGTGCCTTTCCATTCGCCGGCGTCGATGATGTTGGGCTCGGCGCCGGTGAATGATGGAGAGAGAATGACTTGAGGGCCTTTGAAGAAGCAGGCAATGTCGAGGTGGTGGCCGTAGAGGAGCCAGCCCCATGGCTGTGAGGGGGAAGAAGAGGGCGTACCGAAGAGGAGGAAGTTGTAGGAGTATTTGTTCATGATGTTGGGGAGCTTGACGACTTCGCCTAGGAAGTGGTTGACACGCATGGCGGAGAGTGCCTTTTGGTAGCCTTCTGGTGACAAAGAGGCTTCGATGACGCTTAGGATTGACTGAGCTGTTTGCTCTGGCACTGTACACTGTAAGTCCAAAACTATTATAGTACAGATTTGTAGACATACCTTCTTCCAGCCTGAGACCAAAAGGTCGCAGCAGAAACTCCGGATTACTCCAAGCTCGCCACTCTCGTGCATTGATCTGATAGCTAACTTTCTTTCTTTGGTCTTCGCTCAAGCCACCGAGTAAATGTTCTGCTTTCTGCACGACGTTTCCTATATCGAAACCCTCATCTCTTGCTTGGTACAGCCCTTCTCTTACTTTTCCATCATTAGTCACACCCTTGTATGGCTCCTCAAGAAGCTTTTCCCAGACTTTAGTCAAGTCGTACAGCCACGGTGGCGCGCGATTGTCTTGCATTGACTGCACATACTCGTAGATATTTTGCTTAGCTGCAGATGTGAATCTTGGACTAGTGAGGTCGGGCAAATGTGCGCGAAAGCCAGCTGACGCCTGGTCGAAAGAGTTCTTTCGTTCCATGTTCTATAGAGCGATGCTCCTTCAGCTTCTGATGTCTTCCTTATCGCTTAGTTGTCGTCTAGACTTCTAAGCGGCCTTCAGGTACTGATCCAATCGCTCCCTAGTGTATTGCGCTGCTCGGATGAATGCTCTTCCTCTCTCCTCTAGAACTTGAAGAGATACGTTCACAAATGCTTAACAGCGAGACCGTGGGTTCTGGAAAGTTTTGGAAATGCAGCAAGTCTCTTCCAGAGAACGTTTAGTGTGAAATGGGTTATGGATGATGATGTGAAGACTGACGAAGAGTCGCCGCTGTACCCACATGTACCCCACAACAGCCTCACACCACTAGCGCGGGGTCAGCAGCCCCTCAATGCACACGCAATGTCTTCCCGCTGCTGTCATGTCATCTGAAGTACCGGATCAACACTTGTCCAAAAGAATTCGATTTAATTCTACCTTAACAGTGAAATAACATCACGATCAATCGACAAAAGCTGCTAAAGCATCTTCCCGTCGAACGGACGAAAGCACCATGTCACAGCAACGCAAGGGACCATTTCGGCTCGTTACCGTCAACACAGCTCCCGAGCGCGCGAAAAAGCTCATTGGACGCATGATAGAGAGTCTCCAGGACCGTTATGACATTGAATATGTCGCAAACTGCTCATGTACTTCATGACATTCCAATTGGCAGTTACCTCATTGCTGACCACCTGCTATAGCCATTGAGGAAGTAGCACCAACAGTACGGGAAAAGCAACCTAATGTACTCTTCTCCGCGTCCATGTGGACTGCAGAGCAAGCAGCGGAAATTCGAGGTATTGCAGAGAAAGAGAGACCCGGTATCAAGACACACGCGATACCACAGGGGTTGCAGGTTGAAAGAGGCCCGGATGCAATTGTCGAATACTTGGTAGAAAAGGTACCAGCACTTCTAGACAGTATCGAGACCTAGACGTGCATCTTAGCATGATGGGGCATGTGACTATATTACCATTATGTAAAAGATATATACGGGCCTCCGATATGTTGTCAAGTCTAGTACAGGCCGCTGCACTCCCAGTTCTTAGCATCATCGACATCTCCTTCGCCTGTGTACTGTGCCTGCTTGGGGTACATGCAAAGCGGTCTTTGCCTTGTTACCGCGTTCGCAGCAGTGTCGTTCGCGTATTTGGTTCCAACGACGTATTCTGGAACTTCTCCCTCCTCTACCCATGCCATCATTGCCATCAACACATCGTGCTCCTTGTTCTCAAATCCTGGCGTACTATAGACGGTGCTACCAACAACAGGCTGTTGGTTGGGTCCCGCAAAGTACCAAGGCGCGTTCGGTGCACCAGGTAGCGAACCTGAACAATGCCCCATACCGGGTACCAGGAAGAATTTATAGAAAGAGTCCACGTCGATACCCTCAGGTGCGAGAGTGCGTAGGATGTGGTTGTAGTAGTAAGGTGTTGAGCCGGTGGGAATCAGGGCATCGCTCATTCCGTGGTAGGACAAGATCTTTCCACCACGCGCATGATACTTGGACAGATCAAAGCCCACAGTAGCCTTGCCGGGATTGATGGAGTCGCTCAAAGCAATGATGTCATCAGTGTAGTCGGTGTAGTTCCATGATGGGCCCTTGCCAAGGAAGTACTTGACATAGTCCGAGCCCAAAGGATTAGGTGGGCCGCTGATAAGTGCAGGTTGACCTTCGCTGCTGAGCCAGAATGTCGGGAAAATAAGCTTGTTTCCCTCTCCGATATAGTCGGTGAAAAGGTTGTACACTGTGTCGATTTGAGGGCCAGTCAAGCATTTCGTGCTGTTCGCGCCAGCAGCCGCACCACAAAGAAGAGCCTCGGGGCGGAAGTTGCAACCTTGCGGGTCCGATACAAGGCCATCGGTAAGACCATCCTGTGGATCGCATTGCTTGATCACTTCAGCGTTGAGGACGGAGAAGAGAGCAGGCGGAATGTGGTAGTCCGCAGTCGCCGGCAAGTTGTAGAGTGCGACACGGGCTGTCCAGGGTTGCATGTGCGCAGTCCACCAAGCAGGTGCTCCAGCAACGATACCGTCAAAGTCCTCGGGGTAGAATTCGGCTTCTTTCAGACCCTGACGACCGCCAGTTGAACATCCAGAATAGTAGCTGTAGTGAGCATTTTGTTCATAATACGCAGCAGTGATGGCTTTCGCAGCAACGACAGAACCATGCATAGCAATATGTCCCCAGTTTTCCACTCTTTCCGGGTGTTGATAAGCCCACAATCCATCGAAAAGAGAAGAGTTATGGCCAGTATCTGTCGACATCACGGCGAATCCGTAACGTACTCCCGCGCCCTACTAGATCAGTCATTGTTCATCGCTCTTGATGTCAATACGCACCATATCAAGGTAGTTGATGCCACCACCAAAACCACCGTTGCCGACGGCCAGAAAACGTTCGTTCCACTCATCGGGCAAGAAAAGACCAAAGCCGTACGTTGAGTTGCCGATCGAGTTGACCTGCACAGACACCGCGCACAAACTGGGAAGATTCTGAGGGTTCTCTGGGTACCCAGTCGTGCTGTTTGGTACTTGGAACGTAGAGTTGGCCGCGAGGGAGTAAGCAAAGTTTACGCTTGCGCCGCTGGGAAGTGCAGCCTGGATACTCCCAGGGTCGCAACGTGCATTCGCGGCGCCCACGAGCGCACCCAAGCTCAGCAAAGTGTTTTGCTTCATGATAGTATCCAATGGGCGCGAAAATTGTCTGGTCGCCGCAAGTGCTTGAGTGTGCTATTCAAGACGTGAAGGGATGGGAGCCCATAAACCCGCTGGTATTCAGAGATTGTACCTCGAAACGACACTTCCTGGCGAAAAGCAAGGCTCGCGAGGCGCCTCTGCATGTGGAAGGATACCCTTGTACTTCTAGCATCGTACGGACTCCCGAGCTATAGATTCGCTAGCTTCTAGTCAAGAGGGGCGGGAAAGCGACCAGAAATCGCAGGAGGACCGGCCAGCCATTCTTCCGTCATTCATATGTCCATCGCTGCCGTGTTTGAAGGTCCGAGCGCTTCTGGAGAATAAGGATCAACGGCCCTTTTGCAGATTGCTCACGCGAAACATCTTGCCCAGGCTTTTCCCTCATCTCCGACATGATTCATGCCTAACAATACCTTCTCCAGATCGAGGATTTTTGAGGAACCAACTTCTGTAAGACGCAACCTAGGGATGCTGATAAGTGAGATCAAGAAACTTCCGATGTTTAACCGGAAAGGTGGGGCCAGGGTCGATTCGGGCCGGCAACGCCCCACCACCACCTTCGATCATCGGCAGATGGAAGATGAGTTCGCATAGCTTGAGATGATCAACTTCCATTACAGAACGCGCGATGCGTCTTCCATCTGGAGCTTCTCTGCGCGTTGCGGCTCTCTTGATCGTCCAATCATCGTTACTCTGTGTCGCTGCAGTCTAGAAGCAATCCTGGATGCGGTTAAGCATTCATCCACATGTGTGGCTGACTGTCAGATTGGGGAATAGCTTGGCGCGAGGCTTCTCTCCACCCGTGTGAATGTGGGGATATAGAAACGTCTGGAGAAGCATCCACAGCAGCGTCTGTTAAGAACATCATTTCCTGATCTTGCAGTATTGTCTCTGATACACGTACACCCTTGACTGTAATCGTTGCGCTATACATATATATTTGGAACAAAATCTTTGACTTTAATACACTATGGCGGACAACTTGAGGATAGCGGTTATCGGAGCTGGTAAGTCCCCCATCCATATGCTCGCCTACAACAGGAACTGACAGCATGAAGGCATGGGTGGGCTCGCGGCAGCCCTCGGTCTGGCAAAAGCTGGCCACAAGAACATTACCATCTACGAGCATGCACCGAACCTGGGCTTTGTCGGTGCAGGTATTCAGCTAGCGCCAAACATGGCCCGAATTCTTGACAAATTTGGCTGCTGGCAGAAGATTGCCTCCGAAGCCGTTCAATGCGCGAATACATCAATCCGTGAAGGCTCCACAGATAAAGAGCTGGGCTATGTAGATTTAGACTACGTCAAGGAGAAGTACGGATACCCGCACATGGTTGGACATCGAGCCAGTCTAGCCGGTGGACTCTGCGAGGGATGCGAACAAGAAGCTGGCATCACATTCAAGCTCGGAAGCCAAATCTCGGATATCAAATTTGGTCCCAAGCCGTCGTTCAAGGTGAATCCTACGACAGGTGGCGAGAGCTACAACGTAGAATGTGATATTCTCCTTGGTGCCGATGGAGTAAAGTCGAACACCCGTGTGCAGATGCTCAAAGAACTCGGACACCAGGGCCAAGCAAGAGATTCGGGACAAGCAGCATACCGTATCATGCTCACGCGCGAGCAAATGCAGCATGATCCTGAACTGCTTAAGCTCATCGAATCGGACACGGTAACGCGCTGGATCGGTGAGAAGAAGCACATCATCGCATACCCAATTCACAACAAGACAATCTACAACATTAGTACCGCGCAACCAGATGTAAACTTCGCCGGCGCACCAGACGCGCAATACACGACGCGAGGAAGCAAGAAAGCGATGCTGGAAGTCTACGGCGACTTCTGTCCCATGATACACCACATGCTGGATCTCGTTCCCGAAGGCGAAGTTGTAGAATGGAAGCTCCGGGTCCACGACCCACTGCAAACATGGGTACACGGCAGCACCGCCCTCGTCGGAGATGCATGCCACCCAACTCTCCCGCATATGGCACAGGGTGCGGCACAAGCTATCGAGGACGGCGCAGTCCTCGGCGTCGTTTTATCGCCTTCCAGAATCGCCGACGGTAAGCCCGAGACTATTGAGAAAGCACTCAGGCTGTACGAGAAATTACGGAAACCTAGAGCGGAAGCACTTGTTGAACTGGCAGCGGAAAGTGGGAGGGCCATGCATTTGGGTGCTGGAAAGGCGAAGGAGGAGAGGGACAAGGTCTTTGCGGCGCTTAAGGCTGGGACAGGCAAGGTGCCGGATAAATGGGCTGATGCCGATGTTCAGTCGCAGGTGTACGGAGTGGATGTTGTTGCTGATGCTGAAGCACTGTGTGAAGTGGAGGGCTTGGTTGCGAAATTGTAAGTTATGCAATGTCCTGTTCGAAACAGCATCCTGTAAATGTGTTGATTTTCGAACGGTCCGATTCACGCAAATGCCAAATTCGGAACAGAGTATGTATACATTTTAGCCGCACTTGTACATTTCATGCGCTTTGCCAAAAGGCTACATCCGTCCAGACATCTCACCCCGCATCTTGTGTCCTCTCCAGTGCGTGAAAATGACTGGGAACAACGACACTCCAATGATCAAAGCGACCACAACACCAGCACTGTTCGCTATACCGACAGTCGCGAACATATCAGGGAACCAAAAAGGTCCAATGAAACCCCAGACATGCCTCACAAACGTGATAAAAACGCCAATACTACCAGCCTCATCTGGGTAGCAGTCCACCGCATACATGATGAGAGTTGTAGTGACAATCTGATTGCCCGCAGCAGCGATACCAGCACCAATGATAGGCGTGACGTTCCACTGACCCTCCGGTGCCTGCTCGATACGAACCAAGAATACAACGATCCCGCAAATTGTCAGCAGAATGCCAAAGTAGCTCAACCATAAGCGAAACTCCGGTGCAGGTCTACGAGGTGCAATGCGCTTCGCTCGTGCACGCATCCACAGATCGCTCGAGTAGCCACTGATCTGCTCGCCAACGATGGACCCAATTATCAGACCAAGGAACTGGAGACCAAGCTGTTGTGCGTTGAAGTGAAACTTTTCCGCAAAGAGCTGTGGGATTTCAACGCTAGTCAAGACCGACGCGAAAAGGAACACCATCGCGTAAGCTACAGTTGGAATCATGATGCATGGGCACTTGGCCAGTCTCAATGGACTGACGAACGCTATCGCTGTGATGGGAGTTGTATCGATGCGACGGAACTTGAAATACTGCTCCTTCCAAGCAGCTCAGCCTGTTGTTGCGTGCTTGACTTGTCCATGGCGAATGAAGCGAGTCTCGGGGCCGAACAAGCCATAGAGAACGAGCTGAACGCCATTAATGATCGCTAGGATCCAGTAGATCCATCGATAACCAGCGTAGGTTGTCACGAAGCCGAAGATCAAAGGCGCGAGAGGTATGCCAATCGTCAGCATGACGGTCCAGACACCCATATATCGGGCTCGCTCGCGCTTGAAGAAGGATTCGACAACGACTGCGCTACCAATCGCATTGGGCGGAGATATGAAGAATGACTGCAACGCTCTACAAGCTGCCATTGTCCCGCAGGTTTGACTCTTTGCACAGCCGATGTTGAAAGCAAGACTACCTATCAGGGCTGATGATGAAAATTGGTCGCCGGCCATATCTTGTAGAGAGTGGTCGCCAGAACAGTGGTGCGCCGCCGAGAATAGCAATTTGCAAGGACGTCAGGTACGAAGCGCGCTGCAGGCTAACACCAAGATCTTCTGCAATGGTTTCGTACGCTGGAATGATGGCGCTCGCTGGGAAGGCACACATGCAGGCGTGGAAGGCGACGAAGGCGAGATTGAGGACTTTCTTGTGTGTTGGCCAGTTGTACGGATCTGCATCACTCATGGTAGGAAGTGGGTCGATATCCAGCGTCCCATGGCGTTGGATGAGGTACTGGCGATGCTCTTCTGAGAGATGGGATGCCTCTTCCTTGTCGAGATAAGTCCCATGGGTTGCTGCGTGTTCGAAGTCTTCGTTTTGTTGAACACCTTCCAAGGCGTCTTTGCTGGCCGTCATTTTCGTCGATCTCGTCCCACAAAAGATTGTTCCTGCAAAAGAATAGAGTTACGAAAGTCGTGCAATGCAAACAGCCACTGGCATAGGATCTCGAGAAAAACGATCTGGAACAAGGCGCTTACAGGAATCTCCAAGTGGATTCCCCGGATCAATGTCTTGGCTACAGCGCGTTGCCGTAACATCATCGCGATAGTCTGAATCATGCCGTGCATTCGTGCCGCGGCTGATCGACACGGCAGCGATGCGGAGATGGTTGTTTTCTCAAACGAGTAAGAACCGGCGATGTTAAGCGGATAACTGTTATCGGTTGAGGTGCGCAGTGGGTCGCGGAGTTGGGTGGCAACGCCTAACGGTACCTGAGTGCACAAGCTCCAAGGATATCTTATCTGATGGAAAGGCGCTCTATGAATATTAGACGGATGTATTACTATTGAGTAGCGAAAGATTGAAGCTCATGCTTGTTCAGCGGCGGGAGTAAGCGATACGATCCCGCATCTAACGTTTGCTAAAAGCCTAATCCGCGGAACGTAGGTCCTCGGGTCATCTCCGAGCGAGGACATTAGTTATTATCCCATTCAAAGCAAATCAGGGCAGCCTACATGGATTCACGAATAAGTCTCATATGTATTGGCTTCATGATAGGTCCTTGAGTAAATACATGCTACTCTATGCCTTCAAGAGCATCGCTGTAAAGATGCCATTGAAGTCTGCACGTGCAGTGTCTGCAGTTGTGGAGAGGAAAATTTTCCGGAAGGGACCATCTAAATCGCTGCTACGTTCCTATCTAACTCCGGAGGAAGAATATTACCTGTAGCCCTCGCTGTCGCCGTGCAAAGACAACGTTTTTCGTCCGTGCCAGTGGTTTTCGTGTCCCTCTCTATCGATAAGGTGGCCTAAGCGCGTTACGTGAGGAGTTATAGAAGGAGTTATTCATAGCCCCTAGCCCGTTGAAAACCTATCTCCTCGTTGAAGCACGTATCCTCGCTGAAGCACGTCTCCTCATTGATGGCCTAGCTCCTCGTTGATGGCCTAGCTCCTCGTTGATAGCCTAGCTCCTCGTCAGTGGCCTGTCACGCGGCGAGCAAAAAAACGCTGACTCTCAAACAGGATTTCCTCACCAAATGTAAGCAAACACTAAAACTTCCTCTTCTCTATCTAAGTTTACGCGCCTCTACAATTTCTAAATCTTAATTCTAATTAAATGAAATTATAGAGTAGGCAAAGCTCTATAATTCTCTCTACTTAGAATTATATTTTAGAGTTTATACTTAGCTACACACGCGATCGCAGAGAGGAAGTTTTAGGAGTCGCTATTATTTTGCTTGCCGCGTGCCTGTCACCTCGTCCATGGCCTGGCTCCTCATTGATCACGTGCACGTCTGATTGCGTATTGATCCAGAGTCCCTAGTAATCGGCCCAACAACAAGCCTTCCGCTCATTGGCCAATCACTAGTCATTTGTACTCGTCTCGCTGATACATATCTAGTCATGATCAATCTGCTAGGATATGTTCATAAGCCCGAGGCCTCCGCTTCCGTTGGGGATTACAAGTTCGAGGAGTCGACGTGAGGCTTCAGAATATTGCATCTAACGCCCATGATCCCGGGAGATGCTTCAGGCAGGTCTATCAAAAGTGGTAGCGCCACTCACAAGTGTTCTCGAAGAAGTCCGATCAGATAGAGCCTTCGTCATGCGGCATCGGCGTGGGAATCACCCACGATTTCTGGAAGATCTAGAACGACTTTGTCGTCGGCATCCCACCAGGACTGCGGCGACCATTCGAGCGATTGTACATCCCCACACGACCTGGCATATAAATGGCCTCCACAGCGTCAAGCAGAGGAAACTCCACAAACTTGTCAGCGGTAGGCATGAATAGCGAGTCGAATCCCACAAGACGGCGCCCTGTGATATCACAGAGCTTGTCTTCAAAAGCACCATGATTAGTAGGGAGCTCGAGCATTCGATGCCAAAATCCAAGGACGCTAATGCGTAGATATGGCACCTGATTTTTTTTGAGCATGCCCATGTTCATACCTTGATCTCCGAAGTTCACAACCAGATTGTCTATCGTCCTATGGTTCCTCGACATCAAGTCCAAGTCGCGAGACCAGGACACACTCAACACAGCTTTGCATAGCATCAAACCGGAGAAAGAGTTAAGAAACTTTTCGATGTTATCTGGGCTCTTTTGAAGCAATTCTGGCTGGATAGTCCAATCCTCCATCGTGAACTGCTTGATTTGAAGATCTTTTGCTGAGCCCAACAAGAATTTGAACAAGATCTCTGGACCGTCACATTCGTGCACCATGAGAGATTCGATGCTGGATGGGTCGATCCACTGGAAGGAATACTCATTGACCGTGTCGCGGAAATATGGCATGCATTACTACAGTGGCACATTTGGTTTTGAGAGGGCCTCTCTCTGCTGGGTGCGCATCGGCCGCGCTGGAATTGTGAGCGACGGAGCCGCGAACCATGAGCATCGACACCGGCTCAACGGCACAGTTCATTCTTCTAAAATGCATAGGTCCCACAAACTCACACGCTCGCAGGGTAGGGGGCGACGGGTCGTCACCAAGACCCCCACTATAGAGGCATAAACGGATCAGTACAGTCCACAAGCGCACTACTGAACTGGGATGTGACGAACGACTGATGCTGGAACTGCTGAGCGCCGGAGTCTCAACGGAAGACCCTCACACGTTCGTCGTCACTGTTGGTCTGGCAAGACCTACAGTGATCGGAACGATAACGACACTTCTTCTCTCTTCTCGGCGACAGGAGAGGAGCTAGTTGGAGGTTGGCTCAGGGCCTCCAATGAGCGACCGCCACTGACTCTTCTCTTTTTTTCCCCATTGATTTACGCGCCACATGGCGGGCTGTTGAGAAAGGAAATGGACTTGACGCCGAGTATGTGAAAGACAGCGAAGCCCTACGTAAAGGCGGGGTACGGAAGAAGGAAATGAAGGAAGGCTTCAAAAGTGCCGGGAATTCCCGCTTCGAAAGTGTCTGGAAAGCCCAAAAAATAAACTACCTTCACATGCTACAATGTGTGGCCTTCCCCCTCGCCACCGTTGCCCGATATATCACAGCTCTCCCCATATCGCGCCACTACTACACGAGGAACGATCACTGTATACAAAGAAAGAACAGACAGAGACGCTAGAAAGCCGAGAATTTTAGCATCGGCTTACGCTATAGTAGGTTGAAGATGCGTCGTGTACTTCGAAAGTGTTTGGTGAAGGGAAGTTGGAGTGAAGTGAAATCGCAGGCGCACAAGCCATTACTTACATTATGACAGCTTATTGGCCCTACACGAAATCGAAGGCGGGCAGTAGATGTTGGTGCTGCTTGTATCATTATGAATTGTGGCTCTTGCTGAGACTTGTGTAGAAGCTTGACTGACCTTACCTTTGTGCAGAGAAGTCGTTGTCGCGAGAGCAAGTACGCAAATTCCTCACACACACACACATATATATGTATATATTGCATCCATTTGTCACCAAGTTTAACATTTTAACAATTTCTTCATTCATTCCTATCCTCGCGAAGCCCCTCATCCATACACAGCGCATCTCAAGCGCTAGGCCTTTTATCCATCCATCCACATGCACACGCGTCCACAGATCCGTATCTATACATGCCGGTCCTGGCCCGAGTTCCACATACCGAATAGACAAGGAAAAGACGCTTATGTGTCCCGTACCGAAGGAAAAGCGAAAAGAAAAAATTGCCCCAAGTTGTTATTACACCAGAAAAATGCCAAAAATACATGCATACCGTGGCCCAGGATGTGAAAATCATTGGGCATGTGCTCTCTCTGCGCGATCGCTGATATGCGTGAAGGGCGTCGCCGAGTAGTAACAAAACAGACTGCTGACTTCCTCCTCGATGGAAGGGCTCCACCGCCGCTAATTGCTTTTGGTTGCATCCGCGCCTGTCATTTGTCGTCTTCCGTGTTTCTTTTGCTCATGCCTTGGCAAAGTCTACTGCGTAGCTGGGTTCGTAAGCTGCGTGGATCTTTCGAGACGCCAGAAGCTGTCCAGCAGAGCAGCATTCTGCTGCACAACATGGAACCTCAGAACATCCGTGGGATCTAGTACAATATCAAGTCAGGAAACAACTGTCTCTCGAAGAGCGAATGGCAGTATCAATGAACGTCAGTGTGAGTTCGAAATCTCCGACTATCCACCCTTGCGATCCGCAGCATTTGCAGGAAGAGGCTCGCCGGTATTCTTCTGCTCAGCTGACTTCTTTTTGTTCTTTTTGCTGTTGCGAGCGTTGCGGATCGGCTGCTGCTGCCATGAGCCATTGTGGTTTGTTCCAGCGGACTTGCTGCCATTCTCGGTTCCTTGTTGTTGGGCCTTGCCCTTCTGTTGTCCGTTGCGGTTTTCTTTGCTAGCATTTGATGGCGGCGTATGAGATGCGCGACGGTTCTGCTGACTGGTGTCTTTAGCTTGTGCTTTCACACCGTTAATGAGCTTCCCAGCATCGTTTGGCCGACTTGCTGACGGTGAAGGAGTGCGCGTTTCGAAGACAGGGGATAGCAGCGGCAATGTGGCCGACTTGACTTCCTGAGGAGGCATCCGGGCTGGGTTCGAAGTGTCTAGAGATGGGAGTCCGTTGGTATAAGCAGGAGTACGCCATTGTGGAGGGAGAGTACGCTTGGGAGAGATCTCCTCGTTGTGGCTATTCTTCTGGCCATTGCTCGCTTCATAGGCCATCCATCCTTCTGGTAGCGGAGGGAAAGACTGTTGACCCTCGCTCGGCACACGTGTCAATCCGTTTGATTCGGCAGAAGGGCTGCTTCTTGTTGAACCGTTGACTATAGGTGGACCCATCGAATCTGCTGCAGCAATCTTGTGGCGTTGCATCTCTTCCAGAACCATCTGCTGGCGTGCCTGAATCTCATTGATCTGATGCATAGCTTGCTGGTTCGAGAAAATGCCCAGTCCATTGGTCTTCGATAGATCCGGCGGGAGTGATTCAATTGTGTCACTCCTAATACGAGGTTCCCGCGGAGGAGTTGGGAATGAGCCATTCACGATCACTGGCCCGCTATCAACGGGCGGTCGAACGGAGTCCACACGAGCTTTACGCTGGTCATTGACTGCCACGTTGGGATCATGAACTCCAGTTGAGTAGCTCCTCATGTGACCACCAAGAGGTGACGGCGACCGCGATACTCGTCGCAAAGCAGTGTTCAGAAGAGGCTGTGTTATCTCAGGGGACACACGTCGGCGGCGTTGGGCTAATTCGCTAAAAGAAGGTATTGGCCCGACTACATAGTCCTGCAGTTGACGTGGTTGAGGCTGCTCTACAACATAATAGCCGGGATATTCTTTGGGTGGCGCTGTCTCTAGGGGTGGAGCAGTCACTTCGGGCATGACAGGCTCCGGATGGCTTGACAGTGGGCTGTATTGGACGTCCGAAGCCGATTGCGGCACATGAATGTCCTGCGGCGTAGACCGCGCGATTGGATATCCAGCAAAAGTTGCTGTGGCAGGATCAAAGTATTGAGGTACTGCCTGGTAACCTGCAGGTATCGGCTGCGGCGCAACAGCGCGTGGGGGTTGAGAATGCGAGCGAAGTGATGCAGTATCACTAGCATTGGAAGGTCGGTGGACCTGCCTCCGAAGACCAGGAATGCTATTGCTTAGTGATGGAGACGATGGATTCGTTCGGGTTCCGTCTTGCGAGCCAGCGTCTTGAGATTGTGCTGGATTGTAGAAACCAGGATAATGGTAAAGAAAGCCTTGCGGGAGACTGTTCGATGGGACCTGGACCTCACCTAAGCGAGGACTTGAATTGCCGTTGACGTACTGCGTCTTCTGCGGCGAACTTGATACGTTGCTTGAGCCACGATTCTGGGCCTGGGCTTGGGCAATTGCATGTGCATGCATCTGGGCCGCTCGTACCTGTTGACTTTGCTGGGCATGTTGTTGCGCAGCCAAGTGGGCCCGAAGGTTGTTCGACTGCATCTCTAGGAGTTGGTATTGTTGAGCCAAATGATCGTGTAGCTGGAGCTGATCATGCATACCCCTAGAGAACGCAAAGTATTCTTGTCCAGGTCCAGCGGAGATGGGCGGGCTATGCAAGAACGGTGGCCGACCTTGTAGATAGGAATTGCTGCCGGATGATCGTCTGCCATTGTTATTCTGGTTCCTTGAATTGAAACCACCTCTGCCTCCACGGTGATTTGATCCCCCACGTCCATTTCGCGTCGGGACGCTGGAGGTGATGGTTGCCTTCTGCGATTGTGGTTTCTTGAAGATGGAGCTCGACTGCTCCTGGGCGGGAAATTCATACTGCTCACATGCCTTTTCTAGCTGTTGACTGTCTGCAAGCAGATCGAAAGCACGTCGTATCTCCAGATGAATTCCACGCCAAGCATAATCGTCCGCGGAATTGCCCAGATTTCGGTCAGTACTGAAAGGCTCTTCAACACAAAGGCGATTTACGCCTTCCTTTTGTCCACCTCCAGGGTGCCAGTTCTTCTCTTCTCTTTGTATGCGACAACCCTGGCGTACGGATACCACAATCTTCTCGTAATCGACCTCGTGACCATAAAGCCGGAAGAAATGAAACAGCAATTGTCCGAGACTCTCAGCATTGCTTTTGCCGAAACCTCGCAAGGCCTCAAGATCGTCCGCAAAACTAGACAGGGAAGGCTTTCCAGTGTCTTGGTCTATTTTCCTGTCCGGAAGCTTGTGTAGAGAAGGAAGGATGGGCGGATCGCGTGTTTGTAAAAAGTTCAGGATCATGCATATCCAGGTGTACGAGCTGATTGTACCACCAATGCCTGCGTCATGTTAGCAGGGTCGGCGCAACTAGTGGAGGACCTACCAGCGTCATTCAAAATACGCCTCTTGGTCCAATGCTTGACGATCATGGCGAGTGGCCGAACGCGATCATCAATCTGGACGTAGAGGTTGATCATGCGAGTATTCTCGAGCGCCGCGACGTTGTTGACGTTCATATCACACGAAAGCTGCAGCTCAGGATCCCAGACTTTTACGATCCGGACCTTGGCTGCCGGTATGCATACCACACGCTCCATACCGTCTGCCAATGTTAGTCAAGGGAAAAGATTGCTGCGTTAAAGAACCTACGCTTGTCGAGAGCCTCGGCGAGCATGTGCATCTCCTCCAACCGTTTCATCGGCGTCTGGATGCATATGTCAACTAGGGAAGTTAGCATATGTTGTCAAGCATGTGATTAGCTGTCTCACCGTCGCTCTCTGCTGTCCACAGCATGTTGCCAGAGGATCCAAAGATTGAGACCTTGAACTCGTTGCCGGGAAACTCCGTCTCCAGTATGCGCTGCACCTTGGCCACAAATTTGTTCCGGACGGCGGTGTTCTCCTGGGTCGGCTGTATCCGATCGTACAGCTCACGCATATCGCCGCTAAGCTTGTCGTCCTCGTGGGGATCCAACGTCTTCTTGGGCTCGTCCTTTGCCTTTTCTAGAATGTCAGAAGAGTGGTAGGGCATGCGTCTCCTCCCAAGCGAGCCGACATTTGTCTCAAACTTGCACTTGACAGGGCGCGCGGGTCGAAGCGTGGGCATGGTGCTGTTCGCTTCGGAGGCTACGGAGCGTGGCGAGTGGCTGCCCAGTCCGCCGTTCGGGGACGGGGAGCGTGAGTGTGTGTCGTATCGGCGGGCGACTTGTAAGGGTGTGGATGGCACAGAATTCGAGTGGTGTGAGACGATGGACGGGCGCTGGGCGCGGGCCACGGCGCCTGCTTCTTCTCGTTTGCTGGCCATATTTGTTGCTGGCGCCCCGTTTGATGTCATCGTCGGCGCGCTGGACTGCACGCTACACTGCGACTCCTTATTCCCATCTGCGGTATCTTTCGGCGCCGGTGCCGACTTTGCGGGCTGTTTCTTGGGCAGAAGACGGGCTGAGTCCCGCTGCGGTGGCGGGCTCAGGGAGTGGGGAGACACGATGACGGCGGGCAGGGGCGTGTGCGAGGCGGCGGGCTGCAGTTCGTCGATGCGCGCAAGCTGCAGGAACGGGTGCAGCAGCAGATAGGGCGGGGCGTGCAGAGCGTGTGCAGGTGAGTGCACAAATGGCGAGTAGGGCGGCGTCCACAGATTCAGGCCGGCGGGCGGCTGCTCGACGAGGGAGGCGCGCTGTTTGGTCTGACGGTCGACCGAGTGGATGGGCAGAGGATGCTGAATGTAAAGATAGGCAGAGCTGCTGTGGCGGCGGTCGCCCATAAACTTCTGTGGGCGTCGAGTGGAGAGCCGTGGGGAGGGGGCTGTTGCTGCAATGCGGCTCGACTGCAGACCCGGGGCCCTGGCTACGCGGCAATGGCGTGTGGAGAGTGAAGGTCGAGCGGGTCACGTTCTCGTCTGGTGAGTACCACACGGGCAGTGGGCAGTGAATGCAGTGCTATTCGGCGTCGTGTGTGAACCCCTGCTGCGGAGAATCAATGGCTCGCTGGAATCCGGCGCGGACAGCGGCTCAGGGACGAACTCGAGGGGCTAGGAAAAGGCAGGCGGCGCTGCTGCTGCAATGCGGGAAACAACAACGAGGAAACGGGAATCTAGTGGGAGGCAGCTCTATGCAGCGGGCGAAAGTGTGCATATACACTGGCTCGCAGTGGGTAAATCGCGGTCAAGGAGGGATGAACGCCAGGGCCGCAACTGGGACTAGCACGGTTCGGAATGGCCTGGCACCTCCACGCGCTACATGCGCTGCTCAGGGCTGTCACAGGGACGTTTTGATACCTGCCAATTTATTCACGCCTCACGCCAATTTGTGCCGCGAGCTCTTCCACGCATGTCTTGCGGCTTGCCTCGACCCGCCCGTGGGCACGCAGTCCCCGTTGCCTGGGTGCACTTGCAAATCTTCCTTTCTTGAAGCCACGGTACAACAAAGTTGCTCCTTCCCCATGCGAACTCTCTTTCCCCGCTTGTCAAAGAGAGAGACAACGGAAAAAAGTACAATCCGCCGCCACCGCTGCCCATCTCACGACACCATTGGACGTCTCTCGTGTTGCGCCGTCAGCCGTCATCAGCCTTCGTGGGGTCTGACCGGAGCAGATGTGCCTTGTATGAGACTCTGCTTGGCGGCCGTAGTCCGGAGGGTGTGCATCGAGCACGCCTGCGCTTTTCTGTAACGACAGTACCATCTACATAACCCAACAAAGCCCCAGATCTCTAAGATGCATTACAAGGGCGTCTGGAATCTAGTATGCCCCGCCCGCCGGGCGTGCTAATCATATGATGTGGCATGCACACCCCCCGTCTAAGCCGCTTACTGAGTATAAAAGGAAAGTTGCAACTAGCTAGTCGTTTTCGGCTTTGGGAGATCATTGCTGAAGCCGTCCTGTGTCGGACACCGGATATAGCAGCGCCTCTTCGGCCTCTACTCATGGTGCGCTGACTACAAAGCCCATCCTGCCGAGCTGAAGTCGTAGAGCGAAATGCACTGTGGAGCACGATAAGACGATGCGGCCAGCCCCCGCAAGAATGACCTCTGAAATTGCAGCGCCTTGTGGCACACGGTGAGATATCTTCCAGATTCGGTTGTTACCCAAGAACCCTATGTACAAGTTTCATAGCCGTCCACCAGCGCCAAGAGGGCCGTCAGACCAATATCTCATCCTTTAAGCATGCCAGTATGCACACCTCCTGCAGGGACAGCCCGCCGGTAGAGCGCGTGCATCCGCAATCCAGATCCAAACATAGAAGCAGGCAAATTCCTCGGAGGAACTCAAGTGTTTCACTCACCAATCAAGATGACGTTACAAAGATCCGTAGATTACCTTAATCTGTGACACTCGTTTGCCCACCGGATTTATTCGAGGGTGCCGCCCACCCGCCGCCGCGGCTTGACCCTGACTACGGCACGGCGCTTCGAGCCAAGTGCGCAGTTCTCGCTACGGCAGGCGCATCGCGCTAACACGGAAGGAACGATGTCATGCATCACCAATGCCGAGGTCGCTTCAACGGCTGACGCCCTATCCAGATTATGTTGGCTTCTCGACTTCTACGTGTTAATGTCCCTTCAGCATACCTACACGTCCCAAACACCAGTCGTAGAGCGTTTTCGTCCACAATGGCACAACAACGCATTGGTGAGCTGTGAGCAGCATTCTTGTGCGACAGTGGCTCACTGGTAGATAGCGAACCCCGCCCTGTTGTATGTCGACCCTCTCCAGATGGTCAATCACCTCACTCATCGTGTCTAGCATTTGCGACTTGCAAGAGAAGTTCCGGCCTGCCATTTATGAATTCCCCAAGGTAGTCTCAACAGCGCAAAAGCTGCTCCGAGCGAGTAAGTGCACCTTCTATAAGCTCGCTACACATCACGCCTCTCGAACCATCCAGCCCTTAGCTTACACAATCCTCAGGCCAGGTCTTAAACATACCTGTCTTCGCCACTACACAAAACAAGGCCCGACTCGGCGAGACATGCCCAGAACTCGGGCTAGATGCGCAAGGCGGCGTCAAGACCGAATGCCATATTGATAAGACGCTGTTCTCCATGATGTATGTCATTACAACCGTGCAACATGCTCAAGGCCACACGAAGTAACACTTCATAGCACACCCGACGTCAAGAAAGCTCTCGATAAGCTAAACGCTACTGGCCCACTTTCGTGCATTATCGTCGGCATCGAGAGTCACATCTGCGTCACACAAACCACCATCGATCTGCTTCGAGCGGGACACAAGGTCTACGTCATCGCAGATGGAGTCAGCAGCTGCAACAAGGAGGAAGTCCCAATCGCGTTGGCACGGTTGAGGCATGAAGGTGCAGTAGTGACTACGAGCGAGAGCATAATGTACGAATGCGTGGGAGATGCTGGATCAGATGAGTACGTCGATTGTCCCTGGAAGCGCGCATGCCGTCGAACCGCGACTAACTCAACCGCAGGTTCAAGCAGATTATTAAAATCGTCAAAGAGAATTCCCAGAGCACGAAAGATGTTCTGCAGACTCTGTGTAAGATTTGAAATGCAATAGTTAAGCTACCATATTGGTTCAGATGTTTCTCAAGGTCGAACAAGTCGATATTGCTCACAGAGGAAGTTTCCCACTCTCATCCGTCATGTTGAAATCCACCACCGTTCCGTTTGGATAAACTTCCCGGCACCACGCTTCCTTCTCGTGTCCCTGTGCCGGGTACGGACACATGCGCACAGGCTCTGATGAGTTGTAGTGGTGTCGATGGCCGAATAGAGGCTGGCATGTGAACATGCAGAGCGGATCCCAGTAGTGGTAGGATATGTAGATGAGGGCGAAGAGAGTGATGAGAAGGAAAGTAAGAGAAAGGAGTATCGGCTTGAGGCGCGAAGGGGCTTGGACTCGGCGCGTAGGAGATGGTGTGGGGTTGTGAGGCGTTCCCTTGGTGTCGTGAGTGTTGGTATCTTTAGGATTGTCTGCCAGGTCGCGCTTTTCGGAGGGAGCCATTGAAGGGCGAATTGGGATTGAGTATCAGAGCTAATTATTGAAATTGGGAGGGATGTCTGCTTCCGAAAACTTTGATTCTGCGAAGCTTCGCGTAGAAGTTGTAAAGTTGCAAATCTGCTCAGAAAAGGTATGTTCGTTCTTTATTTGTTCTTGGTTGCCGCAGTGAGAGAGATGGATGAGCTAATATGAGGGCTGACAGCTAGTTGGATATGTACCGGTATGGGGCGAAACGCGGGGTCTGATCCGTGCGTCACTGCGCCACAAACGTGCCTCTGTGTACAAGTTTCAATCTGTTGTCTGGTTGCAGTTCAGAGGTGAGTTCATACTGCTAATTTTAAGAATTGCACTTGTTGTCGTACCTTGAGTCTTTTGTGACTCGGATGCTTCTCGGTCGCCTGGAAGTAAAGACATCAGGCAACCATGGTACTCCGCCTCGCTTTACGCCCGGCGGTTATTTATGTGGGTATCATGCCCTGTAGTTGCAGTCAAGCTCAGTATTCTTGGTGCTCTTTACTTAGAAGTAGTGGATTTTTGAAACCAACTTCAACTCGAAGGATCAGGGCGATGTAGACATTGCTGACAAGAGGCGGCACAGAGACACATCGAGGCGCACATTATTCTTAATCGACAGCAATGGATGACAAAATCAGCACTTACCGACATGCACAGATTGTGCGCAACCAAGGAGAGGGTACTTACGCCCGCTGCATGTCGGCGGCGAAAAAGCGTAAATTCCTGACGATCGGGGGCCGAAGGATGTGTTGCTTCCAAAGTGAAAGTGGCTGAGGGCGGCACAGCATATACTGTAAGCTGCGTATCTCAACCAGACATCGATGCGACTTGGCTACCATAGGTATGTCAAGTATAAAGTACATGGAAAAGATCAAGCATAGATCTTCAGTAACATAGCCTGAGAACCACTTCTCACACCAACAGCAAGATGCAGAAATTCACCTACGTTTTACTTTGTTCGGCCCTTTCTACCGCCACAGCGAGAGTGATATTGCCCATGGATGCAATCGCTAGCCTAGCGAATCTGAAGCAGAGACAGGAGGGGGGCGATGACCCTTCAGCTGAAGGAGTCAAGATCAATTATCTTGGATGCGACAACAATATGAGAAGAGACATATCGGATGCTTGGGACGATGCAGTCAAGCTCGCCGAGAACATCAAGGATATTGATACTGCCACCGACATCGGCTCTTTTGACTGTAAGTTTACTATCGCTCTGTTGTTTGCCATGTCTATCAACGATAGAAAAGGAACATTATGAATCCATTTACTGACATTTTCTAAGTTTTTGGTCCCAATATGCAAACAGAAGGCGCAGGGTACAAGATCCTCAACGTATACAACAACGCCGCAACTTATGGGCAGACCCTATTGTGGGGATGGCGCGTGAATGCCTTCTGCCCGCCTGCGGATAAGGACCTCCTCAGATCATGCACGCCCGGCACGGTAGCCTTCCAGTGGAATACTTTGTGCGCAGACGGACGCTGCGTATGCGATACCCGCGATAGTAACGGCAAGTGCAACAAGCGGGATCAGTGGAATAACGACCCGGACAAGTCGTACATCAACATACAATTCTGCGACGATTTCTTCAAGCAACAAACATTGCAGCAGACTATCGATGCAGGCAAAAATGCTCCAAAGGAATCCAAGTACAACTTGGATTACTACTGGCATAGCAAGGGTAAGGAAGATCTCTTCATGACAGTCGAGAACGGTTCTGACAAGTCGCAGGCAAAATTTTGTTCCATGAGCTACTCCACGGCGCCACGGTGGGCACCAAAGCAAACGAGAACCTGGGCATCACAGATCTCGTCATCAGAATTCGCAAACACAACAAACCTGATGAGTTTGAAGACGTTGGTGCATATGGGCCACTGAACGCTAAAATGTTGGCTCGTACCATTCGGGAGAACAACTTTGACCACGTACGTACATCACTCTTGCCCCATGAATCTCCAGGGCGGCAGAGCAATCTGTCCTTGAAGCTGTGAATCGATACGTCGGCTATGAACCTTTTACTAACCATCAACCAGGTCAGACAAAATGACGACAACTGGACTGGCTATGCTCTTGGTAAGTCAGAGCGTTACCCGTTTCACAATCAACGCGCTAATTACCCATTGATTAGCCAAATACATACAGAAAACAGTCGGCGTCTATCCGATCCTCCCTCTTGCAGACGGTTATGTATATGCCGACAGTGCATCTTACGTTCCACATTCACTTCTCCTTCTCGGCAAAGACAAGGATGACAAAGAGAAGGTCTACGTCAACAACGACTACTACACATCTAACCTGCTATCTCAAGCCAAATCGGACACCGTTTATCTCGAAGGAGGCCCAACTCTCGATGAAAAGGCTTTTGGCTACAACCCCGACTCCGACTATCCGAAGTGGTACATCGAGCGGATCAGGAAGGCGAGCAACGGAGACTTGGACGGCACCGGCCCCGTACCAACGCCTGGTCCTCCAAACCCACAGAGCCCTGAGTCTACTATCGGAACCGTGAATGTCATTGTGGCTAGGGCTACACCTGGCCCTCCAAACCCTCCAAGACCTGAGTCTACTATTGGGACAAAGAATATCGTCGTGCCCAGGGACACACCTGGCCTTCCAAGCCCCCCGGGCCCTCAGCCTCCTATCAGGACGAGCAAGAAGATCATTGCGGCTAGAGACACACCGGGTCCTCCAAGCCCTCCAGGTCCTGAGTCTACAATCGGAACCAAACAAATCATTGTACCTAGAGCCACACTTACGTCTACTCCTGAACCTATGCCCATACGGGCCCGGTAGGGCGGGATACTCGAGTTCTTCTGAGACCGAAGCCCCTGTGCGAACCAATGACGGTAATCGACATGTTCTACCATTTCGACGTAGGGCAAGCTGGCGTGCGCGTTGACCTGTGCAAGTGTGATCCTACAACGTGCCGCGATGTTCGTGCTTGGGCACGTGCAAATTTTCAGGGTCTTGGGAAGACGGGCAAGTCTGGAGAGAAGTGATGGCCGCCCCGAACCGAAAGGCTGGTTTTGAAGTGTCTGCTAGAGAGGAGACTGTAAACCAAGTGGGAGACACAAATCATGGTCACATCAGAGGCCTTGTCTTTCTATAAACATTAGGAAGAGGTTTGATCTTATTTTGCCTGTTCTCTATGATTATACATGTAGCTTACCTACTCTCGCTCAGGCTGTTTTGAAAAGCACGAGTTTTCAGCCTCTTTCTCAGAGTCACGGTCACAATATCAATCGGTGAATACCTCCATCGCCATGGCTACCACCGTGGACCAATATGCGATCAAAGGTCGTGGAAAAAGAACTGCAACACCAACTAACCCATTCGCCGATATCCTGCAAAGCACAAAAAGTATTTAGCAAAGCTTGCTCAGGTACGAATGACTTGAGATACGAGAAATGCAAGTATAAGATTCGCTCGGGAAACTTCCGATGCATCTAGTCTAACTGACGAACATGCTTTGCTGATCCTGACAAATGGCTCACCGGGTTTCGTAGGTCGGCTCCGAACTTAACGCGAGTGCATAACACGTTAAATCCGGTCCGGAGAGTTCTCAGCCTTTTACTGCAACCGGCCGTCGCACACTGTAGCGTCATCGATGCACTCGAATTACAGGTTGAGAATGCACGTTCTGGGGTTCCAGTCACTAGCGTGGACGGCACTTCGCGGGTAGCCAACGTAATCCCCTACCTTAACTCACACCCTAGCACTCGTTCGGTAATAGTGATCCCTGTAGCACAGCATACTGCTAACGTACCTCATCCCCTAGTCATGATGACTATTCTACGTAGTCGATATTGTCGTCAGCAATTGGTACCATGCAAGAGCGGCAGAAAGCGCATTGTGGAGGCCTGAAGACCGGTAGCCAGATGTTATAAGATCATCTCGCTTCCATATTCTCTCGAGCAATTACAGAGTTACCTGGTAGTTCAAGATGAAATATCCTTCAGCGTTCACCGTATTCCTACTTGCAAGAAGCGCTCATGCCCTTCCCGCACCTGCGCCAGTAGATTCCATGGGAGGCGCCATGTCATCGCAGGGAGCTTCATCGCTTGATACGTCCGCCATCATCGACCTGCCTCTTCCATCTGCTGCAGTAGGGTCTCTTCGTGGCTCAGAGGCCTTGCTCGGTTACAACCCTTCCAACCCGATCACAAAAGAGACAACTGTCATCCCTCCCAGTGACTTTGAGCTCGGTACTGGGCAGTCAGAAGATGCAGATCTTGGATTGTACATTGATCTCAGCACTGTGAAGAATCCACAACCAATCCGCGGTGGTACTACAGGCCCGACTGAACCAGGTCCACGGTAAGCATATCTCGCCTTGCGATCTAAGTGTTGGTCTGATCATAATTGCAGCACCCAGGCATATGACCGCCTGAATAGCGACATCTATGCCCCACCACCATCTGATATGGGTGATGTGAGCAATGCGAAATGGCCCTTCGGTCTCAGTCACAATCGTCACGGCCTCGCAGGTGCTGGATGGGCCCGATCGCAGAATACCGACCAACTCCCTAGTTCTGTTGCCATGGCCGGAACGAACATGCGTCTTAGTCCGAACGCCTATCGCGAGTTACATTGGCATAAGCAAAATGAATGGAGTCTAATTTTGAACGGAAGTGTCCGAGTTGCCTCCATGAACGAAGGCGGCGAAACATTTGTCGATGACCTCCAAGCAGGCGACGTCTGGTTTTTCCCTGCCGGCATTCCACATTCTATTCAAGCCTTCGAGAATGGTTGTGAATTCCTCCTTGTCTTTGACGACGGTGGCTTCAGCGAAGAAAATACCTTCCTCCTTTCCGAACTCATGCTACGCAACCCCAAAGAAGTCATCGCTAAGAACTTCCGCACCTCCGTGGAAAAACTCGCACCCCTTCCCAAGGAGCAACTCTGGATCTTCCCCGGTACCCCCGCGCCATCAAATATCAGCGAGCAAAATGTTACCGGGCCCGCTGGCATTATTCCAACAAGTGTGAGTTACAGCTACCACTGGAGTCAGCAACAACCTCTCCAGGTCCCCGGCGGGTCCATCAAGATCCTCGATCCCGCGACGTTTCCTGTCGCGAGTAAATTTAGTGTAGCGTTGATCACCGTCGAGCCTGGTGCCATGCGTGAACTACACTGGCACACCACATCTGACGAGTGGTCATATTTCCTCGCCGGTACCGCGCGCCTCACGGTCTACGAAGCGCCCGCGTCATCTCGCACATTCGACTTTTCAGCCGGAGACGTGGGATACGTCCCTGTGCCCAACGCACACTACCTTGAGAATACAGGCAACGAGACTCTGATCTATATGGAGGTCTTGCAGGCTCCGCAGTATTCAGATATTAGCGTAAATCAGTGGCTGGGACTTACACCGAAGCAGATTGTTAAGGATCATTTGGGTTTGGATGATGATATCATCGATGGATTTAAGAAGACGAAGGAGTTTATTATACAGGGAAATAGAGATTTGACGGCGACCAATTTCACAGAGAAGAGATTTGCGCCGGGAGTGCATGGGGGTGCGTAAGGCGGTTCATAGGATCAAATAGAAAGCTTTATAAAGATGCACACCGGACGTACAGTGCCATCCGAAATCAGTGTCACCCCTGATGTTTTCGCACGCACACATACTCCATTCTGACAGACAGGGGTCTGCATATGATCTCACCTGGTTTGTGCTAACGTAAGAAGAAGCGAGCGATGCCTGGTGTTGGGAATAGAGCGGTTTGGTCAGCCCTTGCGACTAGCCATCTATGTCCTGCTAGGAAGCTCACTCTTTAAGGTCCAACCTCATCGAGCCATCTGCAGTAAAGCCCATCATACAGGCGTTCCATATAATTCCGAACCTTAGGTGTTGTCATCCTGTTATCTTTTTCACATTTCCGAAACATAATCACACGAAGAAAACGCTCACAGAGCATGTCAACGTCCCCATCGCACGACCTCGGGTTTATTGGACTTCGTCAGATAGAACCTTCTCGCAATGCGCAACACTGCCCCAACAGAACGCAGCTGCTGACTAGCTCATTTGTGCTGATAACATGGGCGCACTGAATAGTAATAAAACACCAAGGATTTGGTCATTAGACACAGATCAGCTCTCGGTACAGTACAGTACAATATTAAATTTATTGCATTATTTAGTGAGTAATGCACAGCTTTGCAAGACCACAGACATCACTGCTAAAATCTGCAGACTTTATTCCTATTGTTTACAGTCGCTTGCAAAATCGGCTTCTACCCAAACACACTGGGGGAAACATTGCCCAGCATCACTGAACAGGGGGTTAACCCCCACCTTCTCAAATAGAGTATAGCACTGAGTAGGCTCTCAACACATGACTGTAACATGAGCCGAGCTGAGGCATACGAAACGTTGACAGGTGAAGTGCCTATCTTACAATAACTTACAGTATTTTACCACTCCATCAACGAAGGCCTCGCTTGGAGTTGGAAAATGCAACTGAGTTCTAGTAAAGCTAGAATACAACCGTAATTATAAATGCCACAGAGACTGAGAATGAAAGCGGATTTGAGGCTAACCGACTGTTCGAAAGACTAAGATACAATACGTTGAACAAATAAATACTTCTGAATTAGAAAATCATGACAACCTAGGACGAATGTAAAAGTAATCAGGGAGGTGGTGGAAACAAGCGAGAGGGCGTTTAAATGCAGAGTTGTTTCAAGTCTACCTCGACTCTAGCAGCTTGGCCACCTTGTGCCCTTCTTCTGCTGCCCACTACAGCGGCGTCTAACCTCTATAGTCCTTTAAGTCCGCCTCAACGTCGTCCTGCTCAACTAGCACCTTAACCACCGCCTCATACCCTCTTGCTGCTGCCCACCACAGCAGCGTCCGACCTCTATAGTCCTTTAAGTCCGCCTCAACGTCATTCTGCTCGACTAGCACCTTAACTACTGCCTCATACCCTCTTTCTGCTGCTAACAACAGCAGCGTCCGACTATTGCTGTCTTTTAAGTCCGCTTTAACGTCTTCTCGCTCAACTAGCATCTTAACAATCGCCTCGTGCCCTCTAAATGCCGCCCACAACAGCGGCGTGTGACTGTTGTTGTCCTTCAAGTCTGCTTCGACGTCGTCCCGCTCAACCAGCACCTTAACTACTGCCTCGTGCCCTCCTCCTGCTGCCCACCACAGCGGTGTCCTACCGTTGTTGTCCTTTGAGTCCGCTTTAACGTCTTCTCGCTTAACCAGCACCTTAACTACTGCCTCATGCCCTCTTGCTGCTGCCAACGACAGCGGCGTCTGACCATTGCTGTCTTTTGAGTCAACAGGAAGAACTTTCTCCTTCACAGTCCAAGAAAGAAGCCCCTCACACAGGTGTAGCAGCCCTGAGGAGGCCGCTAAATGTAGACCCGTCATCTGCTTCCGAAAATCTTGACTATATCTCGGGTATTTATAGCCAGGCATTGATTTGGTTTGAACAGCACAAGCCACCAAGTTCTTGTCCTGAAGCAGACGCATGGCTAGTCCATATACCTCCTCTTGAACAATGCCTGCATGCTCTACCCAGTATCGAGCAGAGTAGTTCAGGAATATGTTCTCCTCAAGCCTGGTTTCGAACTCTGCGTCGCTCGCACAGCTACCGCTCCTGAACGTTTTGAAACAGAGGTACGCAATACACGTGGACGCAATGTCGTGCTGAGCGCTAGGGTTCCACTTCTCCCGGATGCCCTTCAAGTAATCTTGTGTAGTGTAGTGGACGAGACGAATGACATTGCTCTCCTCGTCCACTGTGACAAGGCCAGCACATACAGAGACGATCTCTTCTATATCAGGAATATTGTCCTCCTCTAGTTCCTCCTCATCTAACTCTACTGCCAAGGCATGGCATAATTCTCCAGTAGTTAGCGGCCTTGCCGCATACGAGATCCAGGATAAGACGCTCTTTGCTCGCGCCGTCTTCCCAGGTAGCTGACCGTCTATCCTCTCGATGGCTCCGTCATATGCCTTTTTGAGCGCTTCAGTGCCTCCAGAAAGGTGCTCGAGCGTAGACTTTACTTTCTTTTTTGTGTCCTTATCGAGTAGCAAATCCACATGCAGACGAGCAAGTAGAAACCTAGTAGGCTTGTAAGCTAAAGGTTCTTGAAAGGGGTATGCAAGAAACTCACATGCCATCCACCGCCTGCACAATCTTGTTCTGGACGAGTTTCTGAAGAGCGTCATCGCGTCGGACGCATCCTGGCAGCCGTTTGATTTGGCCAGCCACATATCGTTTCACGTCCGCGTCGTCTGCACGTACCTCTAGCTTGGGCAGACCATTGAACTCTTCGACAATATCCGGAATAAACCGTGAAGTAGCCATCAGACGCAAGCCCGTTTTGCTTTGCAAGTTGCGAAGCTTACTCAGAAGTTCTCGGCGATCGTCATGAACACATTCGTCCAGCGCGTCTATAACAACGTATATCCTTGAGTAGTCTACCAGCACCGATTGCAAAGCACCAAGCATTTCCTCAACCGACGGTCTCGTCCGTCGAACTTCGTGGTGGTCGTACAGACTCCACAGAGGCTTCGCAATCGATGGCCGGTCCTGCACCAGCTGCTTCAGCATCGCCGCAAGCAGACTAGAAGTGGTTTGATCCGCCTGCCGTTTGTAGTTGCAGTACATGTACGCAACTCCAATGTCAGCAGTCTGCACAGTCTTCTGCAGATGATCCACCGCAATCGCTGTCATCATCGTCTTGCCTGCTCCAGGAATGCCGTGACAGAATAGCGTCTGACTTGTACCACTAACCCAATCAGTGAACTCAGGGGACTCAAGGAACCAGAAGCCTGTTTCTTCTTGCCTGCGCGCAATGAAGTCGGATTGCTGAGCGGAAAAGTCGGCCGAGGATAGCCAGTCCATGATAAGGTGGTGCCTTTGACGGTCTTGGTCTTGCTGCATGGCATCGACGCCTATCTTGGATAGCCTTGTCTGCGCGTTTTGCATGGGAAGGTCAGCGCAGCGCTGCGATGCTGCGCGACACACTTGCTGCAGGTGTTGAGTGACCCTGCCTCCTGTGTTCTAGAAGGATACAAACAAAGTGATCCATTTTGCAGCCCCAATCTCGCACAGAGCGCACATATATGATGTGTATGATAGTAGAGAAGGGAAGTCTTTTAACCTTCCTTTTTTGGATG